TGGAAAGTCAGTTGGAAAAATATTGTTTTTCCCATATTCCCAACTGAATGGAAAAATAAGCCAAATGTTCCAGTCAGCACCAACCAGGTAATTATGGGAAAGTCCTTGGAATCATGGGATTTTTCGGCACCCTTTTTGGGACAACTTCTGATGGCAAAGCGTGCAGCGGAATATCGTCAGTTGTGGGAGTCCAAACTCGGAAACTAGTGGGAATCTGGTTGGTGGTTGAGCCCTACCCCTCTGAAAAATGATGGAGTTCGTCAGAGTTGGGATTATTGTTCCCAATATATGGAAAAATAAAAAATGTTCCAAATCACCAACCAGGAATAAATTGGAAGGTAATTGGGAGCAACGCACGACATGGGCAGTAAAAGCTGCGCCTTGAACCTCAGGGCGTTTAGAACAAATTGTTCTTTTACACAAGGTTTTTGGGGTGTTTCTGGCATCTCAGCACAAAGGCTGCCATTTTCAGGTATTGGTGTTCAACCCCAAATCTGATTTCGATCGTTACTTTCTATACAGTATATTCATGTTCAGTATACCCCAAAGTTATGATTTTTCCCAAACATTGTTCCTGGGTATACTCAATCTCTGGGCAAACCCATATAATTATGCCAAAATCCAATAAAGAAATTAGGCATTCAAAATCCACGTCATGACCAATCTTGGATAACTTGCCCAAAAAAAGCTGCTTATATAGGTTGCTATCATCAAAATCAGCCACTAAATGTGGCTGGTCAGTACTAAAGTACCCAAGGATTCTGGGCAAATTATAATAATTCACTAATCTGAATTCAGGCCATTTGGGGATCATTTCCTCAAAATAAACCATGATTTCCAGGGCTCGGGAGAACAGGGTTCGGTCGTGATGAAATTGACCCATCCAACAATTCAGCCGACGTCAAGCCATGCCACGGTGTGGGCACGCGCTCCCTTCTCGGCTTCCGTCGTACGCGCGTGCCGCTCTTGCGCACGGGTTTCCTCAAGGGACGCTCCAAAGGAGAGCCAGGAATGGTACCCTATGGTTTCAACCCTCTGAAAAATATTACTGCTTGGTGAATCTATTCCAACAATAATGGTTAATAGGGGTTTTTATAGTGGTTAATAGTGGTTAATAGTGGTTAATAGTTGATATAGCTTGATATAGATGGATATAGTTGATATAGATGGATATAGCTTTATCATTATTCCAAACATATGATCAATATATGGGATTTGGTTGCCAATTTAAGCAACCAAAAATGGTGATTTACGAAATTTCTGGTTGGTGATAGTTGATACTACCCATTTCTATCCATCATCAATATCAGTCAGTTGGGATTATGATTATTCCCAATATATGGAAAAATATAGTGGTATAATGGATATATTATGGGATATAATCTGGTTGCTGGTTTTAACCATCTTGAAAAATATGAAAGTCAATGGAAAGGATTATCCCATATATTATCGAACAAATGGTTATTGTATTGCTATCGTTTGTTTGCTATTGGTATAGTTGATACTACCCATTTCTATCCATCATCAATATCCCACTATAGCTGATAATATCAAATAGTTGATTACTACATGGCCAATCAGCCAGATACCTTGCAAAAAAAATCTCAGCTGGTTAGTAAGTAGATAATCCCATTGATACCAAAAGACTAAAGGATTAAAGTACCCATCCAAGATTGACCTAGGAAAATAGACCATGTATAGATGATGTTTCTACTAAACATGGTGATTTTCCATAGTTGTGTTAATTGTTTCTTATTTCTGGGGTCCACCCACAGAAAATATATACATATAAATGGAATGACTTGTTAACCAGGTTATGAAAACCAGCTATTAGGTGAAGGATAGCCCAATATTACAATATGTGGGTCTACATCCCCAACTTCAGAATATCTCATATATATATAGTGTTATATGAGTTATATATATATAACTCATAGAACACTATATGTTTGTGGCAAAATAGCTTGCCCAGTTGTAAATGTGATAAACCATTGAATAGGGACAGATGATCCTCCAAGTGATGCGAAAGGTTCGAAACGCATGGCACTCAGGGCTTGCGAAGTGTCATACGCTTACCAAATATGGTGGAGTCAGACATTCAACATGGGGGCTTAAATTAAACATTAGATGAAATTCTACAACATATACTAAGTCTATCTATTTATCGATCTGTCTAATCTAATCCCATCTAATCTAAACCGTTGCCCTGGTGTCGTAGCCCGACACCAGGCGTCAATGTCAATCACTTCGGTAAAGGTCCCTGACCACGCCCACAGGAGGCGGAGGCGGTGTTCCAGAAACAGTGATTTTTGAAGCCAATACCCTACATTAACCCATCGTATAGTATTATCATGTATTATCCCTATTCTGGGTGTTCACAATTCCCAGTGCAATAGGCAGTATAACCCACTGAATATCCCTGAATTGTATGTTTCATAGTTTTCATAGCTGGATTCTGTAATTCATACATAAATCCAATGTATATAACTCATATACAATTCCACTGTAAATCAAATCAATCCTGTAACCTGTCGAAATCAAATCAAACCGTTATGCCATAGAATTATATAAAATTTAATCATATAAACCCCCAAAAAATTCAACATAATTCAACCACACATCCCCTAGTCCCATGGGACCCTTTAAAGGCTATCCCCCCGAGACCAAAACAGCGAGCGTCTGCTCGGCAGAGCGGAAGCCCCAGAGCAGCAGCAGGTCGTTGAGGCCCGGGACCACCGAAGGGCTGCAGAAGCGCGGGAAGATGTGCTTCTTCAAGGTGGATAACCTCGGGAACATCCAATTTGAACTTATAAAAAAATGATATGCCACTAATTACATGTGCGTAAAAACCAGCTGATGATATATATATATATATACATTGATGATGATGATGATGATGATGATGATGATGATCATGATGATGATCATGATCATGATCATGATGATGATGATGGTGATGGTGATGGTGATGATGATGATGATGATGATAATGATGGAGGATGAGAATGGTGGTGATGGTGAAACTGATGTTGACTATATTCTTTAAGGTGGACAACCTGAATGGAGAGTCAGGCAGAATGACACATACTATTCATAAGGAACTAGTGATTCTACTTAAGAACAGCAAATACTGATGATTATAACGATCATGGAATGATGAATTAAGTGGAACACGGAGTTTATAGTGGATCTTTTGTGTATATATATATTCTTTAAGGTGGCCCACCTGAATATGGAAACTTGGGGGTCCGGATGGGATTGCGGCGATTTTTGCAGTGGGATCAACAAGACTTTCACGGAACTTATGTACTGTTGTAGTATTGACAATAACGCATGATAATATAATGTAAAATATTATATATATATATATAAACGACTGTAATATACTACTACAGTACATACTGTTTAAAAAATAATGTTTTTTGTTTTAAAAAAAATCGTATTCCGTATTCCTTAATTTTGCATTGCTCTCTTGTCTCAACGCAAAATGTTGTCGCTGATGTTGAAACGATGCGAAAACGATATCAAACAGCTAAATGAAAAGGCTGACAACCTTAGCAACCCTCTGTTTCTTCATTGCACCCCAGAAAGGAATGCAAAAAGGGAAAGAAAAAAAACTGACTCGTAATTGCTGACTCGTTCAGTTGCTGACTCGGTCAATGTTCATTTGGAAAATAAATAAATAAAACTCACACAAACCTGAAACTTGCGTCCTTTTTGGGGGATGACTCCCCTTACAATTCCCATCATTTTCAGTGCCATAGAATCCGTGAGGTCGTTTTTTTTTCATCGAGATAGTAGAAACAATCATAGTCATCATACTACTGGGGCGCAGTTGGGGTTATCAATGGATATATAACTGGTTGGTGGTATACCTACTCTGGTTGGTGGTTGAGCCCTACCCCTCTGAAAAATGATGGAGTGAAAGTCAGTTGGGGCCCGATGACATTACTGAATGGAAAGTCATAATCCAAATATACGGAAAGTCAGTTGGAAAATATGATTATTCCCAATATATATATATATGTGTATATATATACAGTATATATAAAGTCATAGTCCAGCCATGTTCCAGTCAGCACCAACCAGCTTATGATATCACCAGGTTGGTCCCATGGTGGTCAGATGGATACAGCAGCAATAGCTGAGTAGCCTCTCCCATTTTGGGGATTTCCAAAAAAAAATGAGGGATTCTCAGTCACCATAGGTTTCAAGACGACTTCATCTGCGACTCTGCGACTTCATCGGTACCGGGTACCCCCCATGACTTAGGACACCTCCATTTAGTTGGCCAGGATCTCCCAGAAAAATCTTGGCAGTTGGAAGTTGGTGAAAAAAACAACGGAAGATTCCCCGGTTTCGAAAAGATGTGATGCAATGGCAACATGTGCCAATCCAAAGCATACTAGTACTACTAAGTTACATATATCATCCTATATCAATCATATAAACGAAACATAGTTCACAAACAAAACAGCTATGGAAACAACTATGCACTACTAATAATCATATAAACGAAACGTAGTTCATAATCATGGTTCCATATATCATCCTATATCAAGGCTCCGAAATGTTCTGAACATGTGGGTGTGCCCCTTCGGCCCAAAGTCGCATGGTTTATCATCATGGTTTCTTCCCATTAACAATGCCATAAACCATCCATTTGGGAATGGTAACCATACCACCTATAAAAATGCTGAAATTTTGGATGGTTTACCCTCTGGTTATTTAACATAGCCATGGCATAGATGGCCCATAGAAATAGATGGTTTACCTATAAAAAATGGGGATTTTCCATGGATTTTCCATGGCGAACTGTCATGTTTTATCAACATTTTTCCCCATTTGAAAAGACACCAGGCCATGTCAGCCAGCCATTTGGCTTTGACAAAAAGCGGAATGGCCAACATGATATCTTCCGGGATCAGCAGGTTGTCCCACAAAAGGATGAAATCACTGCTTTTCCTCGGCGCGATCGGCTGCAACGAAATTTTTATTGATCGTGGCGCCACATGTTTTTTTGTGTTGGCCTAGAGTGGGGCCGCCAAGATAGCCAAGTTGGTTTATAACTCCAATAACTATGGTTTATGGCAGATATGACTATAGTCAATGGGGTTTATAAACCAACTTACAACTGGGGGGCCCCACATTGTATATGTTGCTACCATAGTGGTGGTATACTTAATGGAAATTTGAATACAAGTCACAGAGCTGCGTACACATAAAATGGCCGCTTCCCCAAAGGATGATACCTCAGGAAGATCCCCCGATTCTTAGCTAAATCAGCTGTTGGATGTGACTAAAACTAGGCATTTATGGTGGATATCTCTATAAATTGGGGCTATGAACCAACTTTTACCGTCACTGGGGAGCTCCTTCTTGCAAGACGCGAATGAGGGTGTTAATGACAACCCCACGTTCATTTTGTTATATGATCGTTTGTATGTTCCCAAAATGCCTGCTGGCACGCACCAAGCACAAACAAACAATAACGATGTGGCTTCCCACACACCTGCCACCATCAACCGTCATTCACCTGGTTGGGCAAACCTCCTTATCCTGGGAGGGACCGTCCCATTCTATGGGCTCCATTTTAGTTCAGGGCGACACCCAAACACCCTACGTTTGGGCTGGAAAATGGCGAGATAGCATGAGACAAAGAGGTAATCAGATAAGCCAAAGAAATGGTTACAGTACATGGTTTCCCTACAAGTTGCCATGATGTGGGTATGGGTCAAAATTAGATACCCCAATAATTGGATGGTTAATACTAAACTAGACTAACATTTGTGGTCCCCTAGGTCTTCCATTTTGACCCACATCCATGTGGTAACTGGCTTGGGGCAACGCCTTTTTTTCGGCCGCAGTGGCGCCCAGGTTCACATTGTTTGGGGGCTGAAAAATCCCAACTTCGTAAAGGTTATTGAGCCATAAACCAATATACTGGTTGGTTATTGATGGGTATAACCATATCAATAACTATGGTTTATAGGTGATATAACTATATCTGGTTGGTGGTTGACCTACCCCTCTGAACAATATGAGTTAGTCAGTTGGGAAGGATGACATCCCATATATATTCTGGAAAATCATAAAATTCATGTTCCAAACCACCAACCAGTTTTCCATATGGCCATAGAAATAGTTGATATACCCATTATACTATATAAAATAATCCAAATGTTCCAAACCACCAACCAGTATAGATCAACCGTCCCAAGTACACCACCAAGTTGATGAAATCCCAATTCCCGTTGGCTTTTCTTACAGTTTAGATTAAACCACCCCAGTTCAGGTGGGATAAAACAAAAAATCAACCATATGTTTTTTTTGTTGACCTTCACAAAGTTGATTAAAAAAAAAAACATTTCACCACATTCAAGAGCCAACCTTTCACATTTCTATTTTCATGTCAGGTGTCATGCCGCTGTGATTGAAATACTTCAAGAGCTTCATGTAGTCTTCACGGCACCTGCGGCGACACTGAATAATCATGAACCTTGTCCCATTGGCAGATGATTCACAGGATGGTGCCCCATAGTTAGCTAAGTGGGTTTATAAACCCCATGAATACTATAGTTATATCTGCCATAAACCATAGTGAAATGGGACTTATTTGCACCAACTTAGCTAACTATGGGGCACCACCTTGCAGAACAAGACTCTGAATAATTTTCATCCCAATGGGTAAATAAATGTAAAATAGTGTAAATCAATGTAAATCATTTAGCATTTGGGTTTGATTTGAATGTTGCTGTGCTGTTTATTCTTCCCTCCACTACATGTTTCGCAAAGTGCGCCTACATCTTGAAGTTAGAGATGCTTTCTGTCAACATTAGACAAATGATCGATGAAAAGGCCCAAACATTCTGTGGTTGATGCGCATCAACTCAAAAAGAACAGCATGGAAAAAAATGCACGTTCATCTATGGTGTTCGTCCATGTTCCATCCAGAAACTCTCAATTATATATCCATATTCCATGTAGTGGATGATACATATATATATATACCCTCTGGTTTATTTAACATAGCCATGGAAAATGGCCCATAGAAATAGATGGTTTACCTATTAATAGCATGGTGGATCTTTCCATGGCAAACTGTTAGTCATAACCAAAGGGTGTATATATATATATATATTATCATATACCATTATATAGACCATAATATAAATCCAAATATATATATATATATACACCATATTATAATATCCATATACCATTATTTAATATGGTTAATATGGAAAATCCATCTATCAAAATCCATATTATGATATATATATATATATATGCACACACATCTTAATTATATTAATCCATATAAACAAAAATATAAGGTTAATAATATATATATATAACCAGTTATTAACGGTTGCTATGGCTTACTACCCCCAGTTGCCCAGCACCTGGCAGCATTGCCTTCCAGCACTTTGATTTCCTCCGTGGCCAAGGCCAAGTCTTTCACCATGTGCACCTTCCTGAGGGGGGACGGGACAGCGAACGGACAGGGGGGACGTGAAACACTGGAACGTCCCCCAAAGAAAGCTGGGAAATTGGGCCAAGGATGGGCCAAGGAAATATAGGAAAAATGCTGGATTTAAGAGATTTTGATTATTAGTAGTAGCAATTTACCCAACACAACTGTGGGTTTCACTGGAAAAGCTTGATGATTTAAGTGGAACAACTGGTAAACATCTCGTTGTGTATGGCTGCAATCTAGGAAACTGTTTTCTGCGACCCAGTACAGCCCATAGCTAAATTGATAGATTAAGCCTGTGAAGTCAGCTGTGAAGTTCGGAGGGAGGTAGTTAGACTAAGCAACAAAATGGTGATTTACGAAACCAAACCATACGCTTTCAGATTTTAAGTAACAAATAATCATGTTCTTTACCCATAAAATATGGTAGGTTCAAACGAGAAACTATGGGCACGGACTTTGTCCAACAAAAACTGTGGTTTTCAGCAGTTTCAATCAAGGAACATGCATAGAGTTGAGCCACAAGAATTGTTGTTGCTAAACAACAAAAGCATGGTCTTGAGACTACGGATAATTTCATTGGGTTGAAGGAAGAATTCATAATGTTTGGCCAGCAAGAAGCAAGGTTTAACGAACGATTATAGAGCTTATATACTTCAGAAAATTATCTGGTTGGTGGTTTTTAACCATCTTGAAAAATATGAAAGTCAATGGGAAGGATTATCCCATACATTATGGAAAATAAAAAATGTTCCAAACCACCAAGCAGATTATGGTTCAATTACCAGAAAAGTGGGTTGAACTGAGAAAAAAACGGATGAGTCGATTCACACAAACGCAGGGATTTAAGTGTCAAAAGTCTGGACAAAAATCAATGAGAACGATTGCGAGAATAGATGATAAATAACCCATGGCCAATCTTAGATACCCTGCAAAAAATAATCTCAGCTGGTTAGTAAGTAGATAATCCCATTGATACCAAAAGACTAAAGGATTAAAGTACCCATCCAAGATTGACCTAGAACCGATCACAAGTCCCAGATTTGTGGAGTTCTATCATTTCTAGGTAATTTTGGCGTCGTAACACTACCCACAGTGGTTAGCTCTGTGGAGCGGGGGAGTCGAGTTCCTGAATGATTATTGTAGCTGTGTCTGAAAGTCTGCAAATGGGAACTTGAAAATTGTAATTTCGGCAAGGACAATGATGATAAACAATAAACTTTATAAATCATTGGACTTTGGGGCACCCTACTTTCAGAAAAAAAATGACACAAATTGGATCTGCTTCAATCGTCATGGGTTTCAGGTGTCTCGATACAGGCGCTGGTGGTGAGCCAAACGTAGGCTGCAAGGCTCAAGGCTGGAGCGGTCCAGCGGTCCAGCAGATCCTGTCGCAGCGGCATGCTGCCTACCCAAAAGGCATTTTTCCTCGGAAGGAACGAGATCTCCAAATGGCGCCTCTGGCCTGTTGGCGTTCTTGTCCGGGTGCCATGGTGTGTCTACATGTGTCTCCTTGACGGCCATGCTGCGGCTGTTGCTCAGACCATGAAAAGCGTGCTGGGATGAAAATCTACCATGACCATGTTATTTGTTCTTTGAATAAAAGAAATGGGAAATCCACCAAAGTAAACCAACATCTCCCGAACTTGTAGTTGCACCTCATTATGAAACCTGCGACGACTGAATTGAAATTCAGAAGCGGCTGACATCCAAAATTTTTGTCAGATTGATAATATCCTCTATGCTTCCAAGGAGAAATCCACATTGTTGAAGGTTTGATCCTAACTTCTCATGGTTAGATCATGGTTGGGATTAATGAGTAGACACTGGAAAAAAAAAAATGACTACTGGAAAAAAAATTAAGGTTCACCCCTACTCTCCACACTGGAAAAAAAACTTACAGTAAGACACTGGAAAAAAAACTTAAGAAACTGTACTTTGAACCTTTTTGCAGCTGAAATCTCTTATTTGTACAATATGTGCAGGGTTTGGGCACTTAAACATGCAATTGCATTATATGTAAAGCGTTTTGGCCTTGAATAATTCAATTTTGTGCAGCTGAAATCTCTTATTTGTACAATATTTGCAGGGTTTTGGAACTTAATTATGCAATTTGCATGGTATTGGTATTTAAACGTATTTAAAGCATTTTGGCCTTGAATCCCTTGTTTGCACCGTGCTCGCAGCATCTTGGAGCCAGCATCTGTACTATGCAGGGGATTATCTGCAGCATTTCGTGTTATTTGCAACATATTGTCTAGAGTTAGTTTTTGGATCTATTTCAGGTTGGTTAGGGTGTTTTTGGGAGATCAAAGGATGAGAAGGGTAAAGGACCAGGATGAGGAGGGTAAGGGACCAGGGGATCAAGAGGACCCAGGGACCAGGGGACCAAGGGACCAGGGGACCAAGGGACCAGAGGACCAGGGGACCAGAGGAAGGGGATTAGAGGACCATGGGACCAGGGGAACCTTAAATTGTTTTTCCACTGAATTCATATTTTTCTTCCAGGGTCTTAGATTTATTTTTCCAGTATCATCCCTTAATATACCACATTTTCTTCCCATGGTATAACCCAGTGATATATAAATTATCCCCGGCTAGATTAACGGATTGTTTGTATGGATTTGACTCTCCATCTTGTTGCTATCCCCGCTAGATCCCATCATATCCCCATGAAACATCCCCATGAAATGGTTGGGTGAAACTAAGCACTTCACCCAAATCAAGTCTTGATTAATGTCTAGATTTGTTTTTTTCTATACATATAATAATTATGTCTAACCACTATTGTAGATGATTAATAGACTACTGTAACCACTTGATTATGTCTACAAGCATCTATTGTTGTTTTTTCTATACATAAAATATCCTGGTTGGTGGTTTCAATCCCTCTGAAAAATATGAAAGTCAGTTGGGATTATTATTCCCAATATATGGAAAAATGAAATTAATGTTCCAAACCACCTACCAGATATATAATCATAGTTAAAGGGGTTATATGTGATATCCCAACAAATTTATCCGTCTATTCAGATTAATCATACCTCACATTTTAGTCATTTTAGCCATGGAAATGTGAGATCTATACAGATTATTATCTATAATATCTATAGCTATTAGTGAAATCTCACATTTTCCATGGCTAAAATAGTTTAAAAAACATTCTATTCAGATGAATCTATAGAGATTTTTTATCAGATATAACTTATATATAACTATTTAAAATGGATTAATCATAATCATATCCATAGATATCCCAACTAGTTGAGATTTTAATGGATAGATAATCCATAGATATCCATAGATAATCTATACATTTATCATAATCATATCCATAGATATCCATAGATAATCTATACATTTATCATAATCATATCCATAGATATCCATAGATAATCTATACATTTTAGACATTTTAGCCATGGAAAATCAGCCAGGCTGCAATGGATCCACTGGATCTGTGGTGAGTTCCAAGGCCATCTGGAGAGCCTCCTGCTGCTCGGACAACCTAAGGCGTACGTTCGTTCAAGGGATCAATGGAATACATACCCATAGGATCCATGTATGGTATACAGGCTAAGATTTGGGTCTATTGATGGTAAATGTTACCATATATAGCATACATGGATCCTATGGGATAGAATACATATGTGTACAGCAATAATATAAAATAGATATGATAATGCATAATAATGCTAACATATATTTATACACGAAATGAAATACATGTGATCATAAGAATAAATATATGTTTTTTTGTTGCACTGAAGATGTGTATAATGTATACAATGTACAATAATACAATACGATACACTAGAATGCAGTACAAGACAATACAATGCAATACAATACAATGCAATGCAAAATTACAGTGCAAATGCAACAAACTGTTTGAGACTTTTTGGAATAGCAATTAAAATGAAATGTAATCAAATACCATTGAAACAATAATATAATAATATACTATAAAAGAAGAGAATATCATATAACATCATATAATATAACATAATATAATATAGTGTAATATATCATAATAAAATATAATAGGATATGATATGATCTAATATAGTAAAATACAATACAAAATAATGTAATATATTTATATAGAAATAAATGTTATAATATTGAAACCATGTAATATAAAATGAAATATCGTAATTTAATACAATAAAACAAAATAATATAGTATATTAAGACATACAATACGATAATCATATATTTCTATATACATATATATTATATATATACTGAAATACAATCTAACAAAACAACATGTAATAAAAATTAACATTGGATAATAAAGACAATTTAAATAATATAAAGAGTGTATTGTAATTTAATATGCTATTGTATAATATAAAAAACATAAAACCATAGTTTAAAAAATAGAAAACAAAGTATTAAACATGGAGTAATTGAATACATTTTCATTGTAGCTCATTAGTATGCGTTTCCAATTTTAGCAAAACATATAGCCCACGTCCAAAGGATTTTTTTTAGTAGCATCTTGTTTTGTTTTTGCCATGTTTAACCATCGTTTAACCATTGTTTAGACCCTGGCAGATAGGACTTGGAAGATTAGTTTCCATCAAAAATTGGTGATTTTCAGGGCCCAACTGTTTATTTACCAGAGGGTAACCGTTGTTTAAGCATTGTTTAACCATGAATGACCCATGAATGACCTATGAATGACCCATGAATGACCCATCGACTCACCAAGAGACTGTGTGGTGAGTTCCCGGAGACTTTCTTCCGCTTCTTCCTCGAGGCGTAAGCGCGGAAATTGAAGCCCTTTTTTTGGGGAAACTGGTGATTTATAGTGGAAAAATGGTGATTTATAGTGGAAAAATGGTGATTCATAGTGGAAAATTGTGATTTATAGTGGATTTACCCTCAAAAAAGGTCTTCATCGGTTTTTTAGATGGGCTAAATTGACAGAAATAAGCATAGATGGCATAGATATCAGCTGATCGGAAAATGATGAGACATCATGTGGTTAAAACAATGCCATAAACCATCTCCTAAACCACCATAAAATAAATAGGTATAAACCATTCCCAAATGTAAACATCTTAAATCGTTTGACCGTTTGAAAATCGTTGGTCATCTGTTGTAGAGAACGTCAACACCTGAGTTCTCAACCAATCTTTTGGGACACCATCGATACAAAGAAAAGGGCGGGCTCCATGGCTTGGTGGAACTATGGGATAATAGGATCCCCAGGTGCTGCTGTGGGTCACCAAAACAAATTACATTTAGACAACTCACAACATACAACCTGTTGGTTGACCCAAATGTTGGCGGCTCTCGGCCTCAAACCTAGCTAATTGGTGGTTGAGCCCTACCCCTCGGAAAAATGATGGAGTTCGTCAGTTGGGATGATGACATTCCCAATATGTGGGAAAATGAAATTCATGTTCCAAACCACCAAAACAAATTACTAATTCTGCTGCTGCGCTTAATTGTAACCATAACCAACTTGTGTTTCGAGAAACAATTTACGAAAACGTCGTCGTTCTGTGAAATCATCTAAAATCAACTTAAGTGTTTTTCAACAAGAAAATCTGTGTTGAACCACCACGTTTCAAGTTCCTTCACCAAAGGGTATTCCAGTGATGGACTCAGCACATCTGCGTACCCTCTGGTGATCATTTTCCGGCCTGGTAAACGTTAACAAAAAACGAACTGGAACATCACTATGCTATCAATGGGTATATCCACTATAAATGGAAGAGAAGATATACCCTCTGGTAAACTTTCACATAACTAACTATGGAAATCACCATTTATAGTGAATTTTCCCATTAAAAATGGTGATTTTCCATAGTTTTCTATGGGTAGTCATCCACTATTTCTATGACCATTTTCTATGTCGCAAAGTGTTAGTCATAACCAGGCCGGGTACTTGGAGCATCATCCTGAATCACTGATGGCTCGTCCCCTTGCTGAAGCAAGCCAAAAAAACACCAAACACTTACTGGTTGGTGGTTTCAACCCATAGGAAAACCATAGGAAAATGTGGGTTTTTCATGGGATTTATAGCTGATTTATGATAGCTAATATCTGGCTGAATTATATAACTGGTTGGCGGTGTTTCGCCCTACCCCTCTGAAAAATCATGGAGTGAGTTCGTCAGTTGGGGCCGGATTTTCCATTCCCAACTGAATGGAAAGTCATGAAATTCCATGGTTCCAGTCACCACCAACCAGTGGTACTTGACCAAAGTTTCTGGGGTCAACCACCATGTATATTGTCTCATTATCCCTTGGTGAAAATCCCTTTTTAAATAGCGATGATATAGCCAGATTAAACGTGGGCTGGAAAATCCACCTATTTCCCACCTTTGACACCGGAGAGTACTGAGAGTACCATGATAATTCTCCATACATTCTCCACTTTGGCTGATCTTCTTTGCTGACGCAAAAAATACCCTTCCTGGTTGCTGGTGCAATTTCACCATCTTGAAAAATGATGGAGTTCGTCAATGGGAAGGATGACATACCATCCCATATTATGAAATGGAAAATAAAACATGTTTGAAACCACCAACCAGCTTCACTGTTCAGTTTGAAGGCCCAGTTTCCAGACCCACGCGCACGATCTTCATCATTTTCAGTGTCTCAGCGGTGGATTGGGTCATCTTGGGCCAAATTTGGGACGGCTTCCAGGGTTTCAAGGGTCTGGGGCAACTATGTCAGAAGTCACCAAACTGCAACAAGCAAAATTCGGATAATTTCGGTATGATTCCCCATAAACTTTCATTTGCGATGCCATGGTGAGATCGTTGTAACCAGAAGGGGGCAAAAAAAAACACACGATCAAAGGATCCCTTCGAAAAAACGTGTTTTCTTTCAGATTTTCCATTGGCTAGATTACCAGAGAGTACCCTCTGGTTATTTAACAGTTCGCCATGGAAAATCCACCCATTTTCAAGAACGGTAAACCATCCATTTCTATGGGCCATCTATACCATGGCGAACTGTTAGTCATAACCAGAGAGTAAAAGCAGCAAAATAGAGGGTTTGATCCCATTTCTTGATGGTTAAACCCGCTTTGTTGGCCAGGTTGAACCTCCACTATTAGAACATCATGTTCAGTAGTTGTTAAAGCCACATGTTTGTTGGTTAAAAGTTGAAAGTTTAAACACATTTTTTTGCGGATTCCCCTCTGGTAACTTAACATAGCTATGGAAAAAAACACTTTTCAAGTAAATCAGCAATAGTACCATTACAATACCATCGCCATTATAAATCATTATAACATGGGTACCATGAAAATCCAATGAACACTTATTTCATGACATTGCCATAGCCATATATAGCCATACTATTGTATACCCTCTGGTAATTTAACAATAACTATGGAAAATCACCATTTATAGTGATTTTTCCCTTGAAAAATGGTGATGTTCCATAGTTATGTTAGTTTAGCAGAGGGTAATATCTATGAACATTACATTCATTACATGGCTACATCGCCCATCCCAAGGTCACCATAGGTCACCGCCCAAAATCGGGGAAAAGCGTTGGATGCGTTGCGCTTTGTTTGGAAGGCAAGGAACACCCTCCGCGTCGCGTTGCACCGCACGACTCACGCTCTTCATCAAGGGGCCCAGCTCCTGGATAGAAAAAGCATCAAAACTTCCAGGGCTTGCGATTTTGAGGATGGAATTTCTCTAGGGTTTTAGTTGAATCAAACTGGTTGGATGGGTTTTGTTAGCCAACAGACATCACTGGGCGGCACCACCGACAGTATCTGGGCTAAATGAAGTACCACATGTTCAACGCTTTTTGACACGCAGGACATGAGAAAGGGATTAAAATTCTGGTCACAACAGCTAATGAAATGCATTTTTTTTGAATCCGAAGTTTTTGCTGCTTTGACTTGCAGCCATGATTAAGAAATCCAATATGGTAGAATTAGAATAATTTGCCAATCTCACATAATTCCATTTGGGTGTAAGTCCTCCAACAAACCTCCATCTACGATGTCGAGGTGACGTCGTCATAATTTTTGCAGATAAATTCTGTGTGTTTGCTCAGCTCCTTCATAAAATCCTGATTCCGGCTGATTCCTGAAACCTCTACCCTCTGGTTATGTCAAAATAGCTATTGAAAATGGCCATAGAAATAGTTGATTTATCCATTGAAAATGGTGATTTCCATAGCTATGTTAGTTTACCAGAGGGTATGTTTTCTCTTCGCGGTCAAACCCCATTTGCAAGGTTTCAACATTCCATTCTGCATTGCTTTTTGAAGAGAACCATCCATGTCCATCCATTTCCAAAAAACAATCTAGATCCAGGCTGAATTAAGAACCGAGTTTGTGTGGTTTAATGGCCAATCTGAGTTGGTTTATCCCATTTTTGATGGTTATCGCCCGATGTTTTGATGACAGGCACATTGCTGTGCACCAGAAACAAATGCTGATGACTGCCTAACTTATTCAGTTGGTGTGCTTAAACCCCAAAAATTGATGATTAAAATAATAAGTGTTATCCCAATTGTCATCCCAATGCATCATTGTTTCACTCTAGATATTTTCATGGTTTGCCTACCTGACCCCTCCATCGACAGTCCAACATCATACGGTGGCCAATAATGATTCAATAATGGATACGCTGCAACAAGAAACTGGTTAGCTAAATCCTCAGTTTATCCTATTAGGGTACAATTAATATAATGGATACCACAACGATTTAACTAAGATAATGGATACCACAATTCATTGGTGGTACAATGCTACCAATCCTCAGTTGGTTTACCCTTGATGATTATCTCCCCATATATTCATCGTAAAACCTCCATCTCTCTCTTTGATGGTTACCCTCTGGTAAACGTTAACAAAAAACTATGGAAAATCACTATTTTTAATGGGTATATCCACTATTTCTATGGCCATTTTCCATAGCTATGTTAATTTACCAGAGGGTAACTGCCTACCCATCCTCATATTGTTCATTATACACCCGAATATATACCTGTAAGCAAATCCCTTTGGCCACCCCTATTTTTGCTTGGCTTCCCCCATACTGTCTGTGGTACCCCCCAGTTATATATGTTTGTTGGTTTCTAAACCCATCTAAGTAGTTCGATATATCTAGTATGACGTCCAGTTAGCATAGTGAATCCTTTGCCAACTTAGCTATTCCAAATCGTGGGCACCACTGTGTAGTAATTATTATTAGAACCCATATATATATATATATTATGTAATCCACTAATCTAAGTGGGGACCTTCCATCAAAAAACATATATTAGCCATGATCATTAAGCCCCAAACATCCCCAGAGAAATTAGGCCAATGAGTTGTAAAACATATATAACAACAAAAAAACATCAAATGGCCCACAGCTGCCGCTACAGTAGCTATACTCATTAATGATCCAAAAAGCCAAACCATTGGGCAGCATTCATCAACAATGGCACTAATACAGTAGTTATATCATTGTTATATCCAATAATGTCCTTTTGGTAAAAATAGAGGGGTCGGTTTGCTATACCATCTATCATCATTTACCTGTTGTTAAAGGGGTCAACAACCCCCTCTACTAATCAACCAACCAATGGGAAAAGGGTATCTATGGTTATATCTACATGGTTTATCATTAAAAGCACTAGCTATAATTCGCAATATGGTTCATATACCATTAAAAAAATGCACCCATATATGATATTAATAAATATCAATAATAAAAAGTTGCATTATATCAATAATAATGATTTTCCCAGCTAGAAACCTCCATTTATAAGGGATTTTCCATGGCGAACTGTTAAATAACCAGATGGTACATGGCTTATCATTAGAAGCACTAGTTATAATTCAGAATATGGTTCATATACCATTAAAAAAATGCACCCATATATGATATTAATAAATATCAGTAATAAAAAGTTGCATTATATCAATAATAATGATTTTCCCAGCTAGAAACCTCCATGTATAAGGGATTTTCCATGGCGAACTGTTAAATAACCAAATGGTACATGGCTTATCATTAAAAGCACTAGTTATAATTCACAATATGGTTCATATACCATTAAAAAAATGCATCCATATATGATATTAATAAATATAAATAATAAAAAGTTGCCTCATATTCAAACCTCCATTGATAAGGGATTTTCCATGGCGAACTGTTAAATAACCGTATGGTACTGGTACATGGTTTATCATTAAAAGTGCGAGTTATAAATATCAATAATAAATATCTATGGAAGTTATATCTACATATATCTACAGGATGGGGCCCCCCAGTTATAAGTTGGTTTATAAACCATTATAATCCCCATTAACTATAGTTATATCTACCATAAAGCCACTTATAAACCAACTTAGCTATCTTGGGGGCCCCATCCTGTACATGGTTTATCATTAAAAAACACGAGTTGTCTCCATCATCGGCACCTCCAAAAGTTGCTCTCCGCGATCGTAGAAGCTGGCGCTGCTTTCTTTGGCCAACTGGCCCATGTCCTGCGCCGGGATCCTTGGGATCCAACTGGGATCCCATCGGGCGCTGTTGAAACATGTTGAAACCAACAGGCTACCCGGCCTGGTAAACATACAAAAAACTATGGAACATCAGCATTTTTCATGGGAAAATTCATGTAAGATAGCCATGGAAAATGGTCCATTTATAGATGATGTTCCCAGCTAGAAACCTCCATTTATAAGGGATTTTCCATGGCGAACTGTTAAATAACCAGATGGTATATCGCAAACAAATGCAACCAACACATGTACAGCAATCAGTTTTGAAGGGCACAGTAAAATATCCCACACGTTTTTGTTGCTTAAACAAACATCATTATGAACAGTGTTCGTTCCATCCCCTGTCGTTCCTTCATATCGTGGCTTTTCCATGGATTTCCCAGCTCATGGATTGCGATCATCCCCAAGATCTAAAGCATAGTATACCTCCATAAACATAATCAATCAACAGGGTGTTTTTGTCACTGCTCAAAAATATTGGGTTTGGTCATATATCTCTAGTCTAATCATTGATCCTGAGATATATTTATATCATCTTAAATCCCCATTTTGATGGTTACTTCAATCCCAATTACCCTCTGGTTATGACTAACATAGCCATGGTATAGATGGCCCTAATCGAAATATATAGATGGTTTACCGAACTTAAAAATGGGTGGATTTTCCATGGGTAATTATGTTAAATAACCAGATGGTACTTCCCATATTCCCATCAAACCTATTTTCAGAAACATCTTGGACCCAGATGTTGGTTAAACGATCCGTCCTGCGAGCCGCAGAAGAACATCTCGAAGATCAAATGACGTGCCTTGGGATACGATGGAAATTGAAAGCAGTCAGCCAAGCATTTTATCTGGAGGATGTTCATGGATTTTCTAATGACCAGTTCCATCATTTCCATCTTATGGAGATTTAATGAGGATAGAATGTGGAGCCCCCAAGATAGCTAAGTTGGTTTATAACTCCAATAACTATGGTTTATGGTACTTATAACTATAGTATTCATGGGGTTTCTAAACCAACTTACAACTGGGGGGCCCCACATTGTAGAATGGAAGAATATGATCAGAACATGCGAGATATCAACGGATTGATTGAAAGGAAAGAATCTTAGCCGGAAATCCCATGGGATTTTCCCATGGATTTTTGCCATCACAGATAGAGGTGAAACCTGCTGATAGACCCTGCTGATAGACCAAGTCTGAGGATGGAGATACTCTCTGGGGACTTGGAATTTTCAGCCCAAATTTAGAAGGGGATATTCTCTGGTAAATTAACATAAGATAACTATATGATCTATATGGAAAATCACCATTTTTAATGGGTAAATCAACTTTTTCTCTGATTTGGCTGTAAACATGTGATATCTGATTCCATGTGTGATATCAAATTCATCTGATATTACTAGTTACCCGGCCTGGTAAACGAACTCACAGTTTGCGACATAGAAGCCATGGCCCAGTCGAAATAGTTGATTTAGCCATCAAAAAAGGTGGATCTTTCCATCGTTTTTTGTAACCTTTACCAGGCCGGGAATCCAATCGGAGATTCGACAGCGTATTGGTGTGGTCAATGATGGTTAACTTAATGCATAATGGTGATTAAATATGTCCATATTTATGGCAATGCATTGAATTGGACATATTTAACATATCATATTTATGGACATATTGGGAATTCCATTTTGCAAAATGAATTGGGGAATCCAAACGTGTATTTGATGGGCTGGAAACGATGATACGGTAATTTTCGCCCATACCCAGATTGGAAATTCCCATAAAGTTCATTCACTTCAGAAAGGGATCAAAAAGTCTTATATGTCCTTTCAATAGTCTTTCTGGTTGGTGGTTTTACCATCTTGAAAAATATTAGTCAATGGGAAGGATTATCCCATATATTATGGAAAATAAAAAATGTTTGAGACCACCAACCAGCTTTTGATAAGTGAACAAGTGTTTATTTCAACATGTTGACATGTAACAAAACCATGGGGTAGGCTGGGGGTGCCAATTTTGAGACACCCCATGAATCATATTGTTGGTTTACTCTGTACATCCCATTCTATCCCCCTATATCCATCCCCATAAAATGATTGAATTGGAACGGCCCCATATCCACTATTTACTGCTGAAATCTCCAATTTTCGTTGTCAAATATGGGGTAAATCCCAAACGTTTGGCTGTGCAAAATTCCTACATCGATAAAAACAAAAAGGGGCGAGGCGATACCCCATTGATCCCTATAATCCTCATCATTCATTGTCCCTATGAATTGTTCTGGTTGGTGGTATACCTACCCCTCTGAAAAAATATGAAAGTCAGTTGGGATGATTATTCCCAATATATGGAAAAACAAAATTCATGTTCCAAACCACTAACCAGTGTTGGTTATAACCACATCATATCCCACAAAAAAGGCTCTTAAATTTCATACAGATGCTGACAGATGCCATTTTTCTCCGTATTTTTCAGGTATCAACTCGCCGTATTGTCCTTGCCAGGGTGCATCACGAGACTGCACGACCTGAAGTCCAGCTGAATTCTGCTGGGATTCGATGAAGCTATGAGTGGATGATTCATATGGAGACACGATTCATATGGAAAAGCATGATAAAATGTGGCTAATCTCCCTTAGATGTGGATTCTAGCTCATTGATATAGGTGGTTCACCAACAAACAGCATGCGGCTACTTTGCCTACCAAAAAACTGCTTTAGCAACAGAAATCAACTATGCTTAGAAATTTACATAATACGAATTGAAATGTATAACATTTCTATATAGAATATAACCTTATTAACTTGGGTTTATCCCATATATATATAAAAGATAATTACGTATGTATGATATGTATATGGGGACGTCTCAAAATCAGGCACCTTTAAAAATACATTTATATACTATTATATATATATATATAGCCAGCACTTGTGCTATGCCCCAAATTCTTTTGGAATGATTGTCGGGAACCTCATTTTTGGTGAACGTCGCTTCGTGAGGGACATGATTGATGACCCTCTGTGGGGATTCAGCTGAAATCCTTTGGCTGTTTTCAACACGTTTTACATAAACCCTAAGGCCCCTAGAGGAAACCTGGGAAAAACCCTAAATTAACCCTAAAGAAACCCTAAATGAACCCAAAGGGAACCCTGACAAAAACCATATGAAAGCGTATATAGCGAAGTACTTGTGGGGCGTAGCGCACGTGCTGCGGGATATAATATTACAACAGGATTACACCAACCATAGTTACCAGCTACATACAAATTTGATGCACATCCAAGCACAACATGGCTGCTAGGTGGTAGTTTCAAACCCTCCCAAAGATATTTGACACCAACCAAATAAACAAACTACTATATCGCCAGTCAGTTGGGGTCATCATCCCAAATATGGTTGAAACATGTTGAAAATAAAGCACACTTGAAACCACCACTCAGGTTCACAAGGTGTGGTATTCATGATTGTTTGGCGCTTCAAATGTCTACCAGTGGTTCGTGGGGCGCCAGAAACATTTCTGGCCAACCATCATGATGAACCCCAAATCACTCTTTAAAAATCAGAACTGGATGTGTCCTAAAATCCTGTAGAGGTAAATCATCTGAAATTAAACCATTGTCACTTTTGTTTTGAAGTCCATGGTTTTGGGGTACCACCATTTCAGGAACCTCCAATTTTTGACTCCTTGAACCAAACGATGACATGTTGAAACATGTTGCTTTGGTGGACTCAAAAAAACATTTGCAGAATGCTGCCAGTGGCCGCACTATTTTCGACAATTGACCTTGAAACTGACTGAGCAATCTAATCATCCGACACCAAAACACGGCAACTTGCAAACTTGCGCAGGCTCTTTGGCACATTGACTGCTTCAAGGCTCTGATTGAACCGCTCTCCAAATGTTAAGTTTTGCAGACCGTCTGGCAAGCTGACTCCTTCCAGGCTCTGATTGAAATCATCTCCAAATTCTAAGCTTTGCAGAGTGTTTGGTAAGCTGACTCCGTCCATGCTCTTATTGAACCTCTTTCCAAATGTTAAGCTTTGCAGACTGTCTGGCAAGTCGACTCCTTCCATGCTCTGATTGAAATCATCTCCAAATTTTAAGCTTTGCAGAGCGATTGGCAAAATGACTCCAGTCAGACTCTGGTTAAAAGCATCTCCGAATGTCAAGTTTTGCACATAGCGTGGCAATTTGACTCCTTCTAGGCTCTGATTAAAGCGATTGTCGAAGCTCAAGCTTTGCAGACCCTTTGGCACGGTGACTCCTTGCAGGCTCCTATTGAAACCATTTCCGAAGGTCAACCTTTGCAAACTGCCTGGCAAGGTAACTCCTTTGAGTTTACGATCAAAACGATCTCCGAATGTCAAGTTTTGAAGAGAGTTTGGCAACACCAGGCTCTTATTGAAACAATCTCCGAACGTCAAGTTTTGTAAACTGTTTGGCAAGTTGACTCCTGTCAGCCTCTGATCGAAGCTATCTCCGAATGTTAAGCTTTGCAGAGCAATAGGCAAGATGACTCTTTCCATGCTCTTATTGAAACAATCTCCGAACGTCAAGTTTTGCAAACTGTTTGGCAAGTTGACTCCTGTCAGCCTCTGATTGAAGCTATCTCCGAATGTTAAGCTTTGCAGAGTGTTTGGCAAGCTGACTCCGTCCATGCTCTTATTGAAACTCTCTCCAAATGTTAAGCTTTGCAGACAGTCTGGCAAGTCGACTCCTTCCATGCTCCGATTGAAACAATGTCCAAATTTTAAGCCTTGCAGAGCGATTGGCAAAATGACTCCAGTCAGACTCTGGTTAAACCAAAATCCGAATGTCAAGTTTTGCACATAGCGTGGCAATTTGACTCCTTCCAGTCTCTGAATGAAATCATCTACAAATTCTAAGCTTTGCAGAGTGTTTGGCAAGACGGCTCCTGTTAGATTTCGGTCATATCGACAACCCAAGGTTAAGCTTTGCAAACTGTTTGGCAATCTGACTCCTTCCATGCTCTTATCGAAATCATGTCCAAATGTTAAGCTTTGCAGAGTGTTTGGCAAGCTGACTCCTTGCATGCCCTTATTAAACCGATCTCCAAATGTCAATTTTTGCAGAGTGTTTGGCAAGCTGACTCCGTTCATGCTCTTATTGAAATCATGTCCAAATGTCAAGCTTTCCAGACTGTCTGGCAAGTCGACTCCTTCCATGCTCCGATTGAAACACCATCCAAATTTTAAGCTTTGCAGAGTGTTTGGCAAGATGATTCCTTCCAGACTCTGGTTAAACCAATATCCGAATGTCAAGTCTCGGAGATTTTGTGGCAAGCTGACTCCTTCCAGGCTCTGATTGAAATCATCTCCAAATGTCAAGCTTTGCAGAGTGTTTGGCAAGCTGACTCCGTCCATGCTCTGATTGAAACTCTCTCCAAATGCTAAGCTTTGCAGAGTGTTTGGCAAGATGATTCCTGCCAGACTCTGGTTAAAAGCATCTCCGAATGTCAAGTCTCGGAGATTGTGTGGCAAGCTGACTCCGTCCATGCTCTTATTGAACCTCTTTCCAAATGTTAAGCTTTGCAGACTGTCTGGCAAGTCGACTCCTTCCATGCTCTGATTGAAATCATCTCCAAATTTTAAGCTTTGCAGAGCGATTGGCAAAATGACTCCAGTCAGACTCTGGTTAAAAGCATCTCCGAATGTCAAGTCTCGGAGATTGTGTGGCAAGCTGACTCCTTCTAGGCTCCGGACGAAATGGTTGCCCAAAGTGAGTTTTTCAAGGGTCTGAGGGAGGTCATACAAATACTCACCATCTCCTGCCCCGTGTATTTGCGTCACCCCCTGTAATGCAAGCTTTCCCTCACCTACAGGCTTATCTGTGACATGGCGCCATGCAGCAACAAGATCTATTGGTATATAAGTGCAGGAAAGGGTAGCACTCTCCCCGGAAACGCCCTGCTCTTGCAATGTTTGGCTCAGAATCAACGGTGAAGTCAGGTACGACAGTGCAAGTCGCGCTCCCTTCTTTCGTGGAAGTTGCTCTGAGACCATTTGGTGGAGTTCTCGGCCCAGGGTGGAAGGATTGAGGGTCAACCTGCAACCATCACCATTCAAACAAAACACATTGAGGTCCATCAGCTCAGGGCCAGATGAGCCAGAAATCGCCTCTTTGGGCATTGTGAAACTGTAAGATCTGTAATACGGTGTCCTCAAGAACCAGATGGCTAGGGTCGAAGCAAAAAATGAAAAAGGTTTTCAGATTGCATATGGTCGCATGTACCGTGTAGACCCTAAAAGCGAGACCATTGAAAAAACCACATGATTTCACATGACTCACTCCGGGATTTTTTTGTGTCAGTATCCAAATGTACAGCAGTGATAATTAATGAATCTAATCCCATGACGGATCCATGGTGCTGCTATATATGGTGTGCCATGGATCCCATCAATATATCCCCTTTATGTTAGCATATTGGAACCAGCACCAGCCGGATCCGCCATGGGAATTGGAACATATTGGAACCAGCTACTCTCTGGTAATTTAACAGTTCGCTATGGAAAATCCCCATTTCCACAGGTAAATCCTCTATTTCTATGAGCCATCTATACCATATAGCTATGTAAACGTTTACTGGAGGCGATCGTTAAATCCATGGGAAAAACACGATCCCAGGGAGATCTATCATGAGATGTCCGATCAAACCACCAAAAACGAAGAAATCTTAACAGATCTCGCGGGGGGAAATCCCTCCTGAAATCTGCTAATTTCATATACCATTACCCATAGGATCCATGGTGCTGGTATATTAATGCTAACATAAAGGGGGTATATTGATGGGATCCATGATCCATGCTACCATATATAGCATACATGGATCCTATGGGTTAGATGATGAATTAGATGTCAATTGACGTCAATTGATTTCATGTTCATTGGCCAATTTCTATCTTCCCCATTACATCCCAAAACATCCCAATTAATTATGCTCAACTCCCCACATTCATCCCATTCCCATTAACTGATGGTCAGTCCCACATTAATATCCCATTTTTTCCAAGTTAAATAACCTGTCTTCACTCAATCCCCACGATACCTAAATTATTACAATAAATATCTCATTCATATCCCATTACATCCCCCATTCTTCGTAGCCAAAACCAGCAGTTTTCATGCTCTAATTACCCGTTGATATCCATCAAGTATCAATATTATTCATTGATAATATCCATTAATCCCCATTATTGTTGGTGAATTACAGCTTATATCCCATTATAAAATCATTAAATCCCAATATACCTCCATGATATCCCAGTCAAATCGCGTTAAAGTTACAGGAAATCCAATGTTATCCCGTTTTAAACCCAATGTTCGTAATTAGCTCACCATTAATCCCTATTGAATTCTAATGAATCCCCATTCAATCACCACTAATCCCCATGAAATCGCCATTAAAACACAATTAATCCCATGGGTAGAATCCCATTCATCAGATTTCTGTTGATGAAAACCCATACTTCATGATATTTCATCACTAAATCCCTACGTACATTTCATAACGAATCAACAAAGTGTGTTCTTTTAATGGCTCCCATGATATCCCGTTCATCACCACTAATCCCCAGTGTTGCTGAATTACATAGTTTGTCGTGGCTATATCCTATGAAATCCCAGCATTTCCCCAACATTTCCCCAACATTTCCCCATGAGATCCCCAAGGAGATCCCCAAGGAGATCCCCAAGGAGATCCCCAAGGAGATCCGCCAGGGCACGTTGTCCTTGACCGAGTCCAGCTTCGTTAGGGTCTCCAGGTCAAACCCGTCCGCTTGGCCCCGCTCCGTGCCGCCGTTCCTGGGAGACTTTGGCCGGGACTACCCGGCCTGGTAAACGTTACAAAAAACGATGGAAAATCACCATTTTTAATGTGTAAACCAACTATTTCTATGGCCATGTTCAATAGCTATGTAACAAATTACCAGAGAGTAAGTGACAAAACAAGTATTTATAGCGACAATGAGATGGAAAAAGATGGGGAATTGAATTGAAATACCTAACTTTAAATTGAGGACAAAAAATAGTGTTTTTTTCTGTTTAACTAAGACAATCCAATAAGGTAACTATAATTAAGACGATTCAAAGATTTTACTAAGGAAACAAGTGGAAAATCCAAATAGTAAAAGGACTTGCAATGGGAGATGAAACTTCAAAAAATGAGTAAAATGAGTATGAACTTCAGAGAATGTCCGGTTGCACCTATGGCATCCGCATTCCTGCATCCCTGACGTGGGTTTTTCATGAAATCTCAGTGATAATACTCCAACATGGCTAGGATGCTAGGGATCAAAACCTCTTTGCCCAGTGAAAACTCTGTACTTGGACTTCCAGTTTGGGTAACACAAATGATTCTCAGTTTGGCCATGGGATAAACTCCATCTCGGTGTCCATTCAAATAGGAGCTGGATAAATGATCTGCAAATGAAGTTGATTCCCTGCCGTGTTTACGGATGTTTTTAGGTGCAGGTGCATCTCAACATCTACGACTCCAGGACTCCAAATCCTCAAAAACTGGGCTTTGTACAAAACGATCATCTTCGATCCGAACAGGGTGAAAAAACCATTGCGTTTTAGCACTCCAAATCTGGAAAAAGGCGTATTGTTCATGGAAATGGGTGCTAAAGGGTATGCACTGCACTCTTTTTGGACACAGCAATAGAAGAACCCAAATTAAGTATCGAAATATGTTTAGACTATCTCAAAGACCGTCAGCATTTCACAATTTCAATTTTTCTGAAACACATGCCAAACCTGTTGACATCTTGAGGTTGCTAATCTAGGGCACGATGACATGTATTTTATATATATACTAGTATATATATATATATATATGTACACATAGATGTACAGAAATATATACTGATAATATCCTAAAATATTCCTTTCAGATTCCCAATTGTTAATAGATTGTCCATGCATAAAAGTCACCTACTCAGCCAATCCAAACCATGTATATAAATCATTCTAGTCTCAAGTGTTAAGGGTTTTCGTCACCATCTTCATTGATGAAACATGGTCAAAACCACCAACCTGTTCAACCCATGTTCAACCCATTTAACATAATTTAACTTCACCCCCAAACCTAGGATTTGAATCTGCCAGTTTTAGTCATTTTCAGTATCGAAAAAGATATTTCACCCAGTCCATTGATCGAGCATAACCCTCGCAGGATGGGGCCCCCCAGTGATGTGAACGTTGGTTTATAAACCATGATATTTCATCCCCATGAATACTCTATATAGTTATATCATGTTATATCAGTTATGTTTGTTGGTTTATAAACCATTATAATCCCCATTAACTATAGTTATATCTACCATAAACCATTGAATTCAGCCACTTCTAAACCAACGGTTCACGCTATCGACTGGGGGCCCCATCCTGCATGATACTGAATGTTAAACCAATGTTCGCCACCGGGTGAAATCCATGGATACATTCTCGCCGGTCAACGAATTTCCAGGGAAGAAACATCGACAAGTTCACCATGGAATGTTCGATGATTGGCTGCAAATATTTGTCCGTGCGTGGGCGATCCAAGTTGCTTCAGCAAACCAAACATGTGGTGAATGTTACTATATGTTAGTAAAGCAATAATCTGAGTAAATTATAATAATTCACCAACCTGAAACTTGCGGTCATTTGGGGATAGTCACCCCTACTAACCATCATTCCCAGGGCTCGGGAGAACAGTGAGGTCGTGATGAAATTTACCCAGAATAATAAACCTCATCCATATTTTCAAGGGGGAAAAAACACTGGGACATCTTCGACATCTGAAAAAAAAACGTTTTTTTGTTTACAGATCGAGATTCAGGTAGTTGCCCACAGCCAGGATCAAGGCAAGGAGTTTCCTGAAATCGCCAGCTTCATGGTGAAGATTGCTGGAATCTCATCGCTTCTTTCGCTGATTTTCTCGCCGAAAATAAAAAAGACGTCAATCTGAACAGGCGATGGATCAATACCATTTTGAGTGGTCTCAAGCATTGAAATATGTCAATATTCATAATTAAATATGTCATTCTTGTTGCAATTTAATTTTCAATACCTTTATGAATCATATGTCAAGCTTATTTCGGGTGGTATGGACATTCATTGAAATCCCAGAATTGTTCCATATCAATGGATTGGTTTAAGGGAAAATCTTAACCGGAAACCAGAGTTATTTTCCCATTAAATATGGGGTTTTCTACAGAAATGTTCCCTTACCCTCTGGTAAACTAACATAACTATGGAAAATCACCATTTTTAGTGGGTAAATCCACTATAAATTGCCATTTTCAATAGCTATTTTGACATAACCAGAGGGTAAACCAATCCATTTTCCATATGATTCCATGGGAAAACTGACCGATTTCACCCCGATTTCATGTCCATTTCCTCGGTGTCCAGTGGCTGCAGCATTTGCGAATTCCGAATCGCACGTTGGATTTTCGTGAACTCACCTGGAGGAACAAGGGATTTAGCTATATATATATAAATATATATATATATACGCAAAAAGTCAGAGATGCAGGTCAGGTTTTTTCTAACATGGAGGATAGAAACATGGCTGAACTCAGGATGGATATGATAAACATATGGATCTAAAATATGGCACCAGCTGACGGAGAGTTGCCTCAATCCTAGCCATCATCCCGACGTCGCAATAATCACAAGGCTGTTCCCGAGTCAGTCTGCGGCATGTTGGTTTACAACTAAGTAGGTTTTATGGATGTTTATGGTAGATATATATGATATCTATATATATATGATATATCTATATATATATATGATATATATCTATATATATATATATATGTATATTTATACGATTCTACAGGTCAGTGTTAGGGCTAACCAACTTATAAACCAACTTGGCTGACCGGGGGGATGACTGACAACCTCAAAAAAATGGCTATGCGGCATCCCGTTGCGGCCAAGGTCAGGGAAAGCCTCTGGTAATTTAACATACCCTCTGGTAAACGTTTACATTGCTATTGAAAATGGCCATTTATAGTGGGTTTTCCCATTCAAAATGGTGATTTTCATTGATTTTCCATAGTTATGTAAACGTTTACTAGGCCGGGTAGCCTGTTGGTTTAACGCCCAATGATCCTTGGCAAAACGCCCATGTTCAAAGGTTGATATTGCCACTTCAACTGATTCTCATCAAGGTTTTCAACCTGGAAAGCACGACCATGTCGGACATTGGAAGACATTCTAACTCGTAATGTTAGTGTAAAGCAATATACAATTATCCACACATAGTTTGATGGTTTCAATCCATGTTTGGTAAAATTGGGGATGGTTTAATATTGCTTTACTCACATTACATAATGAGCTTTAAGAAAATTGGAAGGTATAAACTAGCAACTTTATTATCAACGTCCCATGTTTACTCACGATTACCTAGTGGGGGTGGTTGATAAATCTTTATACCACCCATGTTCATGGTTATTCATGATTTTTCAAACAAAAATTGCTAAATCATGCTAAACATCTGCCAAATCAACTGATATTACCAACTTAGCAGATATCTACCAAATTGGTATTAACCAAATTAAAGTTGGTATTTACCAAATTGAACTGCAGATCTGATATCATCTAATATCCAAAGTTTGATCTTTACCAACTGAGATCTCCAGCAAGGCACTGAACATCACTCCACAAGAGCTCGCCGTCTCCTGGAATTCGATAGTACCAGTGGTGAAAGGGCAACCAAAACTGGGATGAATCGTGACATTTCATGAAGAAACAGTGGAGACTAAGACATGATACGCCACTAACATTAGGATTCAGTGCAGAACGCAACGGATTTATGGATTTCAACCCAGGGCTTGTTGGGGTCAACACGACATGGGTTTGTTTCAAAATGGGGATACCTCAAACTTGCAATTTGAATTGGAAAATAATGATAAAATATAGTTATCATAACTATCATGACCTTTGTAGTACTATAGGATGAATAGGGATACCATTATATAAAAATAGGGCTACACTCTACGCACATGAAGGTACAGTAGTTCACCATATGGGTCTGCAACCCCTGGTTTCCACGTTTCGAAAGAATCGGTGGCCGTTTTAGAAATAGGACTACTGCATGCCTCAACTTTCATGCGAAATTCTTCATGGAGATCATCAACCAACAATGATCTTGAACAAATTATGTGCCCAGTGAACTTCAGCCTTTGGCACACAGGATCACATTTGTCAATTTGTCTGACGATTTTCTAAAAAGTCTGAAAATCCAATGATTCATCATAACCTCAAATCCAACAATTGGAGGTTTGTTTATAGCTTTAATGATGTTTAATGTGAAATGTGGAAACTTTATTTTTGGTCTGGTTATGTCGTAAACATATTTTCCACGTATTAAACAATTGCTAACCGCTGCTCACCTCAGTCAGATTTCACAGAAATCAATCCATCGCCGGTACGAAGAAACCCACCCCACCTTGTAATTGAGCAAGAAACTCCAACATGAGATGCGTGCCTAGCAGGATCGTCCCATAGTTCAAGGCTGGGAAGCTGGGAAAATCACCATTTTTGGTTTGTAAATTAGTTCACCCATTTTTATCTGTATCCCAAATTGTAGGTATAATATATATATATATATCTATATATATATATATCTATATATATATATATTATATTTGGTTTTTATAGGGGTGACAATAGCTACACAATTCCTGCACATCCAAGTTGGGAACTGATCACCCATGGCTACCCCATGTACAACTGGCTTGTCACGCCCTGAAAACGAACCACTGGAATGATCCTGAATGAACAAAGTGATCCCAAATGAACCCAACAAGTCTCGGCAGTGGTTCAGCAGGTGCACTCTGGTACAAGTATATATATATATATATGTATATATATATATATGTATGTACATATATATATATATATGTATATATATATGTATATATAGATACGTGTATATATATATATATATACGTATATATATATATATATGTACCTGGATACGTCCACTGCTGTTGATTTGCCATGAGCAATTTGATACTTTGGTTAAGTGAAGCTGCAGTATAAAGGCAAGTCCTCGAACAGTGGGAATTCCATTCATAAATGGCGACGCTATCCTGAAGTCCTCAAGAAGCTTTGATGGGTTTCCACATTCTGTTCGTGTTGCCACAGTACCACAGAGCGCAAGGCTTCGGAAAATATGCAAATCTGGGATTTGCTTAAGACGACTACAAATAAAATATATCACCATATACCATCTGGTTATTTAACATAGCCATGGAAAATCACATGTTTTAATAGGTAAACCATCTATAAATGGACCAATTTTCCATGGCTATGTTAAATAACCAGAGGGTAATGGGTATATAAATTTCTGACCATGCTCCAATCATTAGGATCTAGTGACTCATTTGGTGATATACTGCACTGATGTTAGGGCGGAATCCAAAGGTACCCATTATATGTGCATTACGGAATTGATGATAACCCATCCCATTCGCATGTCACTCAAGCATGGCATATGTCTGTCTCATTTCAAGCAAATACCCTCTGGTAAACGTTTACATAACTATGGAAAATCACCATTTTCAATGGGAAAATCCACTATTTCTATGGCCATTTTCAATAGCAAACTATCATAAATCAGCTATAAATCCCATTAAACCCACATTTTCCTATGGTTTCCAAGCAGTTTTTGGGTTTGTTTACCAGGCCGGGTATCACCCACCCAGCCATGAACAGCCTGAAATGCCGGGATGCGGCTGATCTGCCACATGTACTCCTAAAAAAACGGTGGAGTCTTGCGGGAAACGTCGCTTCAGAACTGGTTGGTGGCTCAACTCCCACGGCAAACATACTAAATAATCATATAAAACTATATCTGTAGTAATTATGTATACTGTATATATATAATATTACATTATATATAATATACTGTACATGTATATATATAATATTACATTATATATAATATACTGTACATATATATATATTATAATATACTGTACATATGTATATATATATATATATATTTATTGTATGATATTATATATAATGGAACATATCTCAAGCTACCGAACCGAGAATCTTTCGGCATACAGCGAGTTTTGCATGGAAATACGACTAAGAAACACTGAGAATACGAAGAATCCACCGGTCTATTGTATGTATCTGGGTAAATTATAATAATTCGCTAACCTGAAATAAGGTCATTTGGGGATAGTCACCCCTACAAACCATCATTCCCAGTGATGTCGCAATGAGGTCGCTATAATTTACCCAGGTGTCATATATATATATACATATGATTGATCTTTCAAATCGTGGTTTCGCGCCTGCGACAAGGCTTCCCTGCTAATTGTGCACCGTGCCTACTACTTGATGTGCATCACACCTAGTAAGCAGCACATAAGTGTTGGGTATAATATGTTACCCCCGGGTGTCAGTTGGTTTATAAACCCCATTAAGTATAGAATTGTATAGATATATCTAGCATAAACCCTAAAATTGGAACATGTTAGTTATAAACCAACTTAGCCAACCAACTGGTGCACCATCAACAGCACAGGACCTGGATGGAAAGGGTCTCCTTCTTCCATTGCTTGATTGGAGAATCTGGAGGAGAAAGTGGTTGGTGTTTGTGGGGTTAGTGAACTCCCTCATATAAATAGATGAAATATGATTGATATGATGGGATATATATGGATATATAAATGACCTGAATGGGGATTTTTTGGGGACTCAATGGGCAAAACATAGCAAAACATGATCCGTGGGATGATGCCACCCTGCTGCCCTGCTCCTCAGGCAAGGCCAGTGGCACCCCAGGATTTTCCCTCAACGCTTCCTCCAACTGCGCCACCTGCGGATTTTTTGGGCTCCAAGGAAGACGGAGAAGGGCAGAACTTTGTGCGTGCAATGTGGGTAAAACAATGCCATAAACCACCCATTTGGGAATATGGTTTATATACCACCTATAAAAATGGTGATTTGGGGGATGGTTTATTAGCGTTTGACCCACGTTATGTGCTTTTGTCTTTTAGAAAATGGTACCTGCAGGATTCCAAGTGTTGTTTTTGAGTGTAGCTAGACAAAACACAATTGGATCCTTATTTTTTGGGGATAAAATTCAATCAAGCCCTGAAATTTGGAGGCTAAAACCCATGCTATCAGCAAACCTACTATACAACACAAAAATCCCGCATCAAATGGCAGAGATCAACACATGGACGACATCATGTTTTATCATAGGCTGATGGTGCCAATCTTGGGATATGCCATCGGCCATTCATAGCTTGATCTGCTTAGCGTAGTGCTGACAATGTCAGTTGGGAAGTCAAAATGTTGGCATGTAAATTACAAGCATCCAATTTTGCTTATCTAAGTTGGGAAGTCAAACGTGTTGACATCCATTTTTGATACACAAGTTGATGCCTGAACCCCTTGAAGCCCGAAAAATATCATGACTCGTGGGTGCCAGCCTCAGGTGATGCATGTTATGGAGATTTTCTCAGCAATCCCAAGCAAAATGACATGCGAATGAAGAACAAAAATCCAATCAACTTCTACAATTATCCTAGATTGGATTTTTGTTGATTGGATTTTTGTTCTATTCTGAGAACCACCATTTTTGTTCTATTGGATTTTTGTTATAGAAGATTATACTAGTATAACCACCATCTATTAGAATAGTCTTCTACAGAGCCCTAAAAAAAAGCGGGAGAGTATATTTCTTCCTATCCAAGCATCAAATTCGGGTAAATGTCACCCAACATACCCTCTGGTACAGTAAGCGTTCACAGTTCGCTATGGAAATTCATCATCTTTAAGTTCGGTAAATCAACTATTTTCATAGGCCATTTTCAATAGCAAACTGTTAGTCATTACCAGAGGGTGTCGCCATTTCATCCTAAGGCCTGACGCCAAAGTTGGGTGTAGGTCTCCTCTCCACCAAAAGTCACCATCCCTAAAAGTGTCCTTTCCCACATGAGGATGGGTCAAAACCTATAAACGTCCGAATTATCTGGGTAAATTCGAATGTTGCACCCTGAAAAGTTCGACTATTTTGGGATAGCTCTCCGGAATCCTAACCATGATTCCAGTGAGGTCACAGTGAGGTCGTGATAATTTACCCAGACATTACCCTCTGGTAAACGTTTACACTTTGTGACATAGAAAATGGCCCATTGAAATAGTTGATTTACCCACTAAAAATGGTGGATGTTCAACAGCAAACTGTCGGTTTACCAGAGGGTATTGGGAAATAAACATCCATAAATCCCAGATATTGCAGGGTATCCTCCTGGCTGATCAGTGGTTTTGACTCATAGCCATAGGGTTTTCAGTTGCACGCGAATTGCACGCGAATTTCCCTTGGGCCACTGGCCACTTGTCAATCCCACCATCGAAAAAATGGGATTCCGTCGCTAATTCTATGAATTCCCAAGGAAAATGGATTGATATGGAATTGATGACCATCCCCAATTAATCACTTACCCTCTGGTAAACGTTACAAAAAACTATGGAAAAATCCACCATTGTCAATGGGTAAATCCACTATTTCAATGGCCATGTTCAATAGCTATTTTGACATCACCATTTTGGGTAATCCAACTTTTCACCACAAAAATATGGCTGCAAAATGGTCTCGCCCAGGACCAACAAATCTGCCTGTGCGGGCTGTGGACAAGCATGTTCTTTGATCACCTGGTAGCCACAAACGGCTGCAAAAGGGACCGTGAGACGATCATGGTATTGTGAGGCCACATCTTAAGTCTTTAAGGGAGATTAGCCAGAAATATCCTAGAATAATATGTATATCACCTGAGGATAGAAAATTGATTCTGGGATATTTCTGCTTGAACATTTATATTTTTTTCTATGGATATTATTGATATACTAATTGATTACCTGAGATACCATGCAGGAAACGTTTGATAGAAAATTGATTTGAACATAAAACGGATCATTTAATACCACTGAAAATCCAAAGTGAAAGAGACTGCTGTTTATCATTGACAAAGGGTAAGTCTTCTGCTTGATGCTTCCACTTAGTCAGGATGAAGTTATTTAAAAACCCAAGTGAAATAACCTGACTTAACCCACAAAAACGTTACTCATAGCTGTGTATAGCTGAACTTATAGTCAGCTACAACAAACTAACTCAGGTGAACATTCAAATGCCCCTCAAAATGTTCACTTTGGTTGACACAACCATATAATGTCAACCCCGGAAAATGACCTATTTATAGTGGATTTACCCATTACAAATGGTGATGTTCCATAGTTTTTTGTATGTTTACCAGAGAGTGTTCAAAAACCTGGATTAATAAACCATGGTTTATTAATTAGGGGGTACCCTCCAAAGAGTCACTTTATATGCTACATTTTTATGGTACCCTCCCAATTAAACAACCGTTTGGGGTTTATGAATCCAGGGTTGACATTATCCATTATTCATTAGTTAAATTCTTGTTGCTGATGGTTAGGATTTTTGATGGTTGAAAACTTGATTGTTATACCGTTGGAATACTCATATACCATTCATTCCCAATGGCTTAAATCCTCCTTTGTCCACTCGAGAAAACGCAAAAAAGAACGTACCCTCTGGTAAACTAACAGTTTGCGACATAGAAAATGGCCCATTCGAAATAGTTGATTTACCCAGCTAGAAAATGGTGATGTTCCATAGTTTTTTGTAACGTGTACCAGAAGGGTAAATGCTAATTCATAAATGGGTGGTATAAAGTATACACCATCAAACATTTTTGCTGGTTTATGGCCTGGTTTTACCCACATTAATCCTTTGTAAACGTTATTTTCCTTGGTTTTTTGTAACGTTTAACGTTTACCAGAGGGGAAATCCACCAGAACTCGCCGTGCCGCACCGCCAGATGTGAAGGCGTCAAGACCAACGAGTCCAACTTCATCAACGCCTTGGCCACGTCCTGCGAGCCGAAAAGCTCTGGGTGAAACCACTAGCGGTGGTTGAGCAAAAAAACCCAGAAAAAACACTACAAGTGGTTGATAACTTATAAGTAAATGGTCAACTTATAACCCATAGGATCCATGTATGCTATATATGGTAACATTTACCATCAATATACCCCCAATGTTAGCATATATACCATACATGGATCCTATGGGTAAGTATATAAGTGGTGGTATACCCCCTAATAATCCAAATTACCCTCTAGGTTTTATTGTTTGGAGGTGACGTTTAATATTAGGGTGAAGGGATTAACCCACTCCACAACAACTTCGGTTGTAAACTACGAGTACTGGGATGAACCACCACGTATTAAAAGGATAAACATATTTTGGTTGGTGGTTGAGCCCTACCCCTCTGAAAAATGATGGAGTTCGTCAGTTGGGATTACTATTCCCAATATATGGAAAAATAAAAAATGTTCCAAACCACCAACCAGTATAAGTGGTTAATAAACTATAAATAAATGGTCAACTTAAATGATTGATAGCAAACAAAATTGATGGTTCAGAATGAAACCCCAAAATGAATGGTAAAAAGAATGGTTTGTGAATGACCAATCAATGGTTGATAGTGTGTTCATAGACGGTTGATACTTAATTGTTAATACTCAATCACAATCTATCATAGATTACCATCCATCCAATAGTGGTTAACCATGGTTAATACGTTATCATTGGATTGGTGTGTTCGGGACAATCTCAAGCGGAAACCATGCTTGCTCCGTCGAAGAAAAATCACCAGTTTCCATAGGTAAATCATGGAACTCAATGGGCAACCTGGGTATTCAACTACTCAACCCATATGAATTGTGTATAAATATATATATATATATACATAGTAAAAAAAACAAACAAACATATATCAATACAATGTAATATATATATATATAATATATATTATATTTTATATTATATGTATATATATAAATATTATAATATTATAATATATTATAATATATATATATATATATCATATATATATATGTCATATTATATAATTATATATATTGTATCAATCACATAAGACATCAACAACGCATTCGTATTCCCATTCCCCATCCCCACATCCCCATGGCCCCCATGGCAGCTTTGGCTCCGGGGAGGCAGGTAGATTTCGGATCGCAGCTTCTTTCCCAACGATCAGATTGGGATCCGTGATGATACGAATCGCCTCTGTCTGCGTCAAATGGGTTTTTTGCTAAGCAAAAAACATAGAATTACCATAGGAAAACCATAGGAAAACCATAGGAAAATGTGGGTTGAATGGGATTTATAGCTGATTTATGAAAGTTAATATCTGGTAAACTGACAGCTTAATTACTGGAGGGCGAATCTATTCCAACAATAATGGTTAATGGTGGTTTTTATTGTGGTTAACTATGGTTAATCATTATCTGGTTGGTGGTATACCTACCCCTCTGGTAAACAAACAGTTTGCTATTGAAAATGGCCATAGAAATAGTTGATTGTCCCATTAAAAATGTTGATTTTCCATAGTTATGTTAGTTTACCAGAGGGTAAGAAAAACATGTGGAAAAAAACAATGGCTTCCCTGGGAAAATGATGTACAAATGATGTGTGTTTCCCCATCTATGGTAGTTTACCCCAGGTAATTTGAAAGCTGCTTAGGCCAGTCTTCCTCCATTAGTAATCATAAGTATCCATTAGTAGCAGGAGACAACCAAATCTACTGAAGGTTTACCCAGGAAAGCATCTGAAAGATTGGTAGAGTTTCCAGAAAACTGGTCAGTTTCCGTACGGAGTGAGAGTCCCATTCTGAGAGTGTCCCTGAAGATAAAGATGTCTGTGGTGATCAACCCTTAAAGAAGCTGCCAAGGATGGTGGGACAGGAATGGGCGAATTGCAACAGCATCATCCGCTGGTGACATGCATGCATAGTTTTGAGGCTCGTTACACTTCAGAAATCCACCAAGCTTGTTTCTGGAAATACGCCAATATAATCCAATATAAACACAAATTAGGAGCCCTTTGTTTAGGGATCGCAATTTCAAGACAAACGTAGCTTCTGTCAACTCTTTTTGGATACAACTTCAATTTGGACTCAGAAAAAATATCTGGAGGCTACAAGTTGAACCCATCCAAGTACGGGTCGCTCAAGATCCGCTTAGAAACCATACATTGAATGCTTGGTGCTTAGAGAGAAACTAGATTGTAACCCCTTGTAAAAAGTGGTTCATCACAGAGAGTAATTAGATTATCACCTCAGTTTTCAATGGATCAGTGATAACTGGGGTGAAGTAAGCTATTTGCTGGGGTGAAACACCAAGTAGAGCAACATGTGTTCAAAAGAATGTTCACAAGAAAAAATCATTCCAGCTCATCCCAGTTCCAGGTGTTCCTAATAGAAAGGTCGCGACCTTTATGCCTCCAGATCATTGCATCTGTCTACAGAGTTTTCCAAGTTGCAATGTCCCATGTTTGTTCCGCTAAAAGTCCAATCGTGTTCTTGATTTCCACCCGTTTTTGCAAGTGTATACCCCCGATCTCTGCTGGGAAAAAAAGCAATCACAAGCCTCCACATATCATGGGAGACAATCTTTATGCCTATCCCAGATACCGTCGAAACTGTGCAACAAAAAACACTGCTTAGCTATTCTGATATATTATCTGGTTGGTGGTATACCTACCCCTCTGAAAAATATGAAAGTCACTTGGGATGATTATTCCCAAATGAATGGAGAGTCATAAAATTCCATGGTTCCAGTCAGCACCAACCAGATTCTGTACAGTATGTTTGGCAAAGCCAAGCCCAGAAACAGTAAGCTACTGAAGCTGCTGGTTTAGTGGCCTTTAAGGTTTCTTTTTCTTTCTTCGCGGTTGTCTTCTCCTGACAGCGTGGAAACGCGTTATCACAGCGTTTCCCCTTCGGGCGAAGTTGGTGGTGAACCACCCCAAACCGTAACCGTTACAGCTAAAAGCAGGGTCACATGTGGCATCTTCGCACTTTGCAACTGGCATGCTGAAGTAGACATGGAATAACTTTAGGCATCCAGATTTTTTTTAGCCGGATAATATAGGTATTTTTTGGCTATCGTCGGCTATATCATCCCCTGTTTTGTTGCTTGACCTCCCAAGCTTAATTTCTTAGTCCCCCACATTTGGGTCTAAAAGTGGGGGAGAACCCGAGTACGACCCCGGAATGGCAATACCCAAGGGGCGAATTAATGCTAATAACCCATACATAGTGAGATTGATACCCACTGATACTTGAGCCTACAATCCGTTTCCCCTAATATTTCAACATCCCTCCTAGAAAAGTTGGTTGATCTGGTCTCTTATTGGCTCTGCTCATTTGTGTTGCGTATGGGCCAATATTACCTCCGGCTTAGTTGCTAAAACCCCCCGAGTGGTTCATCGTAAAAAAAGTTGTTCTGGGTGGCTTACAACCCTGGTTCTAGCTGTACTAATCCCGGAATCCCTATTACTAAAACCTCCCTAAACAAGAAAAACTACCCCAGATTCCCAGATTATTCTTTTTCGGGAAATTTCAGATTGGTCAATTTGACTTTTACTTGATCCCCTTTAGAAAACAATTTAAAAATCAAGGTCCATTTGAAGGTTCTATCCCCTTAATAATAAAAACTAGTTAACCCCAAGGTGTTTTTTTATTAGGGTCCGATTGTTAAAATCGAAAAATTCAGGTTTTTTTTTTTAGGTTTTAAATTTAGAAATTTATTATTGGGGGAAAGCTTCGAAATCCAATTTTTGGCAATATTTTAATTATATTATAAAAGGGAAATTAATTGATTTTGAAATCATGTTTTTTAGTTTTTTTAAGGTTTTAAATGTATTATTAGGGGAAAGCTTCTCCCCCGAATATTAAATACCTCCTAATAATCAAAATTACCCCTAGGTTTTATTATTTGGAGGGCGACGTTTAATATTAGGGTGAAGGGATTACCCCCATTAACTCCACTAACTTCGGTTGTAAACTACTCATTAAAATAAACCACCAAGTATTAAAAGCATAAACATATTGATTATTTTCCCCTATAGATTTCCCAATTCTGTCATCATTACCATCCCCCATTTTTGTGGTTTCAACCTCCAAATGCCACATGTTCCGCACCTCGCTCTTCACTGCGGCGCTGCCGCGGCCGAAGCGATTTTCCACCACTTGACATTGCAACGTCACGTCTTCTTCACCTGGCAGCAGCTAGGAGATGGGAGATTCCATCCTCAAGTTAGACATGTTCATATGGTTTCCATAGTTTGTTGGCTATACATATTACCCTCTGGTTATTTAACATAGCCATGGAAAATCACCATTTTTAATGGGAAAATCCACTATATAAATGGGCCATTTTCCATGGCTATGTTAAATAACCAGAGGGCAACATATGTTGTTTCTGTATTTTGTTTATATAGTTTCCATATAGTCCATACAACACCAACGTCCGTGACTCACGGTGGCTCACTCCTTCCCAAGCACCTTCCCACAGCCCAGGGCATTTTGGGGGCCTGCCACGTCCCAAATGGTTTCGCCCTCCTTGAGGTGACGGCCCAACAAGAAGCGCGTCCACCAGAGCCTTGAAATCAGGTGGCTGGAACCAGAAAAAATAGGCATCTAGCAGGGTTGCTGCCAACACCCCAGGTACGTTTGGGGCGTAAATCTGGCAAATATAGAGGGAACATATAGTAAAATGACTCATTTACCCCCCAAAAGTGGCTATCGTGTATCTACAATGGGTTGGAGCAAACATGTCTAGAGCTGATTTATGATAGGTTTCTGTTGGTTTGTAGCTACAATGCTGAGATTGAGATTTATGGTCGATATATATGTAGTTGTGGTTGGATACAACCAGTTGATGCTGCAGCTGCGGGGTTAAACATGGGAATTGTCCAGCCATTCAGTGGAAATCTAACCAATGACTTACTGGTGCGAAACGTAGGGAATGGATGGGTTGCTGGGGGTTGCTGGGGGTTGCTGGGATGAATCTTGATAGTTAGCCAGTGGATCATTCCCGAAAATTCCCTACGTTTAGCACAATGAACAACTGATACTCACTTAGATTTGCTGAGATATACTGGAGCCGCACCCTTGGGGGGTGTCATGATATGATCCGTATTGTCTAGTCTGATGTTTATCCCTATCATATCCCCATAAATTGGTTGGGTATACCTATGTTCAGATGCGCATCCATTGAGTTTAGTTAAATCCCCATTGTTGATGGACGAATCCCTACGTTTAAAGACTTGAATCCATGTTTGTACCTAGTTGAATCACAATGTTTTATTGTTAAATCCCTACTTCTATTCGTTCTACCACCCACATGGTTCATTAAATCCCCATTAAACATCCGTCATATCCTTGTGATGGTTGATATATATATATATATACATACATATCAATATATATATATATATCACTATACAAATATATTTACATATACATATTCCTGTAGATATCCCCATTCTGCTTGGTTAATTCATCGCCCGAGCGGCTGCTTCATGCTCTGTGTGGGTTTGATCTTTGGTTGCCGCAACTTCACTTCCTGGTGGCGTTGCTGGAAAGTTTCACCAAGAAACATCGGGGATATAGTGGGGATACCATGTGTAATACTACAGTAGGGGTTAATTATGGTTAATTAACCATTATAGGAATATATAGGAATATACAATCCCTTCCCCCGTTCTCATTAAAGACCCCCCATATATCATTATGGATGTAGGGGAGGGGATATTAGGGGATAAAAATAATGTGTATATTGTATCGAAAATGGTGACAAAATGAAAATCAACTTGCCAAATCAATTGAAGTTGGGATACAACCTGGTGTCCTCAGTCATGTGGCTGGCTAGATGGCAGTTTGAATGGGGGAAAATCATCGAACTGTTGCTTAGCCATGTGACTATCGACGGGCTGAAAACTCCGCCCTCACAAGCGTTTCAAAAGAGAGTTCTCATTTTTCCAATACAGGGCTCCTATTGTTTCACATTTATGGGGGAATAAACAAATATATACGAACCGAATCTGTTGCATTTCTAATTACAAGACTTGCCTTGAACGAAGAGAAACAAAAGGTTTAGGACCGCCAACACAACAAAATGCCGCAACGCAGTCCTCCTTTCCTTTCCCTTTGCCTTTCCCCTTGCTTGGACCTTTGGCTGGGCCTTTCCCTCCCTTTGCACCCGCATCAGCAGATGGCGGGGAACTCGCACCACCTTTATTGGGGGCGAGTGGACCTTTGCTTTTGCCTCCCTTTGCGGGGCCTTTGCCAGCTTTGGGGGCAGGTTCAGCGCTTTCATCTTTGGCAACTTTGGCTGCCTCATCTCCTTCCGTTGCTCCTGAATCTCCTCCTTTGCTTGGGGCAGGTGGACCTTTGCTCTTGCCTCCCTTTGCTGGGCCTTTGCCTGCTTTGGGGGCAGGTTCAGCGCTTTCATCTTTGGCAACTTTGGCTGCCTCATCTCCTTCTGCAGCTGTGGCTCCTGAATCTCCTCCTTTGCTTGGGGCAGGTGGACCTTTGCTTTTGCCTCCCTTTGCTGGGCCTTTGCCTGCTTTGGGGGCAGGTTCAGCGCTTTCATCTCCGGCAACTTTGGCTGCCTCATCTCCTTCTGCAGATGTTGCTCCTGAATCTCCTCCTTTGCTTGGGGCAGGTGGACCTTTGCTTTTGCCTCCCTTTGCTGGGCCTTTGCCGGCTTTGGAGGCAGGTTCAGCGCTTTCTTCTGCGGCAAGTTTGGCCGCGTCCTCTCCTTCTGTAGCTGTTGCTCCTGAATCTCCTCCTTTGCTTAAGGCCGGCGGACCTTTGCTCTTGCCTCCCTTTGCTGGGCCTTTGCCAGCTTTGGGGGCAGCTTCAACGCTTTCTTCTGCGGCAAGTTTGGCCGCGTCCTCTCCTTCTGTAGCTGTTGCCCCCGAATCTATTCCTTTGCTTGGGGCAGGTGGACCTTTGCTCTTGCCTCCCTTTGCTGGGCCTTTGCCAGCTTTGGGGGCAGCTTCAACGCTTTCTTCTCCGGCAACTTTTGCCACCTCATCTCCTTCCGTTGCTGTTGCCCCTGAATCTCCTCCTTTGCTTATGGCCAGTGGACCTTTGCTCTTGCCTCCCTTTGCTGGTCCTTTGCCAGTTGTGAGGGCAGCTTCAACACTTTCTTCTCCGGCAACTTTTGCCTCTTCATCTCCTTCTGTTGCTGTTGCCCCCGAATCTCCTCCTTTGCTTGGGGCAGGTGGACCTTTGCTCTTGCCTCCCTTTGCTGGTCCTTTGCCAGTTGTGAGGGCAGCTTCAAAACTTTCTTCTCCGGCAACTTTTGCCTCTTCATCTCCTTCTGTTCCTGTTGCCCCCGAATCTCCTCCTTTGCTTATGGCCGGTGGACCTTTGCTCTTGCCTCCCTTTGCTGGTCCTTTGCCAGTTGTGAGGGCAGCTTCAACACTTTCTCCTCCGGCAACTTTTGCCTCTTGATCTCCTTCTGTTGCTGTTGCCCCCGAATCTATTCCTTTGCTTGGGGCAGGTGGACCTTTGCTCTTGCCTCCCTTTGCTGGGCCTTTGCCTGCTTTGGGGGCAGATTCAGCGCTTTCATCTTTGGCAACTTTGGCCGTCTCATCTTCTTCTACTGCGGTGGGCTCCGGCCTAAGCTGGCGATGCGATGAGCTGTCTGCTGTTTTGGATTCCTCACTTGCCTGTTCTTCAGGTTCAGTGTGTCTTGCATTGGCTTCAACCTCAAATTGCTGTCCCGTTAGGCCCGTGGCAGATATGCTGAACTGGGGATATGATCAACCAACTTCCTCATCCTAGATGCAATGAGTGACCACTTTGAATCTCAACAACATGCATCATGTTCATTCTTGAAAATAACACTTGCTGGTTGTCACATGTTGTTTGTTGACACATAAGTCCTTTTTTGTTGCTTGAATCTTATGATTTGTTGGTGATCAAAAACCGAGCCTTGTTGCAAAAAAAAACAATTGTGTTTGTTACATCACAGTTCTTGCTGGTTAAATCCATGTTTCTTAATGTTAAAACTGCCTACTTTTTCATTGTCAAACCCCCATGTTCAGTGGCTGACATGTTTGCTGGCTAAATTTTGCTTTTTTCTTGATTAGATTTTGTGGTGTGTTGCTCCTTTGAAAAAATAACTTTGAGTGTGATAGATGATACATCCACCCCAAAAACAACACAAAGTGCGTAAAGGGGTGCTCCTGCATGGCTATGCCGGCTATCTATGATCCATCCATCTTTATTCAAAGAATCCAAAAACTACCATTAACATCCATTAACATCCAATCCCTAATGAAATATATATATATATATATCCAAATATCCAAACATACCCAAAGATCCAAAACTAACATCCACTAACTCATCTCCAAAGATTCTCCAGCCATCAATCCCTGCCCCTGCCGGGCCTGCCGGGGATGAATCCACTAGACACTGGGATGGGACAATGGGAGTGTTTGATACATAGATTATACTCATTTAATATCCATGAATACTAGATATCAATATGCCACGAGAGGAGCTAATCATTAATCATATCACAATATATCACAATATATCACATAGTTGATAAGCGATATAAGATTATATAAGATTATATAAGCTTATATAAGCTTATGAATGTATATATATATACATATAATATATATATATACATATAATATATATATATATATACATATAATATATATATACATATAATATATATATATATCAGCCATTCATATCCAATAAGACCCATGTGGAAAAAAAATGCTGTCGCAGTGTCCAAGTCGCAGCTGTCGAAGCCGAGGCTGCCGATCCCTGCCAGTCACAGCATGTCCAGATGTTTGGCCTTATAAACCTATGGAAAATGTGGTGTATAACTGTGTATAACTATCAATATATATATATATGTATATATATATATAAACTATAATCAACTATAATCAACTATAATTCTATAATTAATCAACTATAAGCAACTCTAATCAAGAATAATCAACTATCAGCAACTATAATCAACTACTAATATATTTCCATTAGTTGGTGTATAACAGATATAAGTTTGAAAAAGTGTGATTTAAATATTAAAGGAAGGTTTAATGGGAAATTCGGAATTTCATTGAACATAATGGTTTTGATTTGAAACATTGTATCTTATTTGCCCATGGGCTATACCCAATTGTATTGTACTTTGAATCAGAAAATGATGAGAAAATTGGCCAGAAGCCACTCATGGCAGACTAAGCTGGAAGGATTTTTGAAGAATGGAATAAGGTAAACCGGACAATAGCACTATAAAAATATAATATAATTATATATAAATATATATATATCCCTTTTAACAGATTAACATTGGATAAATATATCAACCAGATAGGATGGAATCTACTAACTATGATGAATTATGGATGGATACTGCCCCAAGTGCGGTGACTGCGATGACGTCTGGGACCCCTGATACAAGCTGGAACGGTATGTCACAGGTTCTCTAAGTTCACTACGCACAGCTACGTTGTCTCATAATCTGATAGAAACAGCTTTGGAAAATAATTGGTTCAAAATACCGCAAGGTGGTGCTCCCCAGAGGCACTTAAGTTGGTTTAGAACTCGGCGAACTTTGGATTGGCATATATGTTATGTATATATAATATAATATATATATATACATAATATATATATATATACATTGATACATAATATATATATATACACAAGATATATATATATAATATAAATCAACTTAGATAGTGGTATAAAGCACCACATTTTTTCATCACTCGGCGATATTTTTAGCTCCCGCACATCCGAGAAAAGTCCCAGCCAAATCATCGCAAATCAAAGCCATATTTCAATGCCTGGCTGCCTGATGGTTTTGATCACCATTTCTATTGGGTACCCTCTGGTTATGTCAAAATAGCTATTGAAAATGGCCATAGAAATAGTGGATGACTACCCAATAAAGATGGTGGATCTTTCCATAGCTATGTTAATTTACTGGAGGGTAACTCCCATTTCATTATGATTTCTATTGCTTAAACCCCCATTGTATCAACATGTGATTTCTATTTCAGTAGTTAAAGCCACCCCGCTTGATCACAATTTCTGTCACTTCAACCAGCATTTTACCCTCTGGTAAACGTTTACATAACTATGGAAAATCACCATTTTCAATGGGTAAATCCACTATTTCTATGGCCATTTTCCATAGCTATTTTGACATAACCAGAGGGTAACCCACCATTTTATCACCATTTCTATTGGCCAACTCCCCATCTTCGACAAACATTTGATGCACGTCCCACGTCGTGCCAACCTCCAGAAAATCGCTGAGCATGGGCATCTCGTCGGACGTCTCGGACGTCACCTGGCCCGTCGGCAATGCCATGGGAAAATGAATGAACAGTGGATACCCTCTGGTAAACATACAAACAGCTATTGAAAATGGCCATAGAAATAGTGGATTTACCCATTGAAAATGGTGATTTTCCATAGTTATGTAAACGTTTACCAGAGGCTAATAGTTGTCTTTATCATGTGATAAACAACTGGTTTTAATGAGGTAATAGGTAACCATAGTTCACCATTTAAAATGATAATAGTTATAGTAACCAGAGTGATCATAATTGTCTTTCATCAGGATAGGGGTTGATGTTCCGACGATTCCTAAGAATTTATGAATGCCAGGCTGCGTTTGAATGAAGTTGGTTAACCAACAAAAATGGATTGAGAAAATCAACGCAGGTGATAGAATCTGATAGAACTATGGTTTATGGGGAAGATAACTATGGTTACTGTTTCATGGTGGATAGTAGTTGGATAACCAACAAAAATGAGGACATGATGGGAAAATGATGAAATATATTGGGGATATATATCAACCATTGTAGGGATATGATAGGGATTTAATGGGATATAACCTTGAGTAATCAAAGGGCGGCTGGCTGGAAAATCCCTGATAAACGGATGTTTTGATTGGAAAATCATCTATGACTGATTTACATTTGCTATGTTTGATTACCAGAGGGTATTAGGGAAGTTGACCATGATAGGGATATCATGGAGAATATGGGGATGTAATGGGGAATATGGGGGATTTCTTGTGCAGAACAAAAATAGGATAATAGGGATATCATGGGAATTGTTGAAGCAACTCACAGACATACCCAATTTGAGGTACCTAGGGTACTGGTTGCCCCAACCAGTAAGTCACTTTAGGCAACGTGAGTGGGGTTTTAAGTGTCAAAATATTGTAAGCTGAGCCCAAACATCAGAAAATATCGGGAAAACCATCATCAAACTTGCCAGTTCGATGAATCTTCGAAAGCCCCATTATCTGGTCTAATATTTAACTGGTGGTGTGTTGGGGCACTTCTCACCCCCCACCATCGCCTCTGTCAAGGAAGAGCGAGGCAAAGAGGAACGGGATCTAGACCTAAGGCCCTGAAAGTTCCATCGAGAATGGGACCAGCAACTGGCTGGAATCCCTACAATAGCTACTTGGGGCTGTGGCATTGTTTTTTTTTCCCCAACCATTTTTATGAGATGTAATGGGATGTTTTTCGTGGATGTGTGTATATATATATATATATTATCAACATGGAGAGGATTTGGGCTTGTCTCAAAACGATTCTTCCTACCACTGAACATCAAAAGCATGGGATGGAATGGTTTTCGTGTGTCAAAACCATTGGTAAACCCCTTTTTGGTTCACATCAAGTCATAGCTGGGTTAAAATGGATGTGAATAACCCCCATTTTAAATGGTATTTTCATAGGTATTGATCCATAGACATATCCCAAAAAACAAAAACCCCGCACAAGACTGTAGCAGTCTAGCTGGTCAGTGTATGACCCTGTATCTACGGCAAAAAATAATCATTAAGAATCAACATATATTGATGGTCAACAATGGTCAAAATCTTGATGCCTCATTTTATCACAATGGTCAATTAAGACTTGATATATTTTCCCATGTATATCCCATATATTCCCATGTTAATATGTTCTATGTCCCCATTAAGAATCATCAACATCTATGGGGGTTTCCATAGTCATGGCACCGCAAAATGGAGGGTTTATTTGCTGGAACATCCGATCTAGAACTGGATGACGGTAGCCCTATGACTTAGGAAACCTCCATATGAGCCATGGTCAATACTCACTATATGGTTGATGGTCATCCCATCCATAATAAGGATCCAAAAATAATGGTTATTATAAATCCCTATGAACCATTGGATGACTAGCCCCTGTTAATGGTTATTAACCATGAGTATTGACCATAGCTCATATCTTCTCTCCCAAAAAAGGTGAATTCCCAGAAAAAATCTGGTGCAATTTCCTGTTTGCTCGAGCCGCAAGGAGCGTCGCCAGGACGAAGGCAAGAGTTCCAAAGCAAAGCTGTACCTGGGCGCTGGGAAGCCTGGGAAAAAGGATGAGTGAAACGTCCAAAAAAGAGCTGGTGGAACCAACAAAGATGGTGGTTTAACTAGCAAAAATGGTGATTTCACCAGCAAAATGATGGTTGAAGAATCAAACATGGTGTTGTAAACATTAAAAATCGGGGGTTCAGCATCTCAAAATGTTCAAACAGTGGGCGCTAAGCATAAAACATGTCGGTTTAACATGGTTTAGGATGGTATAGCCATCATTAAATATGGTGAGACACGGGGATATTATAGCACAACAATACGATATCGTTTGGGGGTATCTATTGATGGAAGAGATCATTCAGAATTCACAGGACAGAAATATACCATCGTCTGATTCCATATACCCTCTGGAAAACTTTCACATACCTATGGAAAATCACCATGCATTTTTCATGGGAAAATCCACTATTTCTATGACCATTTTCAATAGCAAACTGTTAGTTTACCAGAGGGTGCTACGTTTGGTGTGTGGAAAAACGTCGGGGAACCCAAAAGATCCAATTTTCCCCATGAGCACACCGGTGGTTTTTCAGGGTTTTTCAGACACCGGCGTCTTCAAAAAGGCGGTCGGACAGTTTGATGGTTGAGTTCCAATCATAACTAGTATGTGGTTGGGAAACTCCTGGTAGCTCCAAATCGCTCCCCATTTTATGTTGGGAATATGAATAGCCATAGCTCCTTAGCTCGCTCCCTCCGTTCACCACTGGATATATAAGTAGGTGATACCACTTCGGTGAACCACCAAAGGATGTCTACCAAAGATCCAACGTCAAAAAGAGAACAATGATGGCATGATGGCTTGGGAGTGCGGACCAGGCCCAACCATTTTTATGGACCAGGCAAAGTTGCAGGATTCATCAAGTGAGTTGATTATGACATGTTGTCAGAAAAATGCCAATCAAATGGAAAGGCAAATGAAGCAAAACCCTAGAAGGAAACCTTGGGATACCTCAAATGGATACGAATCATATCGATTAAATGGGGAAAAAACAACTTCAACAAATGTCAAATGATACAAACATCATTGTCATCAATAGACATTAATAAATATAGTAATGCTCTCATTGTTATGAAAATACCAAATTATTAATATTAATTCAATGTGATGCAATAATGTACATTGTCATTGTTATTCTATAACATCTTTTATATCCAAATCCCATTGTTGAATAACCAAATCAATTGTCCATTGTTTGCAAAATATTATGAATATCATATCCATTGTCATTGTTGATAGTTACCCATTGGAAAATTGTCTGTGATAGTTCACAAAAAAAAAAAATGCTGCTTGGCTGGCTATTTTCCATTTATCTGGGTAAATTATAACATTTCACTAACCTGAATAGTTCGGCCATTTGGGGATGATTTCCCGAATCCTAACCATCATTCCCAGGGCTCGGGAGAACAGTGAGGTCGTGATGAAATTTACCCGTCCAGTTGGTTGGGGATGAGATGTGCTTATCAATGAAAAAATACCACTATAACTAAATCATTAAATCATGAGGGGATGATTTTTGCAATCATGTACCAGGTACTATAATAATAATGATAATAATAATAATAATAATAATAATAATATATTTTGAGATACTAATGTGGTTTGAACAATAAAACCATCACCCAAATCACCATTTTTATAGGTGGTATTGTTCCCATTCCCAAATGGATGGTTTATGGCATTGTTTTACCCACATTACAACTATTATAACTACCAAATTCTCCAAACATGGCCAAACTTAGTTAGATACCCTGATACCCCGCAAAAAAAATACAAATTCTTAGCTGGTGAATGTAGATAATCCCATACCAAAAGACTAAACGATTAGTTTCTACCCATCTAAGATTGACCTAGTAATCATCGTTAATCATCATTAATCCTCATTAATCATCATTCATCATAATCACTAGAAATCACCATATAAATCACCATCTTTGCTTTTGCCTTGACATTGACATGATCACTAAAAATACCAGTTTTTGATAATAGCATTATATAATTTATATAGCTACTAAATGACCAAAAGTCCGAAAAAAAAAAAAAAACGTGCAATTCCCAGGGCACATGTCTTCCAGCGAGGACCTTCGTTCACCGTCTCCCACGGCCGAGGAAAAACTGCCGATGCGGAACTCCTGAAGCGATCACATTGGGGATTTCACCCAAAAAACATGGGGAAAAAAATGGAACCATGCATGACGACACTAACATAGCCATGGTATAGATGGCCCATAGAAATAGATGGTTTACCTATTAAAATTGGTGATTTTCCATGGCTATGTTAGTCATAACCAGAGGGTAAAAAAACATCAAATGAAAGTTACTTCATCACATCAAGATTCCTCCATGAAAAATATGGAAAGAATGGGATTTGATGGAGTTGATCATCTGGCTACATTGCTACCGAATGCTGCCATCATGGGATATGGGCCATGGGCTTCCAAGCTCCATGAGCCCATGAGCCATGTGGCGAGACCTCCATGAGATTCCCCAATGGTGCAAGGAACAACGTGAGCCACAAAGGGATTAACCTGTGAAAATGGGTGTAAAAGCTGGGAAGAATTGGCTGTGGGAAAACTCAGTAACAACATGTAACAACCATGACTGACCCTGGATAGAGTCTAAAATCCTGGGGATAACTAACATAACTATGGAAAATCACCATGTTTAAATGGCAAAACTCACTATAAATGGCCATTTTCCATAGCTATGTTAGTTTACCAGAGGGTAATGAACATTCATCCACCAGCAAAGTCATCAGGTGTGGGATACCATTGATTTTGGGTTTCCCGATCAGCCACAAATGAAGAATTTTCTCTAAAATTGGTATCGTATACTCCGACTTAGGGTAGTTACAATGGGGCAAAGGATGACAAATCTGAACCGATTTGGGAGTTGTGATGTCCGTGATTTTCAAACAAATACAGATATATAATCATTTATAATCCATCTTATAAACCCATTTTATCAGTATTTTGGATCAGTTATATTCTATTTATATATACAGATAATCAGCTACAATCCCATTCATACTCCAATTTCGATTTATTGGAGGTACCTACCATATATATATATATATATTAATATATATATATGGCCTATATAATTAAGGCCTAAATTTCAGGGACTATCCCCACAATTCATATGGCCTGAAATATGGTACTAACGTGCCTCCGTTTTAGGATCCTTTTTCATTCCCATTGAAACTAGATGGGCCATCTACACCACAGTTACAGTGGATGGTTGCAAAATCCGAGACACAAAGTGATAATGGTCTATCCCATTATTTATACGCTTTTCCATGGTTTTCCATTGTTTTTCCATTGGTTTTTGACGCATCATCTCCTGCACGCGACTTGATGCAGCTTCCGCATCATCCTGCAGGGACGGGAAAATCCTGCAGGGAATGGAGGTTTATAGCTGGGAAAATCATCTGTAAATATCTGTAAATGGGGAAATCATTTGTTTCAGATGTGATGTGATGAAGTAACTTTCATGGATGATGTTTTTTATCCTCTGGTTATGACTAACATAGCCATGGAAAATCCACCCATTTTTAATAGGTAAACCATCTATAAATGGACCATTTTCCATGGCTATGTTAAATAACCAGAGGGTAAATGGGAAAATCATTTGTTTCAGAAGGGGATAAAAAACTACCTGATTTACTGGGGATTTTGATGGACCTTGATAGGATTGGGAAAGGGTTTTGAACCAACTAGTATTTCATGAGATGGGATAGGGGTATTTTTAATGGCTCATATGTCCTCCGGATAGAATTTTAAGATATTTTAAGTCTTCCAAGAGGTGTCGGGGTTCCCTCCGGGCATATATGGCAAACTTTTGAACATTCTCGATATCAATCGTGTTCTACTGGGAACATCAAAGCCATACCATGCCGGTGAATGTTCCATTGCTGTTGCAGCATGTTACAGCGGCCTTGGGAGTCCCGAAACCTATCGAAACTTCATGTGCTTTTCTCCCCCAAATATCAGGTATCATCATGTGGGGATGGGTCAAAACCCTGTACCCCTAGTGAACCTCAAAATAGCTGGTAAATGGATGTTCATCCCCCTAAAAATGTATCTATCGGTATTGACCCATACCCATGTATCATTGCTTCATGTGATCAACAAATCTCAACTTAAGATCTTTGAAAACCACCTGCCCAGCACGTTCAACAGCGGCCTTTTTGCACTTCATCTGTTCAGGTATATCTGGTATTTGAATTGGCTCACACCAGGAACTAACACTGCCATGCAGTTGTGACATGAACGACTCGACTCGTTTGAAACGATGCTGCAACAGCCAAAGATTTTTCCAAAGTCAAAGAATTGCTCCACACATATAACTTATATATCAAGTCCTTGTTGGATCTGGCAAAACAAATCCGAAAATGGCCGAGTTCCTTTCGTTCCGTTCTTTCCCACAACGAATCTGTGCTCAGGCTGTGCTTAGTCGACTTCCTCAACGGTGGGGCCGGCATTGCCTCCTGGCGTTGTCAAGGTTCACTTCTGTTTGGGATGCTGCTGGTAAAGAATGGTGGGTTTAACTGTTTAACCAGTAGAAATGGTGGGTTTAACCAGTGTAAACAGGGGGGCGTGTTGAACTTTTGAGCCCGGCAAAACAGGAGTTTGAACCATTAACAAGTGTGATTTACTCCGGCAAAACTGAATGTATATATATACATATACATATATACATATATACATATATACATATATACATATATACATACATATATATATAAATGGGGTAATCAGGTAATAAAAATTGGTTTCTTATATTAGCTCTCTGAGGCTGGCGAGTGACTCAGCAGGGCAACAAATGTTTGATCCCAATGTGTGACAATTTGAAGGGGAAAAATAAGGATGATCCTTTGGAAGTTATGGGTTCCCTAATCCAAACAAACCCATTTTCTTCGTTTTCTTAGGGTGCTGGAGACTGTCAGTCTATGTCTACCACATGATATCCTCATTGAGTCCTCACTATCGGAACGGTCTGATACACCCACTGCCCCACCCAACAAAGTTCACATGTCAAAACTGAAATTCGACCACGTACCCTTTGGTAAACTAAGATAGCTATGGAAAATAATGTGTTTTAAAGGGTAAATCACCTATAAATGCCCATGTTCAATAGCTATGTTTGTTTACCAGAGGGTAATGCCTACTGTTAACTAACATAACTATGGAACATCACAATGTTTAAAGGGTAAATCAAATATTTCTATGGCAATTTTCAATAGCAAACTGTTAAATTACCAGAGGGTATGGATAATTTTCCGAACGGGAAACCAATATGTTGCTTTACCCAATACCCAAATGGTACACCATTTCCCACAGCATACTGTTGAATAACCAGAGAGTATCCCCTTATATACTGCATATCCTTACATCCGGATAATAATTATAATACTAGTAGATAAATATCAATAACATAATTGATATTCCATAGTAATCCCATAATTTGCGGTGGTTTTAACCAAAGTGCTACTGTTGTTGCCATTGTTACCATTTTCCACTGCTATAGTTGGACGGATTTGGTTTTCTCCTTCGCGTCTCTCTGCAGCATGCCCACCCACTGCCATTTAGCACCGAGGAAGGACTACCACGTGACTGTCTGTACAACTTTGATCAAATTTACATGGGGGGTGCATCACGGCTTGCCAGCTCAGCAACCAATTTCATGCGGACAAGCTGAGTGCCAAAACGGACTTGGCAGCCAGGGTATCTGGATGTCGAGGGCCCAGCGTCCTGATTCTGCCTGCCACTAGTTCGCAGCACAGCTCTATTACAAAGTCACACACGGCCTCCTCGCCGATCATGGCACCCAGTAATGACCCAAGTCGCTGGAGGGAATTGCGGGTACTTGGGTGTTGAGGACCCAGAAGCCTCTCCCTGGCTTCCAACGCGCGCCTTTGCAGTGCCAGGGCTTCACTCAAATCACCTCTGTCATGGAGTGCAACTGCCAAATTGCTTACGGACTGCAACGTCTCAGGATGCTCAGGACCCAACGTCTTTTCCCTGGCCTCTAAAGCACTGCGGTGCAATTCTATTGCTTCGCTCAGATTGTCCACGACTGCCAGGGCAATAGCCAAGTTGGTGATTGCGCGCAAAGTATGACGATGACTAGGACCCAAAAACGTCTCGCTGAAGGCTATAACCTGGCGATACAATCGAATAGCTTCAGCATCGTTTTTCATTCGATAAAGGATGAGAGCCAAATCGCACATAACCTTGAGCGTAAGTTTGTGCTCAGGGCCAAGAGTTTTTAGCAGGGTATCAAGGATTCGTCGATTCATCTTCTCAGCTTCCCACAGGTTATCAATATCTCCTAATGTACCTGCCAGACGCCAGCTGCATTTCAAAGCAGGAAGGCTCTCAGGACCATATGTTGACTCGGAAAATGCCACCATGCCTTGCCGCAGAGGCAATACCTCCTGATAGAAGCCACGCAGTGATAGTACCGCGCCAAGCCGCTCCTTAGCCTCCAGATCTGCAGGTGCGAGATGAACTCGTTGGCGCAAGGTGTGCAGCAATTGTCCACGGGCATTTTGGACACCATCTTCACCAGACACTCGCAGCACCACGCAACAGCGAGGAGGCTTGCCCGGCTCGTTCAAGAGCTTGTCCCCAAGATTCCTGCCCGGTTCCTTCCCCGCCAACACCATTTCTGGAGTGGCCGTTGTGCAGACATCAAAGGCGTTGACGGGATCGACGAGGATTGGGACGCAGTAGGCTGCTCTCTTGGGATATTCGCGACGTACATATGCTGGACCTTTCTCCGGATCTTCGCTGTCGCGGTCTCTCTGCATCATGTTGCGGAAATTGTTGTCCAGCAGCTGCTCGCGACTTTGCCATTGGTCAGGAGGCAATGGGACCGTATAGATCCCCTTGCCCCACCAGGCGTTAGCGTTGGGCCCTTCCGTTCTCAAAGATGCCCAAACTTCAGCTGCCACCTTGCTGGGATGGGTGATGTTTTCGAAGGCAAGTTCACTGGTGTAGTGAAAAAAAACTTGCCCGCCATCACCTGAGGTTAGGTCAATAGCATCGCGCCACACCTGGATCCCAGTTGGCTTATGCATCCACGTCCAAAAATCACCATCATCATCGTATGTATAATCAGGATGACAAAATTTTCCTCCTTCGCGGTAGTGCTTCTCGAAGTATTCCCTCAGGTTGTTTGTCGTTGTGGTGCTGTCGCTTTGCTGTGCTGTCAACACCTCGGCTGACATAGCATCTTTGGGGCTGAAAAGGATGTCCAAAAACTGCTCGACGCTCATCTGGGCATTGGGGATTTCCTGCAGCACAGCCTGTGCTTCCTGCTCTGTGCCACCAATGTCCCGCAGAACGCGGATCCAGGATTCCCTGTGGAGGAAGCCATTGCTGTCCTCCAACTGGGATTGCAAGAGGCTCTGCACCGTGCAGCGTAAGTCCTCCATGCTTAGCAGGGGACAGCTGCAGGTCACGTCCTCAGAACATGGCTTGGAAGTGAAACCATTGTATGATCGTTAGGCTCATATGGGTCCATTCACATCATTCATATCATTCATATCATGTCCTTATTGCTATCTCCATGAATTCGAGGACTAGTCCATGTATATTCCATTGTGGCAAAGCCCTCGAGCCATAGTAACCATTCCATGCATTCCATGGTGGCCATGATAATGGGTATACCATGATATACCACCAACATCTGGGTAAATTATACCCGGCCTGGTAAACGTTTACAAAAAACTATGGAAAGATCCACCATGCTATTCATGGGAAAATTCACTATTTCTATGGTGATTTTAGTGATTTTCCATAGTTATATGTTAAATTACCAGAGGGTAACGACCTCACTGTTCTCCCGAGCCCTGGGAATGATGGTTAGTGGGGGTGACTATCCCCAAATGACCGCAAGTTTCAGGTTAGTGAATTCTCATAATTTACCCAGACATTATGTACTGTGTCATATCCATTTCTTGGTTAACCAACAAAACAACCAACTATTATTCCAACTGCTATCCCTCATTAACTATAGTTATATTTGCCATATTTGTTTGATATGGCTATGGAAAATGGCCCATTTAGTTCAATGAACAACATTATGTTTTACCTATTAAAAATGGTATAAGTTGTATCTTGGATGACTTACCCAACTATAAACCATAGTTAACCCCCAACTATAGTTACATTTCCCATAGATTCCTATCATGGTAGATATATCCCAATGATATTCCACTATATTCCCATAGAATATTCCCATGTTTCTGGCTTAACCAACTATCACCAATTACTATTCCCCATTAACGATAGTTGTTTCCCATAAATTATAACTATACGATGGGCCAGACTATGGGTAATATATGGATGTATCCTCCATGAACTATTGATATCAACTATAACTATACCATAGTATATTAGTATACTATATCAATATTAGATATATACCATATATATAGTATACTATAGTTATATCACCCGTGTTGATTTCTCCGTCGATTTTTCTTCATCCCCAACTATAGTTCTATTTCCCATAAGCCATAGGAATATCCTATGAAGTATAGTCAGGTTTCCCATTAATAGTATATCCCATTATACTATATCCCGCTATGGCTATATGTTTTCCCATTAACAAACTACAGTGGATGGTTGCGAAATCCTGCACCAGTTCTGTAAACATATGTATCATATGTAAACATCCCAAGCAATTCATAGGCTTTCAACCATCCGTTTGGTGGTGCAGGATTTCGCCAGCACCGTTTGACACATGTTGACACCACCATACACCACCAATTTTTTGGAAAATTTTGGAGATGGTTTATTGGGTTTACAAGAGGGTTTACCTGAGGGTTTACCAATGTTTACCACAGTATCACCAACTACTATTTCCCATTAACATCCACGAAAACTATATCCATATATATATATGGATGTATCCTCCAGGAACTATATATATATATAGATATAAACTATAACTATACTATACCATAGATCCTATTGCCCTCTAGAGTAAACGAACTAACAGTTTGCGACATAGAAAATGTCCCAGTCGAAATGGTTGATTTACCCATTACCCTCTAGAGTAATTTCACACAGCTATTGAAAATCACAATTTTTAATGGGAAAGCTCACTATTTCTATGGGCCATTTTCAAGTTCGCAAACTGTAAGTACGTTTACTCTAGAGGCTAAATCCCATCTCATCCCAAAAAAATCACCATTGTTAAGCCATTGTTAAAACATGGAAAATCACCATTCAACAACCATTTTTCAATGGATTTCCCAACTAAAAACTGCTGGATTTCCCAGTTCTCCTGGAGGTGCTCCGGCAGCGCCTCCGGGCATGCCACCCTCCGGCATGCCGCCACCGCCCGCGGCCTGACATGGAAAATGCTGGTGTTAGGTGGTCAAAAACCATGGAAAAATAGCAAAAATACCATGAAAATTATGGTGGTTTAACATAGTTTAACATGGTCTAAGCATGAAATCTACAAAAGCAAAATATGGGTGAACCGTTAACCAGCGGTGAAGCCGTCATAGGAGTTGTGGCCTTGAAAAAAGCTTTGGGAAAGTTGTGGCCGCTTTAACCACCATCAACAGAATGGGAATTCTCATTGAAGTCACACCTGCACTTGTTGGTTTAAAGGGAATGCAATCTGGGTAAATTATCATATTTCACTAACGTGAATTAAGGCCATTTGGGGATGATTTCCCTTACTAACCATCATTCCCAGTGAGGTCGCAGTGAGGTCGTTGTAATTTACCCAGATGCAATGATGCATCTGGTAATAAATCCCCTGCTCCCATACGAAACTGCTTTGCAAACGGATCTGTGTGGCATATAGATTCAAATCGCCTGTGGAAATACAGGTGACTACGGGTCTATCTGAAATTGGGCTATACCCAGAAAAAAACAAGTTTTATGTTGAGGACATGATAATTAACATTGATTAACCATGAAATTTGGGGTTACCTGATATTATCACACAAACCCACCTTAGAATGAGGTGGGTATCTTTACACCGGCTAGTCATCATGTTCCCACTTTTCTTAATGGCCAAAAAAAAAAACATAAAATGGCTGGTATACTAGTATAATTGCATATAATCAGATTATAATCACATCGTTTTCAGACACCACATCCATATCAAATCCAACTCACATCAACTTCCGCCTGGTAGACCTTCATCATGATGGGATTGACGATACCCTCCAACTCCTTCTGCTTGGCTTCAAACTCGTCCTCAACGTTTGGAGCGTTGGCGGAATGCAGAATGCGCCCCCTGGGAACGCTTGAAATTCTGCCCCAAAAAGTAAACCATGCCCAGTCAGGCCCTAAGGCCCTAATGGTTCCATAAATTGAAAAAATAACAACTCAATGTCATCGAAAACCATAAGAAATAATATCATTGACAACCATTTATCATATGTGCGCTGCTGGCTAACTTTCCCTAGAATCAAATATATATATACAGTATATCGAAATACCTATACCATACTCAAGGGTAGTACCATTGCATCATAATCTATACAACTAACTTAGCAGACTCAGCGCGATGATAACTTAGTTAATAGCAGCATGACTCGATCTGGCCCCGGTTCCCAAAACGTCCCAGAGTCCACATGTCTCGGCGTCTCGGCACCCAAATCGGATCAAATCGGTACCCCTACCTGACAGTAACTCATCACTTGAATCTAGTAAAAAATGGAGTCCCAAACTATGGGGGCACCCAAATCATATCATCCGTTTATGGGATTCCATTTTAATCATCATCCGTGTTTGAAAATGTTCCAGCCAATCAACGGAGACCATACAGCTAGTGGGATACCCCCATGACATCCCATGACTATCAAAACATCCATATGGGACTGCTCGAGTCCTTCTCAGCGAGCTGGTTCTTGTCAAGCCAATCCTGAGTTCGACGTTGGTCCCATGGCCCCTATTTTTCACGCTACAAAACAAGAACTTGCAAAAGCTGAAGAACACATCTGAGTGAACTCTGAAAAGAACAACGACTCAACCATTTCTGGTCACAATGATCCAATCCTATCTATATTGTTCCCCGCATAAAAATAATCTCCCAATATCGTTGTTGCAAAAAATATCCCAAAATATCCTTTAGTTCACCTACTCTTCACTAGTCGGTTTACTTTTAGGGCCGATTTTTCCCCATTGAAAAAACAAAGTTGTCATCTGTCGCTGGTCAGAAACCCTATTTTTCCCCATTGAAAAAAGGCAACATTTAGACAACTCACTACACAAACAACCTGTTGGTTGACCCAAATGTTGGCGGTTCTCAGCCTCAAACCTAGCTAATTGGTGGTATACCTACCCCCCCGAAAAATATGAAAGTCAGATTGGATCATCATCCCAACTATTGGGGAAAATAATCCAGTCATGTTCTAAACCACCAACCAGCTAGGATTCCTGCACCACCAACAGGATGGTTGAAAGCCCAAGAAAATAATGGGATGAAGCATCCATCAACTGGTGCAGGATTTCGCTGGCCCATCCACAGTAGGATTCAAATCAGTGGTTTTTTAGTCATGTCCTGGAGATACCCTCTGGTTATGTTAACAGTTTGCAAACTGGAAGCCATGGCCCATGAAAAGTTCGTTGATTTATCTTTAAAGATGGTGATTTTCCAGTTCGCAAACCGTAAACGTTTACCAGTCCGATGACGTTCTCAAGCAAGAAAATCTAGTCACAATGGACCATGGCCAAGTTACTGTGGGTTTTTTGATGGGGTCCCCCTGGTCATTCCACAATCAATTGGTAGATAATCCCTATCCAATGTGGGCATGAGCATCTGCGCTGAATTTATCATGTCGAATCACATCCCATGCAGATAATATCCCAAGCATATCCCAATGGCATCTCCTATGGAAACAACAAGTGCTGCCCAAGATTCAGCTTGGTTCTTGTTCCATCCAACTAGTTCGATATAGTTCGATATACGATATACCAAGTTACGGCCACAAGAGGTAGCTTAGCTACTTTTGATGTGCCAACCTCTGGAGCACTACTGGAAAATCACCATGTTTCATAGGTAAATCAACGAACTAAATGTGCAGTTTTCAATAGCTATTTTGCTATTTTTGTTACTCAAATCCCCATGTCGTGGCTGCATCCACCGACATCACAAAGCGGGTTGCTATAACTGGATGTGCCACGAATCGTGGTAGCCATGTTTGCCATGTTTGCCATGTTTTCTAGTGGATATCCCATGTTTTTTCATCTTTTTTCTGGGGGTATAAGCCATTTACGATGCATGGGGCCTGCACCCCCCCCACACCATCCAACGAAGAGGTTTCATAAGTCATAGGGCCTATAGGAATTAGCCCTCATCATCCTCATCATCCTCATCGATTAGGTGCATATTCTGCATGCTGTATATCATATTATATATATATATATTATACTATAATATACTATAAGATACTATAATATACTATAAGATACTATAATATACTATAAGATACTAGAATATACTATAATATACTATACATACATATATATATATATATGTTTCAACTATCATAAAAACAGGTCAGTATAATATACTATCATCATCCTCATCGATTCTTGCTGTTTCCATTGTTCCCCAACCAGCTCTTGGATCCCCAAGTCCGTCGGACCGTCGGACCAAGTCTCCAAGGTCTCTTGCACCGCGGATTCGATCTTCTCCTTATCACCTCCCTGGCGTTTTGTTTTTTTGGGGCACTTTTCGATGGTCTGATACCATTGATGGGATAGCAGTTTTTATATGTTTTTATATCAATAACTATGGTTTATAGGTGATATAACTATCAATAACTATGGTTTTTTTCGGTGATATATCTAGAAAAATAACTATGGTTTTTTCGGTGATATAACTATCAATAACTATGGTTTATAGGTGATATATCTAGAAAAATAACTATGGTTTTTTTCGGTGATATATCTAGAAAAATAACTATGGTTTATAGGTGATATAACTAGAAAAATAACTATGGTTTATAGGTGATATAACTATATCTGGTTGGTGGTTGAGCCCTACCCCTCTGAAAAATGATGGAGTTCGTCAGTTGGGATTATGACATTCCCAATACATGGAAAAATAAACAATGTTCCAAACCACCAACCAGACATGGGTTCGCATCATTGATGAAAATGGCAATTTTTGGGAGATCCAGCATTTTTGAACAAAGTTAAATCTCCGTTTTCATTGTTGAACTCTCTATGTTTGAATTTCTGCCTACTACATCAACATTCTTATTGGTAAGATACATGTGTTCTACATGTATATCATATATTATGCTATAATATCCTATAATATACTATAATATACTACAATATACTATAATACACTATATATATTTCAACTATCATAAAAACAGGTCAGTATAATATACTCTGATATACTATCTATATAATTTTTTGTATCTCCAAAAAGTAGTTCTTCTGGACGACTTTTCCCATAGCTTTTTGTGTCCGGATCTGGTGCCTCGAACTTCTCCTTCAGCTTCTCCTGAGCGATGAGAAGCAACATGTTTATAAATTGTGGGTGAAATTTAGCAGGAATTCAACATGGTTAAAGCATGTTAAAACTTATCAAATTAGTAATAATTAGTTGACTTGACCCAAAAAATATCAAAGTTCGAAGCCTGTTTGATGGTGAAACTATTTTAACTTATTTGGCATGAGATTTTGTGACCTGAATATGCCTAAATCAATCAACGTTGGGATGTTTTGCCAAGGATTCTCACCCAAGGAACCACACATCGTGTTTTCACAGAAGATTCGGTTCTTAACAAACAAACAGGAAGGATACCCTCTGGTAAACTAACATAGCTATTGAAAATGGCCATTTATAGTTGATTTTCCCATTAAAAATGGTGATTTTCCATAGCTACGTTAAATTACCAGAGGGTAACCAGCACAAATATGAACAATTAAGGGTAGATTAACAAACAAGATGGTGCGTTGATATCGGGAACAACCAAAAATGGATTCTTTGCCCCCCCACCGTCAACATCTGTTGCCTAGTACGAGTAAATTTTGACTGGTATCAAAATATCAAACACATCCAAGCCTAGATCATTCACTCTACCCCCACATCATTGTGTGCTCTTCGCAAGCGAGTTGGTCAAACGTTGCACGTTGACACTTTCCAGGATGACATATACAGACATACGCAATAAACAAGTGGTGTTCAAGATGGTTCAATGCCAGAAGTCAGGGTTTGAAGTTACTTTAACGTTTTGGTCATACATCCACATCAGTATCTGTTAGGCCCTGAAAATTGCTAAAAACCAAACAACTCTTGGACACAAAAATATACACAACGGAGATTTTTCAAATAAGTTTTCAGGATGTACATCAGCCGCAATGTTAAGAGGGAGGATATGTGTTCCTAGTATATTATATTTATTTATCTATTTATTTATTCATGTATTTATATATTTATTTGTTTAGTCATTCATTCATTTATTTATTAATTTATCTTTATTTACCTTCATGCCAGACCCCACTATAATGTGGTAAACCATGGTAAACCCAATCATAAGCCAATCATTCGGGGATGGTTTTTACAACCCAAAAAAAATGGTGATGACTTGGGGATGGTTTATGGCATTAGGTTTACCACACTACTACCATACTAATCTTGGATACCCTGATGTTTTTGCTAGCTGGGTATGACATAGTCAGAGGCATTTTTCTGAATGATCCACGATTCCCAGGACCATATGGAGGTTTCCTGAAATAGGGGTACCCCTAAATCATCCATTTTAATAGGTGTTTCCATTATAAACCATCCATTGTTGGGGTATCCCCATTTATGGAAAGCCCCATATCCCAGTAGCAAAAAGTTGGTGCCTCCCAGTAACTATAAGTTAGTTCATAAACCCCAGGAACTACAAGGTGAGGCCCCGATTTACGATAGCTAAGTTGACGCACGTTTAACTTGGTGAACCGGAATATAACTATACTTAATGGACCTTAATGGGGTATATAAACATATATAAACCAAGTAATACTTATAATAACTGCAAAACCTCATCTTATATACTGCACATGTAATGAACATAAACACTAGGTACCCTTTGGTAATCAAACATGGCTGGAAAAGGTGGGGTCGAAAATCTCCCAAGTTCCCATGGATTTTCTCCCATTAAAACCATCAGAAAAAGCTCCTCGTTCAAGGTATTGCGCATGGTGAAGCAGTAATTCCTCACCAACACGGGTGTTGTCTGAGGGGGATACACTCCAGTAAACTGACAGTTCGCGAACTGGAAAATCACCGTGTTTTTATAGGATTTCATAGGTAAATTGACTATAAATGACCATTTTCGGATTCTGGTAATCTGTTATAGTTTGCGAACTTGAAAATGGCGAAATAGTTGATTTAGCCATGAAAAATAGTGATTTTCAATAGTTATATTTAAATTACCAGAGGGTACCCGTCAAATTGCATTTTTTTGAGCAGGGAGCGTATGATTATTTACCGAATTTGGGGTACTTCAAGCCCTGATTGTTGGGCACCAGAAGGAACCGCATGAATCAAGGAACGATAACTATCGGTGGGTGGTATGACCATCTCAGAATTATTGAGTGAGTCTAATCCGCGGCACATATACATTTACCCTCCGGCAATCACATGGTTTGCCATTATATCCCATTGTATCGCAATATTATTTACCCATGCTATGATTGGTTGTCAAAATACCTTCTTCACTCCTTCAGCCATCTGGATACATCCGGCCAAAGAAACGTAAGAATAACAGCAAATGGTAGCCAATGGATACGTAAGAACAAAAAGGCAACACAATTTCCCATACATAGTTTGATATAGTTTGATTATGTTTGATTTACCCTCTGGTAAACGTTTACATAACTATGGAAAGATCCACCATTTTTAATGGCTAAATCAAAATCCACTATTTCTATCACCATTTTCGCTATTTTGACATAACCAGAGGGTATGATTTTGATGTTCCGATTCCGTGGGTAACTCCTGCTGCATAGAGTTTCACCAAGATCATAAATTACTGATGTAGACTCCCAAAAAAAGACACTGCCAAACTATCTTACAATATCTTAAAATAGATTCTGAACCATACTAAAACACTTATGATTCAAAAACTCGGCCCGTGCCAACCGGCTGCGTCAATCTAGCGCCAATCTGCTGTTTTCAACGGTCTAGGTACTGGGGCCCGCCTAAAAAAACGAAGACTGAAACAGAGAATCCAAAGATCTGAACGATACACGAAGATTCGCTATATGATAGACACAATGCATCGATATATGTGATATATGATACACATATAGCCATGAATATAGTCAAGAATCCATCTATCTATCAAATGCATTTTGACATCCATCATATAGCCATGACTTCATTCCAGCCATGTCTAGGTGAAGTCATGAGTAATTAGCTTCTGGTTATGACTAACAGTCTGCCATGGTATAGATGGCCCATAGAAATAGATGGTTTACCTATTAATAGCATGGTGGATCTTTCCATGGCAAACCGTTAAATAACCAGATGGTATATATCATTATATTTCCTATAATTAAGTACTAACAATGATCCATCATATACCCATAAGTGGGTTAGAATCCGTTAGTCTAGCTAGGGTACACCCTACAAATCCAACTAAGATTAAGAGGGTTATGATGCGGTCATTAACCACTTACTGCAAGGTGGTTCCCCCCCAGTGATGTTTGTTGGTTTATAAACCATAGGAATAGTATGGATATATCTACCATAAACCATAGTGAAATTGGAGGTATTGGCACCAACTGAGCTAACTATGGGGCACCGCCTTGTATACCCATGACTTCATTCAAGCAGTACATGCCTATATATGTATCTAACAATTATATAACCATATTATACACCCATCATATAGCCATTAAATAGTCCAGCTGTACCTGTATAAAACCATCATCTACCCATCATCTAGCCACAATTTTATATTACCATATTATACAATAATTATCTACACTTGGGGGTTTCCATAAATGGGGGTACCCCTAAATCATCATTTTTTGTTTGGGATGTTCCCTCATAAACCATCCAGCAATTATTGGGGTACCCCCATGACTATGGAAACCTCCATTTCTATCCATTTCTATACGCATCATCTAGCCATAATTTTATACAATCATATTATACAATATTATACACTTTTAATCACATTTATACACCTACACCCATCATATATATATACCCATCATATACCCATCATATACCCATCATATACCCATCATATACCCATCATATACCCATCATATACCCATCATATACCCATCAGCCACAGTTCCTTAGGACCTGTTTGTTTTTCTCGTTCCAAGCATCTCCAGGCCGTTCTTTGCCTCGATCTTCTGCTTGTTGGCCTCATCCTCCGCACGGAACCTTGGTACACCACTGCCTTGTGTTTTTGAAGCGAAACAACTGGGGAATCTATGAGAAAAATCAGAAAAACCAGGTGATTTCAGCAGAAATGATGATTTAATGCTGATTTTAATATGATTTCATATGAATAGAAATGGAGAAGTTACCCACAAAGAAGGTGAAACACGTGGAACATGTTGGATTTTTTTTGTTGGTAATTCCACGAAAATGGAGGGTAAGTAATAGACATATGTTTACCCAGTTGTGTATATCCGGCAAAAAAAGCTGCCTGGTGCAATTCTCTTCCCAGGGATCCCCAACTGATGAAAATCCGGATAAAACCCGGGGCTTCAGTTAGACTCCCAAATTCTATGTAAGAAGAAATCTAAGAAGGGCTGTCTCCACTAGTGTCATTTTTGGAAGCGGTTTTCAAGATCCACTTCAAACATACGGACAAAATCCCTTGAACATATTTTTGAGGGGGCCAATCAAGAAGTTTTCCTGACTCATTTCAACAATTCATAGGGGGGATGCAGTTCCTCTAAGTGGGTAACCTTGTTCACCATAGTAGGGGCCCCATATCCATCCATATCCAGCCATATCCCATCTTACGGACTCTTATGGAGGTTATTACCATAGTTATCCCATAGCCACCCTAAGTCATCCAAGGCAGGCCATTTACTTCGATATTTTTTCATCGTTTCTCGATTTTTGCGTTTTTTTTGCAGTTTTCAATGGATTAGTTTAAGGGAAAATCTGCAGGAAAGCCCCATGATCTTCATGGGAAAGTCACTCTGGTTTCCTGTAAATTTTCCCTTCAACCAATCCAATCAAGTTTGCAAAGTGTTTCACCGGTTTTTTTTCCAGAGGCTACAATTGGAAATCCTGTTCACCAGAATTGTCCCATGATTTCCTGGTGATTTGATGGTGAAATGCCCGGGCATCCCACAAACTTTTCCAGCTTTGATTGATCCATTGATCCCATCGTAATCCATCAACATGTTCACTGCATCAATCCTTCATTTTACTTGCTAAAGCATCACTTCTACTAGTAAAACTACATTAAACTGTTCTTTACTAAACCCACCATTTCTTACTGTTTAAACTACCATCTCTACTATTTTCTACTGCTTAAACCAGCATTTCTGGTGGTAAAACCATGGTAAAATCATAGTAAAACCACCTTGTTCATGGTTTTCACATAATTTTTACATGGTTTTACCACCATTTTCATAGCTTTAACTTAGTTTTTTTTGCACGGCGCCGAGGCGCTTCTCTGCCTCCTGCACCATGCGATCGATCTCGCTCTGCGACAGGCGACCCTTCTCCTGAGAAATCCATGGGATTTATAGATTTTACTGGGGAACATGCTGGGAAAATGCTGGGAAAATTGTTAGAACATGTTGGAAGTGCTGGGAAATCATGAAAAACAATGCAAGTAAAACTTCAATGGATCATTAAAAAAATAGGAAACACACCATGAAAAAATCTGCGGCTCTCATGGGGATGACACGGCTGGCATGGCTGGGTCTGGCTGTTCATATGATGTGGAGAAAATTCAGATAGACTATGATAGACTTATCCCATCCATATCCCATTCCCATCATAGTCTATCATAACTTTAGGATATCATATAACTATAGTGGATCTATCATAGACTATTCAGAAATTATCCCATCCATATCCCATTCCCATCCATTCCCACGAAACACTACGCAGGTTTTTGGGCCAAGTTATGATCCCTTTTGGACGGACCCAAAAGCGAGGCAGAATCGAGAAATCCGATGTTTTCTCGGAATTTTCAGCTTCGAGTGTGGAATGATGCCTTAAATGCTCTATTATATGTATGGCATATTTATCTACATGGACCTACAAAACTGGGTGATTTTGAAGGTAAATGTTGATAAATATTCCATACATGGAGCATATTGCTCTATGGTGCTGGTTTTTTTTTTACCATTATTTACCTACAAAACTGGGTGATTTGGTTCGGGTCAATGTTGATAAATATATTCCAGCACCATGGTGAGCTAATATGGGGATGATTAAAAAAAGTGACCTGAACAGATTCCGTTTGTGGAAGTCTCTGTCAGCAACATCTCGCAGGCATTGCTGACATTGCCAGCTAAATTTTGCACGTGACTTTTTGTGGCAGCTGATTCCTACAAGGTCCATGGCTATAGACTTGAGTAGTATCAACCATTCATTGAGATGTTTGTGTGTGTGTGTTAGTTGTTGGGTTTGCCCAAAAAGTCAGGGTACCCCTTAAAATTATTTAAAAAAACAAAAAACACACGTGTGATGGCTGATTAAGCCAAGCACAATGATAATCTTCAAGGGGGATACCATGGGATGTATGTTGGGGATACGATATGAGTGAAAAGAGTGTGCCTGACAATGCGAAATTGACCACCATTTGATGACCATTCAATATTGAACATGTTTCTGATGATTAACCAGTGGATTTGGAGTGTCCGCAATTTTTGGACCAATGCCCATGGCCCTGGGCAGCTCCACGGAAAATATCCCTTAATCGATTCCCCAGTCATAGTGGACTTACTGGAAAAAAAAACATTGGCTCCAGAACTCAACCAGGTCTCAGCTATGACTCCAGAAAAACATTGGCTCCAGAAAAAAAATGATTGAAAACCACTAAGCCAGAAGTTCTGGACTTAGTCACTGGAGTCATAGTGGACTTCTTGGGAAAAAAAAACATCGACTCAGCGAACTCCACCAGGTCTCATTGGTGATGGTGATCTGATTGGACTTTCCGGTGGACTTGTCGGAGGCTCGCACGTTCAAGATCCTGGCGTTGTGATGTCTCGTTGTTTCAAAGAACACGGTGCTTAGCTTACCTGGGAATCAAACATCAAACATGGCAATTGCAAATCCTTGTCTTAATTAAGAGACCTTAATGTGGTTTTAAAAGGAAACATATCTAGATTATATACTGGTTGGTGGTTTCAACCCATCTGAAAAATATGAAAGTCAGTTGGGATGATTATTCCCAATATATTTAAGAATAAAAAATGTTCCAAACCACCAACCAGCAATTAAACCAGGGAGGGACCTATCAACAGGGATGTCATTTTTCCATCAAGATGGGTGTCATTTCCCATGGCGTCAAACATCGGAAGCTGTTGATTTCTATGATGGTTTTATCAAGAAAACCTCTTACTGGTTACGGTTGGCAATCCCCAAATTGAGCCTTAAAAAATACACTTATCCCATCTCATTGTACTAGTTGATTGATAGGTGTCCCCATAGTATGGTTTATAATCCCCAATAATCAGCTAACATACTGTACCTCCTGATAATAACTGATCAACATGAAATATGCTAAGTCCCACTCAAATAATCAATCAACAGTCAACAGTGTTATTTTATTTTGTATTTTCAATTTTTGATCACCATATCCCACCTCATCATCCCATATAAAATCCTAACGAAGAGCCTTGCTAACCCATATAAAATCCCATATAAAACCCCAAAAAAAAAATTGACCACCAAAAATCCTGGTAAATCTCCATCTTTTTCCTCTTAACCACAGCCCTTCCGAGCCAGTCCCGTTGGCATCGATGTCGAAGGTGACTTCAATCTGTGGCACACCACGGGGAGCAGGAGGAATACCTCAACGGGATGATCAACACTGGAAAAACCATGGGTTATCCCATGTATCACCACCATATGTGTATATTAATGTATATATATATGCTAGTTACTAACCACAATAATTATATAATATATATATATAATTATATATATATAAATATAATTATATATATAATTTTATTATATATATGTGGGATACCCCAAATTCTATAGGCGTTCACTCAGGGGACTTACGATCATATGTTTTTTTCACCACAGTTACGGTTGCCAGCGAAATATGATCTGAGCTTGGGATGCATGTTTTAATCATGCACAAAATGATCTAAAACCAAGCGTAATTGAGATAAACATGGAGATATAGTGTGATTTGATAATATGATATCATTAAAATTCATTAAATATATGCAGGATATACATATATAATCATATATATAACATGACATAACATAACCAAACATCTTCGAGGTTTGGGTGTGTTTGAACATGGCGAACATTCTACATGGCCTGGTCACACCTAGAGAAGCCCAAAAAATAGCTGGTAAAAATGGATGTTCATCCCATGAGTGGTTTTTAATGGATTGTTAAATTGATTTTTAATGGGATGTTTAATTGATGTTAATGGATTTTAGTGGATGCTTAATGGAACTAAACTTGACAATAACAGGTTTTGACCCATCCAAACTTAATGTTCATGGTAACTTTTGCAGTGGGCTGGGGCTGATAACATGAAAAAAATGTCTGCATTCTTTGATTCTCCGTCTTGCGCTTCCCATTGTAATTTCCAACACGCTCTTGCTTCTACGCTATGAACGAAAGAATATTTTAACACGTTCATGATGTTACGTTGTTGCACGTCTTATAGGAATTTCCAATACGCTCTTGCTTCTACGCTATCAACAGAACATCATTTTAATACGCTCGTGATGTTACGTTGTTGCACTTCCTATTGTAATTAATTTCCAACACGCTCTTGATTCTTGATTTGCGTGCGAAGCTGAAAAACACCAGCGCCGCCATCCCCGGCGTGACCTTGGTTTTGCTATGTTTTGCTGGTTAAAACATATCCGCAATGTTGATAAATCTATATAAATCTCCCATGGTTTTGTTGGAAATTCCCATTCTTCTTGCTCTAACTGCTCTTGTGCTGTCCAATTCGTTCTCAATGGTTGGCCCATACATCTTCCACCGCGATACCATCCAAGTGGAACTTGCCCAACAAGTTGTTGTCCTGCGCAAACAATGGGCCGTTGTCTAGTTGTAACCCAGGTGATCAGGAGAGTTTCCACTTGCCATCCAGAAATTTCATATGGAATCTTAAGTCTGGCCATTTTCAATGGGAAAACCCTCAAAAAATCCTCGTCCAAATCATGTATTGCCTTGGGCTTAATGTTATTTTTCAGGAGCAGTTGTTTTTATCAGCTAGTTATGAAACAAATCCAGTTGTTAAAAATCCAGTTATTAATTCCCATCATTTTTTGTTGAGTCAAACAACCAACATGCGTCAAACAACCTCTGTTCCGGTCCGTTCGGATTCAAATGGGGAAAATCTCTGCAATCTGGAGCCCCAGATTGCTATAAATAGGTGTATAAACCCCATGAATACTATAGTTATAAGTATCATAAACCATAGTTATTGGAGTTATAAACCAACTCAGCTATCTAGGGGGCCCCACATTGTGTGAATCTTAGATAATTACAGCCGCAAAAAAATGCTTCTTTGTAGTTAGCCAAGTTCATATGTCTGAATATCCGAGAAATATTTGGATGCTAATATTTACTTAAAATGGTCTCGGGTTGGTGGTTTCAACCCCTCTGAAAAATATGAAAGTCAGTTGGGATGATTATTCCTAATATATGGAAAGTCACAAAAGTCATGTTCCAGTCACCACCGGGCCCAGGTCTGATGGTCTCAAAAAACAATGGAAACATCAAAATCACCGACTCAGCAAATGATAATTTCTATTACGGTATACATTTTCACTTGGTGACTCACCCCGGCAAGTGGCTTGTATTACCCCAGTTGTATCTAGTTATGTAGGATAAGTAGGGTTAGTCGAGTTATTTCACTAACTGATAGCCTCTGGTAAACTACCCTCTGGTAAACGTTTACATAGCTATTAAAAATGGCCCAGTCGAAATCGTTAATTTACCCATTAATAGCATGGTGATTGTCCATCGTTTTTTGTATGTTTACCAGATATTAGCTATGATAAATCAGCTATAAATCCCATGAAACCCACATTTTCCTATTGTTTTTTGTATGTTTACCAGACAGTAACGCTTTGTAAACTGGAAAATCCACCCATGATTCGTCGAGCGCTCGGCTGCCCTCGGCTCCTTGGTCATGGCTCGTTCACCCTCGAAGACCTGAATCAAGACACCTCGCGTCGAAAACGCCGCGCCAAAAAAACGTTTTTGGAGTACAAGATGGGGCCCCCCAACAAGTCAAACAATAGCTAAGTTATATGGTTTATATTAAAGATTACATAATCATAGTTATATCATAGTTTAATATAAGTTGCTGACAACTAGCTGAAAACTATATGGTTTATATTATATATGTATAAATATGTATACTAATATATATATATTAAGCTAGATGGGTTTGTAAACCTACAACCGAGGGGCCCCACGGTTAAATCAGGATCTAATGATATGACATTGTGACATGATTCACAGCGATCAAGGAACTGTTTTCATGTTGATTACCCTACAGTAAATTAACATAGACCCTGGCAGATAGGGGTTGGAAGACTAGTTGCCATTAAAAATTGGTGATTTTCAGGGTCTATGTTAAATTACCAGAGGGTAATTGTAGAACTTTCCACTGACCCTCTGATAAACGTTTACAAAAAACTATGGAAAGATCCACCATTTCTAGCTGGGAAAATCCACTATTTCGATGGCCATGTTCAATAGCTATGCAACAATTTACCAGAGAGTAACCATATTTGTTTGCACGCATGTCATATATGGCAATGATCCATGAACCATAAAGAAATATACCTCTCTGATCCGATTCTACGGGCTGTGCTTACGGGATTCCCAGACTGTGGGCGTTTTGCGAATCCCCAAGAAACCAGGTAGCAGAATCGCCAATAAACCAATTTACCCTCTGGTAAACTAACTAACATAACTATGGAAAATCACCATTTTCTAGCTGGGTAAATCAACTATTTCGACTGGGCCATTTTCTATGTCGCAAACTGTTCAATTACCAGAGGCTATTCATTGGGTAAATCCGAGCACTGCTCGGAGAATCATCCACTGGTTATCTCCAAATAATTTCCCAACACAACACGTTACAACATCAATATACTTAAATAGCTCTTATTATTGTTTCTAATATACCAATGATATGTACATATAAAAGTTATATATAATTAAACATATCCCTATATACCCCTATAAGCATATACCATTGTAATGGCTACCGCGCTATGTTTCATATCCTGAAATATTACGGAAGAAACCTTGGTGAGGCCTCACCGGTAGTAGAAGTATTGGGGCAATGCGCCTCTGAGGTAGCGGCGGCCATCCTATTCAATGCCAGTTCTCAGGGCGAATGTTAGTAGAAATATTGGGTGTGTAATTTAGTGAGGTGTGATATAATTTTCATGATATTTCTGCAATGTTAATGGGATAATATCTAGAGATCATATTTCACACCAATTCTACATATATATATATATATCATTTACTGTACCAACCAGGGGTAGTTTAAAGTTTACCACAATATTGTCATTATGTCCATCATAAATCATCCCAAATGTTGTTCTCATTGTATAGCCGCCATAATGGGGATACCAGTTCGTTGACAATGGGTACGTATACAATTAATACCAATGTTGTATACCATACAAAACTGCCTTTTTTAGCTATTAAGTTACTTCGATGATATTAATGATGTTATATATATATAAAATACACAATATGATAATATGATATATATATATAAACCATTGTAATGGGGACTGTTTTGTTTGTCTCCAAATATTGGCAGCCCACCTGGCTGATTGTCCGCGTAGGTCGTGAAGGTTTGCGCCTAACCGAAACGGTGGATCCCAGCCACAAAAAAAAAAACGGCGATTACCCTGTGGTAAACTGGTTGGAAACCATAGGAAACCACAGGAAAATATGGGTTTAAAATGGGATTTATAGCTGATTTATGATAGCCATGGAAAAAGGTCCAGTCGAAATAGTTGATTTACCCATGAAAAATGCATGGTGGTTTGGAAAATAGCAAACTGTTAGTCCTTGGTGGTATAGCTACCCCTCTGAAAAATATGAGTTCGTCAGTTGGGATTATGACACTACTGAATGGAAAAATAAAATTCATGTTCCAAACCACCAACCAGATTAAGGGAAAAATTCACTGGCTTAACCGTCAAAACGTGGCAAAACTGGAGTTTTACAGCCAAAAACTGGAAGTTGACTGGAATTCTACTGAGGATCATTGGGCAAAATAGGGCTTAGATCTACTCTACGGTCATGGAAAATCGTCACCCGAAATGGTGTCATCAAACATGGCTCGGAAATCCCCGATTCTCCAGCAATATTTGATGACACCAGAGAGAAATAACCATATACCCTCTGGTAAACGTTTACATAGCTGTGGAAAATCACCATATTCAATGGGAAAAACCACTATTTCGACTGGGTCATTTTCAATAGCTATGTTAGTTTACCAGAGGGTAATGAACAGTGTTTACAAGCCTCTGTCATCCCTTTTCTACTTGTTTCTAGTAGAAAACCCCTATAACATGAAATAACCAGAAAAAACCAGGATTCCCAATGAGATGTCCATGGCTTTTCATGGCCAATCTGATCTCTGCAAACATAGCTTGATGGGGGGATGAACGTCCAGCTTTCCACCACAGAGATTCGGGATATTGAACAGCCATCAATAAGCAACGAAAATCGGTTTCAGGATGTTCATTGGATATTGAAGCAAAACTAACAAAAATGAACCAACAAAGAAATGCTGAATGAAGATTTCTTTGAAGATACTGTTGGTGGATGGTTTCACCTCGACCTGGGTTTTTTTCAGCATTTTTTGTGGAGACCTTCAGCAAGGTCCAATCAAATATGTTTGATGATATGATGTTGGTGACATCTTGGTGAAATATGGTGATCTAATGTGATCGATATCTTCTAACATTGGTCAAATATGTTGGTTCATAAAGGAAAGCTCATGAATTCTCCTGGGAACCAGGTGAGCAGCGCCAAAAATACCAATTGGTGGATTTTATGCAAGTTGTACTATCTACATTACCTACTTATATTTGGGAATCATTATGACCCATTATAGAAAACCCCTATGAACAAGCTGGTACACTAATAAGGCTATAACAAAGGTAGCACTGGCTATTTTTTCAGACTATGTTCCAGAACCACCTGGTTTTATAGTCTTTATAGATGGCAATCAGTAAGTATAAGACTAAGACTACTATTTGTCTTCAAACGAAGCTTTTGAGTTCCACTCCCCACATCGACCCGCCTTCTTGGTGGGGATGGTGGTGTTTCGCCTCAGGCAATTTGCGGAGGAATAGGTGGTAATTCATCATGTCTCTACGTAGATTCTCCAGAACAGAATGTTCAACGGCAATTTAAGCAGCCTAAACTCGGTGATAAACTCTAAACTGCAAACACCACCCATATCTATGTATATACATATATATATATAATTATATGATATCATATGGAGGTTTCCTAAAATGGGGGTACTCCCCAAATCATCCATTTTAATCGGAAATCACCATGAAATAAATTTGCACCATCCAGCTATGCTATTGGGGTCCTCCATTTTCATAGCAAGCTTTGGATAACCAGCAAAAAACCGCAGCTGAGAGTTGGTTCTATGAGAAACTGAAGGAAAATCCAGAGATCGTCTTTTGATGAAAAATCACCATTTACCCTGGTATGCCTACCCCTCTGAAAAATATGAGTTCGTCAGTTGGGCTTATTATTCCCAATATATGGGAAAATAAAAAATGTTCCAAACCACCAACCAGCCTGGATAAAGCACCATTTACCCTTGTTCAACAATCTTCAAAACAGTTGAAATCCGCCATTGTCTTTGGGGACATCTACCATGGAACTTCATGCGCCAAAAAAATGGAAACTTCCAACAGGCAAATCATCGTCCAACGAAAACTTCGCTAAGAGTTTTTCAGGAAGTGGGGCCGTGCATCCCAGTTGCAAAGCAGTCCATACAGGATGGTGCCCCCCAGTTATGTGAACGTTGGTTTATAAACCCCATGAATACTATAGTTATATCATGTTATATCAGTTATGTTTGTTGGTTTATAAGCCCCATGAATATCCATGAAGACTATAGTTATATCTACCATAAACCATAGAATTCATTCACTTTTTTTAGGCAATTGAAAGCTATCGACTGGGGGCCCCATCCTGCAGGTTTAGGTAAACCAGAGATATGAATGCGATATCAATGGTCTATAATGGTACCCTCTGGTAAACTAACATAACTATGGAAAATCACCATGTTTAATAGGTAAAACAACTATTTTCATGGGCCATGTTCAATAGCAAGCTGTTAAATTACCAGAGGCTATATGATATACATCTGGGATCTCCTCCGGCAATCAGCTCCATGGCGTGCTGGACAATCCACCAGCCGTAGTTCGAATGTTTTCCCCAGCCGGAAGGTACATCTGTGAAATTCTATGGATCATAGAGGATGGGGCCCCCAGTCGATCGCTTTCAATTGCCTAAAAAAAATGGTTGAATTCTATGGTTTATTGTAGATATAACTATAGTCTGCATGGATATTCATGGGGTTTATAAACCAACAAACATAACTGATATAACATGATATAACTATCGTATTCATGGGGTTTATAAACCAACGTTCACATAACTGGGTGGCACCATCCTGTTCCTGTTTCGTTTCTTGTTACCCAGAACGCCACATCCCAACTCCACCGATTCCAACCGATTCCAAGTTCCAAGGGACTCGATCAACTTGGTCATGACGCCACCAGCGGTCTCTAGACCCATGGACAAAGGTGTCACGTCCAACAACAGCAGGTCCTGTGGAAAATTCACAAAGTAGATGGAGATGTCAATCGTTTCAATGGGAGAAGCATGAATCGATTCAATAATCATGCAATCATCGAACTAAATGAAACTATATTTATATAAATGAAGGAAATTATATAAATGATATAATAATATATTTCCTTATTTATATATATATATGGTTTCCTGCAAACTAAATGAAGGAATTTATATAAAACTCATCGCTTTTGCTGCAGGAAAACAACACTATCCCTGGATCAACATCGGCTGCCCGGGATCATCACATGTCACCATTGGTTTAGTTTTTAAAACACAGTTGGCACGTTGCTATACCAAAGACAAAAAAAACAAGAGTTGGTTATATTGGTTATATATGACTTAAATGCCACGTTTTTCTGACAGTTAAATCATAAAACCGACCCATTTCCCGACTATATCCTACAGTATTAGTTGGCTATGTATCCCTAGTTTTACAGCCAAATTTTCATATATGTTGTATAGATAAATAGATTAGATTAGATTAGATTTAGATTAGATTAGATTAGATAGGTAGATAGGTAGATAGGTAGGTAGGTAGGTAGATGGATAGATAGATAGATGGATAGATAGATGGATAGATGGATAGATGGATAGATTAGATAGATTAGATAGATTAGATAGATAGATAGATAGATAGATAGATTAGATAGCTTAGATAGCTTAGATAGCTTAGATAGATAGATAGATAGATAGATAGATAGATAGATAGATAGATAGAATAGAATAAGATAGGATAAGATAAGATAAGATAAGATAAAGATAAAGATAAAGATAAAGATAAGATAATAAGATAATAAGATAATAAGATAATAAGATAATAAGATAATAAGATAATAAGATAATAAGATAATAAGATAATAAGATAATATAGATAGATAGATAAGATAAGATAAGATAAGATAAGATAATAAGTAAGATAATAAGATAGATAGATAGATAGATAGATAGATAGATAAGATAGATAAGATAAGATAGATAAGATTAGATAGATAAGATTAGATAGATAAGATTAGATAAATAAGATTAGATAGATAAGATTAGATAGATAGATAGATAGATAGATAGATAGATAAATAGATAGATAGATAGATGGATAGATAGATGGATAGATGGATAGATAGATAGAAAGATAGATAGATAGATAGATAGAGAGAGGTAGAGAGGTAGATAGGTAGATAGGTAGATAGATAGATAGGTAGATAGATAGATAGATTAGATCGATTAGATAGATTAGATACATTAGATACATTAGATACATTAGATAGGTTAGAAAGAATACAAAGAATAGATAGAATAGATAGAATAGATAGAATAGGGTAGAATAGGATAGAAGAGGATAGAATAGGATAGAATAGGGTAGAATAGGATAGAATAGGATAGAATAGGATAGAATAGGATAGAATAGGATAGAATAGGATAGAATAGGACAGAGTAGGACAGAATAGGACAGAATAAGATAGATAGGATAGATAGGATAGATAGCTTAAATAACTTAGATAGCTTAGATAGATTAGATAGCTCAAATAGCTTAGATAGCTTAGATAGATTAGATAGCTCACAGAGCTTAGATAGCTTAGATAGCTTAGATAGATTAGATAGATTAGATAGATTAGATCGATTAGATCGATTAGATAGATTAGACAGATTAGATAGATTAGATAGATTAGACAGATTAGATAGATTAGATCGATTAGATCGATTAGATCGATTAGATCGATTGGATAGACTAGATCGATTAGCTCGATTAGATAGATTTGATAGACAGACTAGATAGATTAGACAGATTAGATAGATAAGATAAGATTAGATTGGATAAGATAAGATAGAAAGATAGAAAGATAGAAAGATAGATAGATTTACAGATGTCCCCTTTAATTTCCATGAACCATCATTAATCCCTGTTAAGTTGGTTTTTCGCTGCATCAAGTCTATGGATATGATAAACCATCGTGAAATCATGATTTTTGCTGATTGAATCCCATGTTTTCATACTTAGAACATGCTTCAGATCCAGACAAATCCCCCATTTACCTCATGAAACTCCATGAATTTCCAATTTTCCATCCCAATTTCCAAGATCTTTGACTCTAAAAATCATGAATCCCTATAAATCCCCATAAAATCCCACAAAATCCCATAAAATCACCATCAAATCCCATCAAATCACCATGAAATCCCATGGATCTCCCATGAATTCCCCATGGATCGCCGCGCCTGCACGGCGGAGGAGCCTTCACCCGTCAAAATGGCGGCCTGCACCGCGGCGCCGTAGGCCACCGCCTCGTCGGGGTTGATGGACTTGTTGGGCTCCTGGCACCGAATGGATGGGCGATATATTCATAATTATATATACTATATTTTACCCCATTATAATAGTATATTATGGGGAAATATCCCATATATAATTATGTAGGTAAATATACCAACACCTGACTGGATGAATTTTCCATTTCATATATCCCATGTGCCCCATGGTGCTGGTATATTTACCTACATGACTGGGTCATTTATGGGGTAAATGTTGGTAAATATTCCAGCACCATGGAGCATACGGGTATATGAAAGATATATTGCATATGGAAATTTTAATATGTTAGATTATAATGAATATAATCTATAATATAAAATATATAAGGAATATAGACTATATGATATACTATATAATTATGATGTTTCTTGGGGATACTATAGAATTTTTAATATAATGTATATGGGCATAATACAATATATATATATCATAAAGGATATAGACTATGATATATATTGGCATATGGAACATGGAATAGCTTATAATCTATAATCTATAATATAAAATATATAAGGGTTATAGAGTATGATAGATATATATATATATAAATATATATACATAATAATTATGTGATGTTGCTTGGGGTTGTTTAAACAATTCAAAACTATCAGAATTCAGTGAATTCAGACTAGAAAATCATCATGGTAATAACGAACCATCAATTTCATAAAGATCTAACCATCATTCAGTCATGCACAAACCTGGGTCCAGAGCTGCTGAATCAAAGTCTTTGATCATGGGCCCCGAAAAGCCACGAATGGCCCGCAGAGGCGTTTTTTTTTTCGGTGGAACCATTGTGGAAGCGTTTGGTTGACCAACAAAACAAGCAGTCAATCCAACTTGGGGACTGGGGTTGTCTTTCTGGATATGGCTGAATTAGCAATAACTTAGAGTAATTATTACCAAACTTTTTGTTTGCTTAATAATTGGTAATAATGGATAATACATGATAATACTGGTTATTAATGGTCAATAATGGATATAACTTTGCTAATAACCTCCATAAGATTGGATATGGGGCCCACCTACCACTATGGTGAGCAATTTTTATCGACCTATTAGTGAAACTGCACCCCCAGGGTTTTCCCCCTTTTTTTGCACTTCCAAGGTAGCCTTCATTTCAGTCCCAAATCCCTTATTCTTTGATGAAATCACATGTTTTCGATCTGTTTTTTCTGCTGTAAATCCCAGTGAAATCCCTCTTGGTTGTTGGTGAAATCCTCCATTTGATCTCATCACACGATCGAAGGTATTTGGATCGGTGTACATGATTTTGTTGGGGTGACCATGGAATGGATCCTACTGAGAAGTCACCTATAAGTGGATTGATTTTTGTAGAAAAAATCCTTGGACTTCTCCAAAATCTATATGATTTTTGTAGAAAAAATCCTACTGAGAAGTCCACTTATAGCTGATTTGTACAATGATAGCCGCTGATTTGTATCATACCTTCTGGGTAGCACCGTTTCTGTCTTAATTCAACTCCCGTTGATGAAAAACACAACCCCAACGGCCCCAACACAACTCGAAAACTGGGAAACCTCGAAAAATTCAGCGGAAAACATGAAAACATCATCGAACTAGCATCCTGCTTGCAAGAAATTCTGCATCTTTTGGGGGGTTCGACTCCCGCCTTGCCGTTGAAGAATTCTTGGATCATGGACTGCACCTTGCCATTTCTCAAAATCAACAATTTCAAGTCCAGAGGATTTTCTCAAAACCAGGTGATTTCACCAGAAATGCTGAGATTTACCACATTTCATTGCCAATCAGCCAGATACTGCAAAAAATAAGACAAATTCTTAGCTGGTGAACGTCACATAAGTAGATAATCCCATACCAAAAGACTAAAAGGATTAGTTTCTACCCATCCAAGATTGACCTAGAGATGTTTTCTCTTCTTACCAGAAGGTATCAAGCGTTCACGACATTAAACTTGCCATTTTACACATTTGCTCCCGACAAGGGTACGTAAATGATCGTAAATGCATGTATATTAGGGATAAAGAGGTGTATATAAAATGACCTATTTCTCCTCATTGTGCATATCATTTACCTGTGATTGTCGAGCTCCCCCTGTGACATCAGCATCACTCAGCATCATCCAACGGATTGTAACTGGTAAAAGCGACATTTCTACTCCTGAACTCACCGAAACACTATAGCAACCTCCAAAAAAAAGATAAGAATTGGTAAAATCCTACTACAATAATGATCAAACAAGGGAAGACTGAGTCAGTCACCTAAGTCCGTGTGGAAGGTGATAGACTCAGGGGTGTGTTGACTTGGTCATGCGGTGATTCCGTCTAGTCTCTATAGATCACTTTTCTGGATTATCCAAATACCAACTGATATCATTGTGATACCCCACATATGCAACTGATACCCCACATATGTCTTAAAATATATACCAATCTTAGAAAAAAAAATATATATATATATATATATATCTACATACATATATATATACCCCACATATGTCTTAAAATATACCAATATATAATACAATATTATATATATATATATTATATATATAGTCATCAGTCATCCCCAAACACATCGAAAACCTTCCTGCCCATGGCTGACCGCTGCGGATGTTCACCGCCTTGGGGATACGAGTGGAGCCGCCCACCAGCACCACGTCGTGCACGCTCTTCTTGTCAATGCCACTGTCCTGGCGAAGAAAAAGATGGCTGGTGGAGCCATGATTAATGGTGATTTAATGGGTTTTAATGGGTTTTAATGGTGATTGAATGGTGATTTAATGGTGATTGAATGGTGATTGAATGGTTTTCTTTAATGGGTTTTACTGAGATTTAATGGCAAGGATCCCAAAATGGAGCTAGAGTTCGCCCATTTTTTAATGGTGGATCTTTATCCACATGTTAGCCCATAAAGCACCATTTAAAGATCCACCATTTTTATGGGCTAATTCTAGCTCCATTTTGGGGTCCTTGAAATGGTTCCCCAAGTCGTCACCATGGATGTTGAAAAATACTAGTCGTAACTGGGTCATCCATGACGACTGGTGGCAATTGGATAATCATGGACTGATAGAATCAGACCAGTCATGCTATGATACGCATGTTGGAATCAAAGTTGTTGGGGATGATTTTGGAGAATATTTACAGTAGTGATAAACTTCCATGTATATATATATATATACATATAGGGTTACTGAATATAATATATATATATATATTATTACAATGATTATCCATTATCAATCATCCATTTATAGATTGATTGTCCATTACAAAACCATCCAGCCATTGGGGTACTCCCATTTGTGGAAACCCCCATATATGATTATTTGCCCTAGACAAAATTCCAGAATCATCATGGAAACATATCATGATAGCTGTAAGAATGGATAAGAAGCAATTACCAATAGCTATGTTAATCATCATTATTATTATTATTGATTATTTTCATCAATAGCTATTGTTTCATGAGAATTGCTAGCCCGTCGGCAATTTAACATAGCTACTAAAATGGATGAAAATTGCCCGTTGAGTTATTGACAATTGTGGTTTTCCATAGCAAACTGTTAAATTGCCACCATGTATTCATGATGTTCTGTGAACATCTAATGGATTGCTGGGATTACTAGTATGATGTGTCATCGAAATGTATCATAATTTAATGGTTTACTTCTGGAAAACCCTGGAGTTTTACCATCCGCCCAACCAACATCGAATCTGGTTGTCGCCTATTTAAATCTCTGGATAAAGTCTTTCAACCCCCGGGGAGGGTTCATGTGTTAATAGCAGGGATGGCAATATGACACAATAATCACAATAATATCATGCCAGCATGATACATCGATATATCATGACATGTCACATATCATGCAATCAGGAAATGTATGAAAAATATATACGAATATATGTGTTACCCCGAAGACCTAGATTACTGGTATGTTGACTGGTATGTGCTGTGATTTTGACACTTCTTCATGGGGCTCTCATATCGTGTGTATATATATATATATACATATTTTATCATCGGGGTATAACAATACTATGTACAATGCAAAATATGGCATGATGTGATTTACTGATATTTCTATATATTTCTATGACTTGCTATGATATATCAAGCGATGTAGAAATACATCAATAAGGGCATCAGTTGAAAAGAAATGGGAATGTTGCGGGATGCAGTTTACCAGGCCGGGTAAACTGCTTTTGCGTTACCCTTGCATAGCCAGCATAGAAATGCTGAGGTCGAGGTCGCCCCCACGGGTCCAAATCACGGCTTCATCATGTTCATCATCATCGTCCCTAGTAGAATAGCTATGGAACTTGGGGTTTTTCGCCCGTTTTCAAGCATAACTAGCAGGTCGCCAACTGGAAAATCACCATTTGTTTTAGAGGTAAATCAAACTAAATCTGGTTGGTGGTGCAATTTCACCATCTTGAAAAATATGAGTTCGTCAATGGGAAGGATGACATCCCATGTATGAACTGGAAAATAAAAAATGTTCCAAACCACCACACAGCATATATCCGATTACAGAACATGTTATTTTGAACATGCTAAATTTGCCATTGACCCCGTTATATCACAATTATATCTCAATATATCCGCATAAAATGGCTATGAAAGTACATGTTTCATGCTTAAACCTGGAGAAAAAAAACATATCATCCCAGTTTTCGTCCAAGAAATCGGCTGTCCTTCAAGCACTTCTCCACGGGACCCATGGAGTTGCGGAAGTAGTCCATGCACAGCTCTTCAAAGCGCGCACGGGACAAGGAGCAGCCTGGACTTTTTGGAGGAAACCAAGATCCAGAGATCCAGGCTTGGGAAGATCTATTCATTGGATTGGTTTGTTTGGATGTTTGTTTGGGAAATCTTACCCGGAAACCAATCGGTTTTTGCCATGAAAAAGCCATGGGGGTGTCCGGTTAAAACGCTCCCGGAAACCAATCGCCATGATCTACGGAGAAATCACCAAGTTTGATGATTTATCAAACATGCGATTTTTCAGAATGATAGACTACTTGGTGGCTCATCCCACTTAGTAAGTGCCACTTAGTAAGTGGATTATAACCCCAGTTGTAAATGGGATAAGTAAGGCTAATCCACTTCTAACTGGGGTTATAACCCACTTACGAGCCGTGGGATGAGCCACCAAGTACCAAAAGGTATTGGGATATGTAACATCCTCCGAGATCTTGAGTTTGGGATTTGTTAATCAACAGATAATTTGCACAAAGTCTGGGACTTGGCTAAACCAACAAAAATGCATGGGTTTTAACAGATGTAAGAATCACAAAGGGGGTTGTGCGTTTAAACCAAACAATCTACCTGATAAATAAAAACACAACCATCAAAACCCCAAATTGAAAAAAACACAACCTATTTAGGGGTGGGGCAATGGTTAGGGGGAACAGATTGCCAATCTATAGGTGTGTCGAAAACCAGGGCACCCCTACAGGTCAATCGTCATGTTCCCTTTTAAATGTGCAATTGGGTGGTATACCGATGTATGCCGTATTTTCAGATACATCTCAGGCTAACTGGGATTTCATTACCAAAAAGGCCCCATGGAAACTGTAGAAGTCCATCGCTACAACAGCTGCACCAGATATTGCACGGGCAGGATGAGGGGGTTGCCCTGGGACTTGTTGCATCAGTCAAATGTCTCGTTTTGAAGGGTAAGCCATGTCATTCCCCGAATTTCTGATTTCAAGGTGGAAAAAAACTGCTCCTCTGCGGGAATCAGCTGTCCTTTTTCTTGCAAACCCTCATCGCAGTATGGTGAAAATTGGTCCATGGGCGTGAAGGACTTGACCGTTTGACCCCTTATGGTCTCCTGGGCGTCACTGTGGATTTCATTGTCATTGTCAGTGCAATGTTGACCTTCCGCCCGAGAGTAAATGCTTAGGTATGCAGAGTAAACTGTGATTAGTAGGTCCCCTAACACTAAGTAAGCATTCATAGCTATTTTCTAGAAGTCAAAGGCAGCTTGCCCGCCGGCCACTGGCTTCGCACCGAGAAATTTTGACTTGCCACCATCTATCTGGTCCTTGTGGTGGAACACTATGCCAAGAGGCTTAGTCGAAATCTCAGATCTCCACGTGTGCTTTCCTCTGTCTAGTCTCCCTGTCAACAATGTGTTTGATGTCCTACAAAATTACCATCATTCAACCTCTTTTGCTTTGAAGCGGACAAGGAAACATCCTGAACGCTTCCGTCAAGGTGGTCAGGTCGGCGCGCAGCCGGGCCAGAATCCCCATCCAAGGGGTAGATCCCCATGTGGTTAAATCCTCATTACTTGTTAGTTATTTGTATCAGTTATATCCATTCAATATCCAAGAATGTATCCCCAAGTTGGTGTTTTTACACTAGTAACTATGAATATTTCATTGATGTTTAAAAAGTTTAATACTTATCCTAAAGTTGTTTCCCATTACCACACGAATCTCACTAAACGAGAACCTAACTTAGGCAACCAGGGGGATAACCCAAGGTATATGCCCAAGGAGCTGTAGTCAATTCCCTCGAACAAGGAATCGATCTCGATGGTCGCCTGGTGGATCAAATTAATATGAATATATATATATTACAATTTATAATTTTATATATAGAGAGATGCAGTGTGTAACCAGTATAACAGCAGTTGTGTATTATATATATATATATATATTACCTATATTATATATTACATATATATATATATTACATATATATATATATATGTTACATATATATATATATTACATATATATATATATTACATATATATGTATATATTACATATATATATTACATATATATATATTACATATATATATATATACACATATATATTATATATATATATATATTACATATATATATATATATTACACATATATATATATATATATTACATATATATATATTATATTACACATATATATATATATATTACACATATATATATACAGATTGCATAGGCATGCTTATTTTGAGTATTATATGTCACATGGGGATATGTACTACCTATAACATTAACTAGAAGTAAGGGCAACAAGGACCAACTGGCAGTTGGCAGCCTCAATTTCCGTTGGCAGAAAACATCCCATCAAAATCGGGCATACCATTTGCCATCAACTGTGGCTTGTTCTCAATGGGATTACTCATCTAACCAACAAACCAACGGGAAAAGAACATGTTGCCTACACGGGCAAACTGCGCACGGGGTATGCATTTCTCTAAGTTTTCCCACTGGTTAAAAAATGAATTGGTTCCTACCAGTTCCTATAGCCAAACTATGAAAGGCTTACTGAAGGGGGTACTAAAGATTTAGCCTACCTTATCATGGCTAGTCTTAGATAATCTGCGAAACATATTGACAAAAAACACAAAAATACATATGTGTAAATTTGCAGTATATAGTAACTCTCCCCTCCTCCCCCCAAAAAAAAACAAATTTGCTCCTATTCCAGTAGGATTTCACTTTTCTATTTTTTTGGGGCGGTGGTCTTCCGTTGTCATCGAAAAAGTCGGATTCCCTCTTCGCGCCTGCGTGGACGAGGACAAGGTTCGCTTGGCGCGCTCACATTGGGTTCGCAAGCGACGGATAGCGCGCTGGTTTCCGGCCATGTCCTGGTCAGGGGCAGCGAAACTTTGTGGCTACAGTTGGGAATTATCACATCAACCACAATAACCACAAACTATTTATGATTGGTTCATAGTGGTTAATATCCATTAATGAGGGTTAATTTATTCATAGTGACTATTATTGGGATAATTTATAGTGACTAACAATGGTTAATGGTTCATAGTCACCATTGTTAACCATTCATTCTAGTTTAATAATCCCATTTTTATCCATTTGTTGAGAAGTAGGGAACGCAATTGGGATATTCATGGGATATCTGACCAACAATACCACTGGAGGATGAGGTTGGCATCTATTTGGGGCTGGACTGGGGTGACTTTGATGGATATAACTATATCCATGGTTATTTCATGGGTTTATGATGGGGATATAATGGGGAAAACATCTATCAGTGGAGATATACAAACGTATTTGGGCATATGTTTTGTGTCGTGCAGTGTCTTTTTTAATTCTCAATCTGGGCGATTTTTACATCGAATAACTTGAAGCTGAAATCAGAATACATTAAACCCATGGATTCGGCTTGCCGAGATAAATTAAAAAATCATTCAAATTACTCTCCAGTAATTCAACATCACTATTGAACATTGCCGTTTATAGTCTATTCACCTATTAAGAATGGTATTCCATACAAGTAGCTATGATGCCTAGCTACTTGTAAGTTTACCAGAGGCGAATCTTAATATAAATCAGATCTGGGGAAAATTATAATATTTCACCTAACCTGAATTAATGCCATTTGGGGATGATTCCCCTATAAATACCATGATTCCAGTGAGGTCGCAGTGAGGTCGCTATAATTTACCCAGATGGATGATTCCTGAAAGAGATAAAGCCTCAACCCAGCCCCGAAACACATGGAAATCCGGATGTTGCGGAGGCTGGGGAGGCGACAAGGGCGTAGCCCCCAAGGGGCCCCCAGTCGATAGCATTCAGTTGCCTAAAAAAAGTGGCTGAATTCTATGGTTTATGGTAGATATAACATGATATAACTATAGTTGGTGGATGTGAATGGGGTTTATAAACCAACTAACATCACTGGGATAACGAACTACCATCTGGTTATGACTAACATAGCCATGGAAAATCACCATTTTTAACAGCTAAACCCAGGTAAACCATCTATAAATTGGCCATTTTCCAGTCATCATTGTGGCCGTAGCACCGCCGTCGTTACGGCCGTCCTTGCCGCGGTTCTTGCGCTTGAAATCCTGCATGCAGAAGTCCACCACACCTGGGATGGGGCAACAAAAACCACCCAGCCAAATGAAGGTTCAACTTTTCAACCACCAAATCCAGCCAAATAAATGGGGAATATATATATATATATATCTGGTTGGTGGTATACCTACCCCTCTGAAAAATATGAGTTCGTCAGTTGGGATGATTATTCCCAGTATATGGAAAAATAAAAAATGTTCCAAACCACCAACCAGATATATACATCTATGTATATATAGGGATATGTGGGAATATCATGGAATATCATCATCAACAATGGGATATAATTTGAGTAAACCAACATGGCCATTGATGCCATGATGCAGCTCTCAAACCAGACTCAAGCGATCCGCGAGCGATCCGCTCAGTTCTCCCTTCTGCATTGTTGTAATGGGGATTTAATGGTATATAATGAGATATCATGGGGATTTAATGGTATATACCTTCTGATCAATAATGTCCGCTTGGTAAAAATATGTAAAAATAGTTGGGACGCCAGAAACACCGCTCAGTTGTCGTCTCTCCAGTTCCAAGATCCTCATTGTGAGCAAAGTTCGACCTGTCGACCAATTGGGGGGCGCCACCGGTAGAACGAAGTGCAATGACAGCCAGATATGGACGGAACAAAATCTCCGTCTCCTGATCTTTCTCTAAAGAACTCAGCCGCTTCGTCCATCGTCTCAAGAAACATCTCCAGCGGAGTTTGGCTCTTTGCCTCATGGATCTTGAAGACTACAAATTTCCCAGCCATGTTTGCTGAAACCAGATGGTTTTTCTCCACTACCCCCGTTGGTTCCCAACTTTCAGTTGGTTACAGTTACAGTAAAGCCATGCCTGAAGCACTAAATGAATATTGAGCAACAGTTCGCGAACTGGAAAATCACCATTTTTTATAGGTAAATCATCAAAATCACGTTTTTCACCCATTCTTTATAGGATATTCACCCATTTTGGATGGAAAATCACAATCCTATAGCTATTTAAATAGGTGTAAATGGGCGATCTTCCATCGTGATTCATCTGAGTTTGGAAGGGAATCGGTGTGAAAGAACTACATGGCCAGCCAGATACCCTGCAAATGTAGATTATATGGTATATAATGGGGAATATAATGGTATATAATGGGGGTGGGGAATATACCCATCTGACCATTTAGATCATGTAGATCATCGGCTAGGGGATATTTTTTGGGGATTTAATGGTATATAATGGGGATATAATGGGGATTTAATGGTATATACCCTCTGATCAATAATGTCCGCTTGGTAAAAATAGAGGGGCCGGGAGCTGGTTAATCCCATCTATCATCATAGAAACCTGTTGTTAAAGGGGGTTCTGAAGAAACCCCTCTATTTTCATCAACCACCCAATGGGAAAAGGACGTCTATGATTCTTAGCTGGTGAGTATGTAGATACGCTCTGGTAAATAAACAGTTGGACCCTGAAAATAGCCAATTTTTAATGGAAACTAGTCTTCCAACCCCGATGACTGCCAGGGTCTATGTTAATTTACCAGAGGATAATCCAATACCAAAAGACTATTTTGGATTAGTCTGTACCCATCCAGTCGATCCCCCCCAGTTATAAATTGGTTATAAGCCCATGAAAACTATAGATATAGCACCTATGAACCATTGTTATTGTCAAAATTGACCATGTTAGTTTACCAAAATGTTTGCATCCATACTATATAATTTAAATCCCTATTACACCCATGATGTTTGTTGGTGAAATATTCCCATAAATAATCACATAAATAATGACTAAGGGGCGATTGTCAAAATCTTCGCCACCCAAATGTGTGTCGCCGGCGGTCGCCTTGACCTGAAAGGTAGGGCTGCGGATGTTTTTTCGAAAAAAGGCACCGAAGAAGACATGGATCAACATGGGTGATATAAGATGATATATATATATATAACTATATTTAACTATGGTTTATGTAGTTATATCACCCATTGCTAATATATCAACATGGGTGATGGGTGATAAAACTATACTTAACTATAAGTAAAGATCCATAAACCATAGTTGACTTCATCAACATAAATCAAGATGGATGATACAACTACACTTAACTAATCTTAACTATATGGTTTATGATATGGATGATTTTATTGAGGAAATTATCGGGGATTATAGTTGGATAATAGTTGGTTGATCAACAAACATGGTGATATTCTATGGGAATATTCTATGGGAATATCTCAACCATCATAGGCCTAGGGGATATAATGGGGATTTAATGGTATATACCTGGTTGGTGGTATACCTACCCCTCTGAAACATATGAGTTCGTCAGTTGGGATGATAAATTATTATTCCCAATATATGGAAAGTCATAAAATTCATGTTCCAAAGCATCAATCAGTAATGGTAATATAGTGAAATAATCTTGTCTTGTGAAATATCCGTGGAATATTAATTGAATATTTGTTTAACCACCAATGGTAATGGAAGATCCCCGAAGCAAATGGAGCTGAAAAAAATTGGGGCAAATCATCTCCGACTGGAGGGATGCTGTCCAGCATGCCATCGGCTTGCTTACCAGAAGACCAGAGGCTTTTTTTAGGAATCACAATTGGATGATTCAACAATATGTATATATATACATAGATAGAATCATTCAGATATTGTTGATTCATCCAATTTTGATTACTAGAATCATTCACTACAGATTTCAACAATGGGTAGCCTATTTTCAGACACACCCAGCTTTCTGTTTTTTTTCGAAATAGGATTGATTTTATCAGCTCGCCATCTGGGTATGGGGAGCTGACCGCCGAAAAACACACCGATGATGTGTTCGATAATTAGAAGGAACCACATACAGCAACTAAAGCAAAATACGATGACATCACCAAGAAAGTGTGAGATATGATAAGCCACAAGCATTGGTGTTGACATGGAAAATAAAAAATGCAATCTCCCAACTCCCAACAGCAAATCATCTTACAGGCTCATGTTACACGGGGAGCTCAAAATCAGAGCTTGTCCATCGCCAGCAGTCAATATGATCTTGGTTGTACCGCCTCAATTTCTGCTTGATCGGGATATTGGTGACTCCGTAAAGTTTATGTATTGCTGGTTATATACACATACATATCCCCAGGTCCCATATATGATGGGCCACAGTATATCCCCAGTTTTTGTTTATCCGATTATCCCTATTGATATTGTGCTGGCCAATATACATGCACACATCTGTATACTGCATGAATATATGGGCAACTGGGTACTGTACCCTAAACCTTGACGCTTTACCACACAACCGGTCCATCTGTGACAATCCAACCTGCAAATGGACCTTCACTGTTTAATCCCATCCCCGGAATATTAGACATATTTGTGACATTTTGTGGCCATACTACAATGGGAGCGTTTGATATCAGGATTGGATTAAAACGCTCGTTGTTCCCCAAATCCTCTACGTTTATTGGCTTGATCCTAGGGGTCTGTCTGAAACTGGTGTATATTGCCATCATGATGTTAACCCATCCCCATATTTACCCTCCAGTAAATTAACATAGACCCTGGTAGTCATCGGGGTGATTTTCAGATTAGTTTCCTCTCAAAATTGCTGATTTTCAGGGTCCAACATGTGAAAATTTACCAGAGGGTATATCCCCTAGGCCTATGATGGTTGAGATATTCCCATAGAATATTCCCATAGAATATTCCCATAGAATATCACCATGTTTGTTGATCAACCAACTATTATCCAACTATAATCCCCCATAATTTCCTCAATAAAATCATCCATATCATAAACCATATAGTTAAGATTAGTTAAGTGTAGTTGTATCATCCATCTTGATTTATGTTGATGAAGTCAACTATGGTTTATGGATCTTTACTTATAGTTAGACCAGCTGGTCATTTTCACTTAGACCAGCTGCTGACACAACTTTGAGCTCTGCCCCGGTGTTCCAACTCACACGGTTTCTTTCCAAATCCCCACGCCTCAAAGATACCATCCTCGATGGTGAGCAGAGACACGTCGAAGGTGCCGCCTGTTTGTTGCTTTATAAAGCCGATGTTAACTATAGTTATATGGTAAGTAATATAGACTTTGTTAAACAACTAAAAAATGATTTTTACTATAGTTGACTAATATAAACCCATAGTTCTTTGAGGTTTATCTCAGTTATAATCTAACTTAGCTATCTAAACTATGCCCCACCTTGTAGATGTTTAAGACATAGCAACCCAAAAAAAAAACACATAGAATCTGCTGAAATCCGTTTCTGAAATAAAGATATATAGACTGAAATAATGATATATATATATATATGTATATATATATATGTTTCCAAATGATGTCCTAATTGTTTGTCGACCTATATAATACTCTTCTACTTTTTTGAGGGGTACAGTACAGTACTCTCTCCATATATATATATATACACTATACACATAGATAGGCATAGAGGGCATGGATGGATGGACAGGTAGATGAATAGATAGATCAGTTGACAGATGTAAAATAGATATAATGATATATCATTGACTATATATCTAATTGACTCTATATCTAATCTAATCATACATGGATATATCTGAATAGACGATATATCAAACAGATATATTGATATATTTACATATATGTATTTAGATATAAATATATATATATATATATGCATATTTATAGTTGGCGTTGCATATAATATAATGAGATCATTAATAATTAACGATATACTGGTTGGTGGTATACCTACCCCTCTGAAATATATGAGTTCGTCAGTTGGAATGATTTTTCCCAATATATGGAAAAACAAGAAAAATCATGTTCCAGTCACCACCAGCCAGTCATAGTTATAGGGGTTATATGTTATATTCCAACCTATAATCCATCTATTCATATTAATCCTGCTAATCCCATCCCAATATGTTTTCTGTTTTACACCACTGTTGTAAGTGGTTGAATTCTATGGTTTATGGTAGATATAACATGATATACCTATAGTTAGTGGATGTGAATGGGGTTTATAAACCAACTAACATCACTGGGATAACGAACTACCATCTGGTTATGACTAACAGTTCGCCATGGAAAATCCACCCATTTTTAAGTTCGGTAAACCATCTATTTCTATGGGCCATCTATACCATGGCTATGTTAGTCATAACCAGAGGGTATAAATCACCATTATCCATATGTTTTCCCTGTATTCGAAGGAAGTTTAGAAGTCAAACTTCCGACAATATGGACAGATGAAACAACATACACATATCATCGGTCTCTTTAAGCCCAACTTCCTGCCCGCACAAGGGAATTTTTCGCCTCCCATGTCGTAGATCAACACGTTGCGCTCGCCCGTGCCCTTCCTCGGGGCTAAGGATCTGGTGGGATGGTGGGGTTGCTGAGGCGTGCCCCAGGTCGGGTGAAAAACCTCCAGTTATATAGGGGATAAATATGGACTATGTATGGAGTAGAATACCATATGGACTATATATATGCCACATATATAATCCATGGTTATATCCTCCAGGTCAGAAATTGGGTCCTATGATTAATATGGGATTCTATGGGATTATATGGATTATATATGATATATATGTTTTTTTCAACCACTGAAAAAGGATGTGCATCATCCCACCGTCCTCGTAGGTGATCCTGCAGGTAGATTTAAACATGAAACCACCATTTACCCAGAAATCCCTCTGGTAAACCAATAGTTTGCGACGAAAATGGTCATTTATAGTGAGTTAGAAAATGGCCCAGTCGAAATAGTTGATGGCTACCCATTGCTATGGTGATTTTCCATCGTTTTTTAAGTATATATGTTTACCAGAGGGTAAGAGAATCATTGTCTAGAGCGCATTCTTCGGGGTTCCATGTGAAATTTTGGGGGTGTAATTCAGCTACAATATTGGCTATTTTTTGGGAGGTACCGTTACTTGGATGCGGGGACCCAATTAGTATGTCGACCGAGCCAGCAAAAATAACTCAGGGGCACTCATTCTATCTCCATTCTATCCCTAATTATTTTATAGTCAGAAAATCCCCCAATTATTGTGGATTTACAACTGGCTGGGGCACAACCTTTTACACAATTTCCATGTTTGATGATTTTCCCACTTGAACGCCCATGTAGGACTATCAAAATAATCAACTAGCATCAACTAGCCATGTTTGTGACCATGAAAGGGTACCACCCTCATCATACAATGATTATCCAAGAGTATCCCATACGTTATGATATCAGAATATGTTCATATATGATGGGAACAATTATCAGAATCATAATTGTTAATGACTATCATATATATATATATATCCCAACAAGATACAGTATCATATTATATATATATACAAAAGTATAATATGATATAATTGGGATATCATTATAATTTATATATATATAATATTTATATATAATATGATATCATTATAATTGGCATATCATTGGGATATATTTTATATACTAACAATACACAGTCCAAGAGTATCTTATAAAAGTCAATCAATTCAGTCCAATCTCATCCGATGTATTCACTCTGAATCAGATGTTCTGAGATGTTCTGAATCAGATGTTCTGAGATGTTCTGAAGCATGGTGAACATTAGATACTTCAGATATTTCAGGTTAGTATAGGTTAATAGTCATTCTGAAACTTCTGTTATGGATGAAATCATGAAGTTCTTCATGACATTTCCATGAATCAACTGAACATTAAGGAATAAATGGAGATTTCAAGGACAATAAATGGAGATATCATGTGATATTGAATGGAATACAAAAAGGTGCACGCGGATGGGAAGGGGTTCCAGCAAGAAATCCGGGAGATAGCCATCAATAGCCATCAATGACTGGGGATGTGGGTGACCCTGGCTGCCATAAACCTATCATGACTGGTGATGGATGAAATCATAGATGTCCCAAATTCCCATTGGTTGGCTGATGAAAAAAGAGGGGGTTCTTCAGAAACCAGAAACCCCCTGAAAAACAGGTTTCTATGATGATAGATGGGATTAACCAGCTCCCGGCCTCTCCATTTTTACCAAAAGGACATGAAATCCCACCCATCAAAATGGTGATGACTTGCGGACGATTTATGGCACTGGGTTTACCCCATTAGTGGAGATTGAATGAGTAAGACTGGTATAAACCAGTAATCATGGGAGTTATGATGAGATTGATGGAATCATGTTTATGGGATTATATTGAGATATTTAATGGTTTAACAGTGTGCTATTGAAAATGGCCCATAGAAAGTTCGTTGATGACTACCCATTATAGCTATGGTGATTGTCCATACTTATGTTAGTTTACCAGAGGGTTATTGTCATGGGGGTACTAATGGGAATATCATGGAACTAGTTTTATTTTAATATGGGAATATTAGTCCAAAATCATGAAATCAACAAAAAAAATCATCCACAGGAAAAACCCAGTCATAAAATCATTTTTTGATCCACATGATAGTGAAAAATATGATTTCATCCATCTTTAAAAGGATTTTTTGGTCCAAAAATCCTCCAAAATCCACCACCAAAAACCTGATCCCCTGCCGCCGCCGTTCGTGACCGGCCCGAGGAACTTATCCAAGCCGTAGGCAATGGCCGCGGCCGTCGGCTCGTTGATGATGCGCAACACCTGGAGCCATTTCCAGAGATTTCCATGGAGAAGTGGATGGGAGCCGAATTTATGGATTAGTGATGTTTATATATACATACCCTCTGGTTATTTAACATAGCCATGGAAAATCCACCCATGTTTAAGTTCGGTAAACCATCTATTTTGATTAGGGCCATCTATACCATGGCTATGTTAGTCATAACCAGAGGGTATATATAGTTAACTATGGTTATGGGGATGTTAAGGGATGAGATATCCCATCTATGGGAAAACAAAAAAGTTGGATTTCTGTGTCATTGGATTGGTTTGAGGGAATTTTTACAGGAAACCCCCATATTTGATGGGAAAATCCATGGTTTCCGATTAAGATTTTCCCTTAAATCAATCCATTGTAAGAATTAATGTGGTTAATCAATGTGGTAATGTGGCTTACCATTGATGTTAAATTACTCAATGGTATATCAATGGTATATCAATTATTGATTCATCAATGGTGATGTGGAAGAAAAAAACATTGATTATTGTGGTAAACCCAATATGGATCGAAATATTGGTAAATTCATGTAAATTAATGTGGCAAACCCCATATTTCGAGAATGTCCATGTTTATGATTGGGTTATAACCATTGATTAATGTGGTAAACCCCAAAAAATAACCCAAATGAATTGATTTACTGGTATACCCATGCTGGTATACCCAACTATTGGATGGATTTTCATGGTATAAGCATTGATTAATCAATGTGGTAATGTGGTAAATGGTGATTAATGTGGTAAACCATAAATAATTACAATAATAATTATATAAACATCAATTTGTTTTTTTCAGTGTTTTTTTTAATAGATGAAACGATGATACAATGATTGTTCATGCTGATTTACTCGAGTAGTTCATGGTTTCATGATGATTTTTTTAATGGGATACTCTCCATGGGATTTTAATGACTTGAGAATGAGTCAATAGAGGAGTGTGTTTTATTTCTTCTGGATTTCTGGATTTGTGTTGGATCTGGTGGGATGTTTCATATTTATCATAAATCAATGATAGATTTCTTAATGGTTTCTTTGATGAGATCATTAAATCAATGGGCTTTAGGAACTCTCCCATGTTGGGATTGAATATTTATGAATTTTTAGCATCAATTTCTGCATCCACCAAACATGGGAGGTTTCAAAAACCATTAGTGTTTCAAACAAATTGGTTATCACTTTATGCATGTATTGCTTGTATTTACCCCAACAAAAAGTGGGTCTTGATCAGCCAGGTGATATAACTGATTCTACTATCAGCATCCTTAATACCGTTCCGTATGAATCAACATGTCATTCCTGTGCAGAAAAATAACATCTTCTACCATCGTGGTCTAATGGTGGTCTAATAGTGTCCCTGAACCCGTTTCGCCTCAATACAATCTATCTGGCAAAATCACTACAACATACTACAATGATTTGGAATCCGGCATAATTCCTCTGAAAAAAAAAAAAAATATTATTTTCACTAACCGATTAACCTGAAACTTGCAGTTTCATTGGGGAACGATTCCTCTGGTTATACATTCACATGGTGATTCCAGGCTTCGGTCACGACGTGAGGTCACGATCAAATTTGTGGATAAAGTTCCCTCACTTAAGCCATTTGCCCAGTTGGATGAGGAAGAAAACAAAAAACCAACACTTCTCGGAAGATGAGGAATTCAAGTGAGCAGAAAGGGGGGGTCAGCTACTCACCAACAAAAATGGTGTTTGACTAACAACAGATGGAGGTACCCCAAATCATCCAGATCCAGGTAGACCATTTTAGTATTGAAACCCACAAAGTGACGACTGGGGATCTCCCATGACTTAAGAAACCCCCAAATAGACAACATGATATAACTAGATCAACACACCATTTTCTGTTTGCAGCTGGATACAACCATAAATTCCTTCACAGCTCCTTCCATTAACTACCAAATAGATTCAACAATCACTTGTTGTGAAATATAAGCAATGCCAGTTGGTTAACCCCATGATACCCCATTCAAATCAAATAGTTAAGCAAACCAAACACTCAGATACTTAACCCATATCATTAGTCATTATAAACCCCAGAACAACCTATAGTTTTCATTACCACAAATCCATATAAACAAAGGGCATTTTGTGCCCTGAACATGGTCAATCTTTGGTAGTCCACAAAAAATTACCCTTTTGCTTCTTATGGATATTTTCCATTACCCATAGGATCCATGTATGGTATATATGCTAACATTGGGGGTATATCGATGGTAAATGTTACCATATATAGCATACATGGATCCTATGGGTTATAGCAAAGAACTTGAGGAGTAAACTCCCCGAAACGTTCATGTTTCGCGCCGAGCCACGTTCATGCCGGTGATGGTGCCGGCATCCTTGGTCGCCTGGCGCTGACTGTCGTTGAAATAGGCCGGCACGGTGACGACCGCGTCGTTGACCTGCACGTAACGTCTTGGGATTAATGGGAATATCATGGGAATATCGTCCTTTTATGGTGGTATTAATGGGGACATATGGTGAAATATAGTGGGAATATAATGGGAATATTCTAAGCGTATTAGTGGGAATATTCCATGCTATTTGGATCTATTTGGTGTGGTTCCTGAGTGGCTTTTGGACATGTTTTGGAAATGCTGGGATTCGTTTTGGAAGATCATGGGGACATCCCCCTACTTGGACATGCAAGTTCCAGGTAGAAGTGGATACCCTCTGGTAATTTAACGTAGCTATTGAAAATGGCTATTTATAGTGGATTTTCCCATTAAAAATTGTTATTTTCCATAGCTATGTTAGTTTACCAGAGGGTATATCCCATTGTAGGGGGATATTCATGTGTCGATACTTATCAACTGGTGCAGGATTTCGCAACCATCCACAGTATATCCTATGATAGAATATTAATATATTCCAATATTGTGGATGACTGCGAAATCCTGCACCAGTTGAAAACGGTGGTAAACATCCCATTATTTTGTTGGGGTTTCAACCATCCAAGATGGTGGTGCAGGATTTCGCAACCATCCACCGTAGTTATAGGGGTTATATGTTATATCCCAACTTATTATCCATCTATTCACAGAAAAATCCCATCCCAATATGGTTTACACCACTGGTGTGAGGAGTAAAAATATGAATCATCAAAGGTGCCAAAAAACGGGTGCAAAGAAAACTATAAATGGGATATGTTCGGGGGGGTGTAGGATAGAAAATGCAGTACATAATGAACCTATTGTTAATGGGGATGTGATTCTACTGGGGCTATCATTGCTGAGTTGGGAACGTGGTAGGGGTATAGTCCAGCCATCAGATTTTGGAGCAAAATCGAAAGATACCGAGCAGCGCTATCCCCAATGATGGTCAAAACTCCTCAGTATCCCCGGATTCGATCCTCGTAATCCCAGTCTGAAAATAGGCTACCCTCTGGTAAACATACAAAAAGCGATGGAAAATGGCCCAGTCGAAATAGTGAGTTTTCCCATGAATAGCATGGTGGATCTTTCCATTGTTTTTTGTAAACGTTTACCAGGGGCTACCCCCAAAATCCAATGGGATTATCATGGATTCTCATCATTTGGCCAAATTCTGGGGTATCTCCACGCAAGAACCTCGCCACATCTCGCCGTCTGACCCGCCTTGGTACCCAGGTAGGCTTCGGCTGTCTCTTTCATCTTCAGCAGGACCATGGAGGAAACTTCCTCCGGGTGAAACCTGAGAGGATCTAACATGGAAAAAACTGCGAAAAATGGTTTGGTAAAACTGAAATATCCCATGGTTATTATCCAAAAAAAAAATGCCATGATTTTCTTCCATTTAAAACCCCTTTTTTTCCATATATTCGCATCACTGTCATATTATCCCACTATTATATATATCACATTATCCCAGTATTATCCCATTAAATGGGGGATGCCAAGACCATAGGTTGGCTTCAATACTTTTGCTCTAATGACTTGGATGATTTGATAACCCCCATTTTTAGGGTTCCTCCATATAGGTTTTAATCAAAAATCCCGAACAAAAAACCACAGCCAACAAGCAAAGCCGGCTAAGCCATGGTGATTCGGAATGCTTGTGAATTACTTTCACGATATCTGACAATGTATAACCATTTAAATTCATTAACCATATATATCAAATATAACCCACTATAACCCACTGAATATGATTTGGATAGATTTATTTTATGTTTATGTTGTACATCCCAGGCAGTGGATATCACTACCAGAGGCGCCCAGTTTTACAGCGTCGCCCCGTGAAAAATCATTCCACCACTCGTAACTCCTATTGAACATGGCCATAGAAATTGGATTTATCCATGAAAAATCGTGATTTTTCCCATAGTTAGGTTAGTTTAACAGAGGGTAACTGATCAGTGTTTGTGGAGCTACCCTATTTTATGGGAGCCACGAATCGGTGACTAAAAAACGGGGGGTTGCCAAAAGAGTGATATCTATGACATGTCCCTTCATGAATGTAACATCATGTAACATCCCCCCAAAAAAAGTATCCATTATCCAAATTACCCTCTGGTAATTTGTTACATAGCTATTGAAATTGGCCCATGAAGATAGTTGATTTACCCGTTAGAAATTGTGATTTTTCCATATAGTTATGTTCATTTACCAGAGGGTAACTAGTAAAATCACATGAATTTGATATCACAATTGGAACCAGATATCACATGTTTACAGCCAAATTGAGAAAAAGTTGATTTACCCATTAAAAATGGTGATTTTCATATAGATCATATAGTTATCTTATGTTATGTTAATTTACCAGAGGGTAACTAGTAAAATCACATGAATTTGATATCACAATTGGAACCAGATATCACATGTTTACAGCCAAATTGAGAAAAAGTTGATTTACCCATTAAAAATGGTGATTTTCCATATAGATCATATAGTTATCTTATGTTATGTTAATTTACCAGAGGGTAACTAGTAAAATCACATGAATTTGATATCACAATTGGAACCAGATATGACATGTTTACAGCCAAATTGAGAAAAAATTGGTTTACCCATTAAAAATGGTGATTTTCCGTATAGATCATATAGTTATCTTATGTTATGTTAATTTACCAGAGGGTAACTAGTAAAATCACATGAATTTGATATCACAATTGGAACCAGATATCACATGTTTACAGCCAAATTGAGAAAAAGTTGGTTTACCCATTAAAAATGGTGATTTTCCATATAGATTATATAGTTATGTTATGTTATGTGAATTTACCAGAGGGTAGTAAAGTTGGATTTGTGTTCAATCCATGACTCCGTGGAATCCAAATAGTGGTACTTCTGTACTTTAATTCATCCTTTGCTCCATCTTTTGGGGATGTTAAAACAACTAATCCACTATATGTTCAATCCCAAGCATTTGGACTCCAAGGTACTTCTTCTCCTCACCCTGAGCCGTCACGATGATCATGGGTTTGTCCCCTTGACCTGCGATCACCTGATCCAACGATCCGACAGAGAATCGGGTGACACGTTGGTGGGTCAGGTGCCAGCTACCAGCAGACAACTGGTAACGTTAGCTTACAGCGATTTTTTTTTGAAATGTTGGGTTTATATGGGTTTATGGTAGATATACCTACAGCTTGTTTGTTCATGTGGCATGTTATAAAATGTTGGCTTTATGGTAGATATACCATGATATACCATCTGATTATTTAACATAGCCATAGAAAATCCCTTATAAATGGTGGTTTCCAGCTGGGAAAATCATCTATTTCTATGGGTTATTTTCCATGGCTATGTTAAATTACCAGAGGGTACCTACAGTATCCTTGTGGTTGGTATAGCCATTTTTAGCTAACTGGGCGGGACACCACATTGGAAGTATAGAACTGGGGAATTGAACATCCTCCCAGTTTCTTCCAATCAGTGCCTTACTATGGGAAAATCTCAATTTTTCACCAGCGAGCCTGGCTGATGGTCAAATCAAAAGGGTTGACGTTTGGGCCCTTTGGGCCGTTTGGGTTTATGGGGGATATAACTACAATAGTTACCCTCTGGTAAATTGTCAAAAACCCTGAAACTAACCCATTCTTAGTGGAAACTAATCTTCCAACCCCCATCTGCCAGGGTCTATGTTAATTTGCTGGAGGGTAATGGGTTTATAAACCATGGGTACATGACGTTCATTTCAATCACCTTGGATATCCATTATTACAGCCGAATGGCTCACCCGCACACTGCGCATGATGCCAAAAAGAGTAGTTACCCCACCTTCGCAATCAATGGCGGTTTCCTGTAACTACCATGTTTGCAACGGGAAAAAAAGGTGCCTTCAACAACTATCGAGAGTAAAGAAGTCAACTGTAAAATAAATAGCAATTCAGTTCATATTTTTCAACTCATATATCAGTCCATAGCTCTTCACGAGTAACCCATCAATAATTAGATAGTAACAACATATAAGAACCAACACAGATTTGGAAATAAAACATGAAAAAAACAATTTGTAGATCGTTTTCCTAGAAAAAACATGAGTTTTCCATATATTTTTGTATGCTTACCCACCAGGAAAACAACAAAAAAATACCCCGTCGCCATACCACATTTTTTCCGACCGAAGCCCGCCTTGAAGGGCCACAGCTTGATGTCGGCCTGGCCGTGAGTTAGTTTGTTGGGAGTTTTCTCATGGATATTATCTGGTTGGCGGTATCTCTGAAATTATGGTTTATAGGTGATATATCTATCAATAACTATGGTTTTTAGGTGATATATCAATAGCTGGTTGGTGGTTTCAATCTCTCTCAAAAATATTAATCAGTTGGGGTGATTATTCCCATATACCAGTATAGTACCTGCACGAGGCGGGGCGGAAGTTGCCTTAGGGATATACTATAAGACCTTTTTCATCTATATATAGAACTTGCATGCAAAAATACGCAATCTTTCTAGAAAATGCTGACCCGTCCTTTGAACAAGTGTTCCGATCTGCTTCACAGGCATCCTGCCGTCAGCAGTGTGCTCTGGATTGTCCGAGAGCAAGGCAAGATTTAAGCGCAGCTTCGTGGCCACTGGAACTGTAAACCAGTTGACCCAATGATCTGACAGACACAGCGCCTGCCGCCTCTTGCGCGGCTGGCGTTTCGATTCCATTTGATCCCCCGATTTGGCCTGGAGGCCAGATGATTCTGGCGGCCAAAAGATTGCAAAGAACGGCAGCGAAATCCCTGAGAACACAAACAATACGTAAGAAACAAGGTTGTGGGCACGTGGTTTTCGCATTTCTCGACCTTCTCGGCCTTTTTGGCCTTCTTCACTTTTTTTCGTCCCTTCGCATGGCACATGAATGATGCTGGGTATGTTCAGTTTGGCTGCTAACGATTCCGCGCGTGCCTGCATGTCGCACAGGTCGGGATTTCATCGCGCTGTTTATGTGCAAAGGTGAGAAACACTCGACAAAAACAGAAAGTTTCTTTCTGGGCACCTCCCGGCCCCCGCCATTGTTGTACCATTCCTGCCAGCAAAACTCGCCACAACACAAGATTCTTAATCGAATAAAATCATGCGAATGTCCGCAATCATGGTTGCACTGAACGATCTGTTCGCCGGAAACCGACCTGATCCGTCCTGATCCATTCTAGTTTAGCTATATCAGCGCTATCTTCCCATGGGAAACCTTGCCTGGTAGGCTTGCATTCTCTTAGTAAACTCATCCCGCCGCAACTATTCACATCAGTTTCCAGCAGGGTTCTAAGAAAATGGAAGACAATGGAATTCAAGGCACAACTCCTGGAACGGCCGGCGCTCGGAGTCTGGTAGTTTTTGCTCACGCCCAAGGTATGGCCCCGTGGAATATGCTTGTTTTTAGAAAACATGGGTTGGGGTGGGGTGGGGTGGGGTGGGATGTTAACGTTCATGTTACCGCTGATGATGTTACGCTGCTCGTGGGGGTTGGTTGGTGGGGTGGGGTGGGATGTTAACGTTCATGTTACCGTGATGTTACGCTGATGTGGGGGTAAGTGTTCATGTTACTGCTCATGGGGGTTGGGGTGGGGTGGGGTGGGAAGTTATAACGTTCATGTTACTCTGATGATGTTACGCTGCTTGTGGGGGTTGGGGTGGGGTGGGGTGGGATGTTAACGTTAATGTTACGCTGATGATGTTCCGCTGCTCGTGGGTTGGGTTGGGGTGGGAAATATGAAATTTGCAGAGTTCAAGAAACGCATAGAAATACGCACACAGGAGCAACCACTCGTTGCAGAACACAGAGGAGGAACCAAAACAACCGCAGCCGCAACCGCCGCACACAGGTACTTTTCATCGCCGCCTGCAGCCACTTTACACGGAAAAACACAAGGTTTCGTGCTCCGGCTTACTTCCCAACACAAGCGTCACCACTTCGTCACCACTTCCCTTCCTCACCACTTCCCTTCCTCACCACTTCCCTTCGTCATCATTTCCCTAGGTCACCACTGCCCTTCGTCACCACCCTGTGTCATAGCCTGTTATTCTTTTGTGATGTATTGTTATGTGATGTCAAGTCTCACACCGCCCTTCATCAATGTCAAGTCTCACAATTCTATTTGTCCGTAACACGGAAGTATTGCTTCCCAACTTCCTTTGATTATGGAAAATAGAAACAGTTTGAAAACAACAACCAGTTATCATTGTCATTGTCATCATTCTCATTTTGATTTCAACCAACCATGGCCAATCAGCTAGATACCCTGCAAAAAAAATGACAAATTCTTAGCTGGTGAAAGTAGATACTCCCATTGATACCAAAAAGACTAAAGGATTAGTTTGTACCCATCCAGTCCATTGACCTAGTAATCATCATTAATCATCACTAATCATCATTCATCATAATCACTAGAAATCACCATATAAATCACCATCTTTGCTTTTGAAATGAGCAAAGTCCATGGTTCCCAGGTGACCTACTGGACAAGTTCAAGTCCTGTGCTTTCCAGGGACGATTTTGACAAACACAGGCTCCGTTACGACGTTCGGTGGTGCCCCATAGTCAGCTATAGATACTGTATGCCATAAATTCAATAGCAGTCTCATGTGTCACAAGCCGAAGGGAATGGTGAATCTTGGAAGTTACTTAGCTATAGATATTAGATAGATAGATAGATAGATAGATAGATAGAGAATAGATAGAGATAGATAGAGATAGATATAGATAGAGATGGCTAGAGATAGATATAGATAGAGATAGCTAGAGATAGCTAGAGATAGATAGAGATAGATAGAGATAGATAGAGATAGATAGAGATAGATAGAGATAGATAGAGATAGATAGAGATAGATAGATAGATAGAGATAGATAGAGATAGATAGAGATAGATAGAGATAGATAGATAGATAGATAGAGATAGATAGAGATAGATAGAGATAGATAGAGATAGATAGATAGATAGATAGAGATAGATAGAGATAGATAGAGATAGATAGAGATAGATAGAGATAGATAGATAGAGATAGATAGAGATAGATAGAGATAGATAGAGATAGATAGAGATAGATAGAGATAGATAGAGATAGATAGAGATAGATAGACATAGATAGAGATAGATAGAGATAGATAGACATAGATAGAGATAGATAGAGATAGATAGAGATAGATAGACATAGATAGAGATAGATAGAGAGAGAGAGATAGACAGACAGACAGACAGATAGATAGTAGGATAGATAGATAGATATAGATAGATATAGATAGATATAGATAGATATAGATAGGCATAGATAGATATAGATAGGTATAGATAGAGATAGATAGATATAGTTAGATATAGGTAGATATAGATAGATATAGATAGATATAGATAGATATAGATAGATATAGATAGATTTAGATAGATATAGATAGATATGGATAGATTTAGATAGATTTAGATAGATTTAGATAGAGATAGATAGATATAGATATATATATATATAGGTAGATATAGATAGATATAGATAGATAAATATAGATATAGATAGATAGGTAAATAGTTCGATAGATAGATAGATAGATAGGTAGATAGATAAATAGATAGATCGATCGATAGATAGGTAGATAGATTGATAGGTAGATAGATTAGTTAGTTAGTCAGTAAGTTAGTTAGTTAGTTAGTTAGTTTGTTAGTTAGTTAGTTAATTAGTTTGTTAGTTTGTTTGTTAGTTAGTTAGTTAGTTAATTAGTTTGTTAGTTAGTTAGTTAGTTAGATAGATAGAAAGATAGAAAGATAGATAGATGGATAGATGGATAGATGGATAGATGGGTAGATGGATAGATGGATAGATGGATAGATGGATAGATGGATAAATGGATAGGTAGATGGATTGGATTGGATAGGAGAGGATTGGATTGGATTGGACTAGCTTAGATTAGATTAGAATAGATAGATGGATGGATGGATAGATAGATAGAAAGATAGACAGACAGATAGATAGATAGATAGATATATCTGTCATAAATCCTAGCTGACCTACTGCCCTACGGAAGTAAACCAACTTTGCGATGACTGGAGCACCACTGACCTTGGCTCTCCCGCACCTGCACAATGGGGTCGGCAAACTTGCGGCCGATCAAACCTCGGAGCATCTCGGAGCAACGGAAACAGGGCTATAACGATTGGCTTGATATAAATCTGAACCTTGCGGCCATTTGGGAATGATTTCCCTTGTTCACCATGATTCCAGGGCTCGGTCACAGTGAGGTAATGATAAAATTTACCCAGATAAATGATAGCAGCAGCCGTTTGATTGTTCGGCATCTGATCCGATTCAATCTGCCAACAAAAAATGGCACCCTGTATTGACTCTGAAGGAGCTCGCTCTTCAGCCTTCACAGCCACAGTTGGATATGCAGCTTCGCGTCTCAGCCACGCCAGGGAATTTCTGTCATTCTGCATCTTTTTGCGACCATGTGGCAAGTCTAGTTTCTTTTCATGTTCTTCACACTAAGTCTCTGGACCCTCCTTATATCACGGGTCAACGAACCCGAGCTCTCGGACGAAGTTGGGTCCCGTATATAAAAGACCACAGCCACAGCGATGTGACAAAAAAGGACGTGATCCTAACAACCATTACATGATGACATGATGATCATGATGCTTTTACGCTACCCTTAAAAAAGATAGACAAGTCAATTGAGCACTATCTTAGTAAGATGTTACTTTTCTATCTGTCCAGGGATTGCAACTATATTTCACCTGCAATAAAACCGTTTTGGGATAACAAAAAATGACCAAATTCTATCCGCCATTCTAGTGACATCGCTGTGAGGTCGTTATACAGTAATTTATCGGATAAACATGGGGATGACCGTAGGGATGTATCACCACGAGATTAAATTTTTAACATGGGATATACCCTCCGGTAATTTGTTATATAGCTATTGAAAATGGCCCAGTCGAAATAGTGGATGACTACCCATTATAGCTATGGTGATTTTCTTTCCATCGTTTTTGTTAACGTTTACCAGAGGCTAGTGGTGATATTACAGCAATGATTCCACTTCCTGCCTAGTTGTAGTATACCTACCACTCTGAAAAATCATGGAGTGAGTTCGTCAGTTGGGGCACGATGACATTCCCAACTGAATGGGAAAGTCATAAAATTCCATGGTTCCAAAGCACCAACCAGATATATATGTGTGTATAGTTTCCATAAAAAAAAAGAAATCCAAAGCACCAACCAATACCTCATGGATATTCTGGGAACGCTTTCAGAGCTATTCCAATGGGAAGGTCACCTCAAAGAAAGAGTCGGAGAGTCGGAGTGACATGACGCTATGAAGAAAAAAAAACCTTCAAGCGAGGACAAGCGTGACATCACAGATTCTTTGTTCACCTTTTTTGGGGGAAAGCAATTTTCAAACGATGACAAGGTATGGTAAGATTACCCTCTGGTAAACATACAAAAAACTATGGAAAATCACCATTTTCAATGGGTAAATCACTATAAATGGGCCATTTTCAATAGCTATGTTAAATTACCAGAGGTATAATATGTCAACTTCGCAGAAGCGTTTCAAAAAACCGAAGAGTGGCTCTACTTCCATCTTTTTTGGGGGCTCACAGATCAGTCTAATTTTGGTTCCCCGCTGAAAAAAAAAACACCTTCCCCCTAATACTAAAATATACCAGTAGTACCGCACAAGGCGGTGGCGGAAGTTTCAAAAATAGGAAACCTATAGGAGAGATTTGTTGTTGTGAATCAGGGATAGCAGAGCGAATCCACTGATGGACCGAAAGGTGCTTGAGGTCTCCTCTCTTTCTCTCTCTTTCTCTGACTATCTACCCACCTACCAACCTATATTCTATGTATCTATCTATCTATCTATCCATCTATCTATCGATCTATTGTAGGAACTATTGTTTCAATTAATTGGGCTCCAAATGTTGCATTAAAACTGATCGTACTTTAGATTCCGCTCCAAGCGCTTTAGCCGCTCCCTTTCATCTCCCCGCCTCAACGAAAGATCCCACGCGGGCGGGTCTCGACCTCGGAGACTTGCAATTGGAGTCCAGGCTTCACTTTTCACCATGAATTTCTTCCGAAACATCTTCAATTAGTAAACGTCCTAAGCCTACTGCGTATTCTGCTATGGAGCAAATATCCGACACCACTCACCAGCCACAAGTACCTACACCGCAAAAAAGTGCCTGCCAGTAGCATTGTTAACTTGTGTTGGAGCATCAAGAACCAAGCCCAAACAACTAATCTGTACCCGATGTCAGCCATCACTAAGAATCACCCACGACTAATAACTAGATCATTGCCAAATTTATCAACCACCACGCTTATCATTGCCCATCATGCCCTCGTATCAGGCAAATATAAACCATCATTCACCAGCATTGGCGAAGCATGATTGGCTATTGACCATCAGTAAGAACCAGCCACCATTCACAAGCATCAGCCATCATCAGTCATCATTAGCCATCGCTAGACAATTATGAACCAACCATGAAATTTGCCTGGCCGCAACCCTGCATCCCCGGTTGCGAACTACAGCGTCGCCGTTGCACCGTCACTCGGGGCGCGGCTTGGCTCTCCCATCAGCTCGTTGAGCCTGGAGGCGGTCATCTTGGGGCTGGTGCTGGTCGTTGTTGGAAGTGTAAAGGCGGTTCAACCCGCCAGAAATGGGTGTAACCAGCCAGGAATGGGCACAAGCAGACATGGTGGCTATGGCTTTGTTGACAACAGTTTATAGTCAGCGAATACGCACAGCCAGTTACTGATGGTGATGGGACACCATCATTACTCAGGAGGAATCGGGGCGTGAGCTGTCAAATCGTTTGTCTGTTTGAAATGATGAATTTTGGTTGGTCCGGGCACCGCTATTTCTGGATAACCCGCGTCCACCGTTGCCGGCTTATTGACCTGAAGGGTCGCTAGTTGTAGGCAATGCAGAAGGAATGAGTTGTGGAGAATGAAACAGTGGCTATGATCAATGAAGCTCCGAACTAAACAAGAACCACCAAACTTACTAACTATCAACCACCAACCACTACCAGTGAACGATTCACCATTCTTCACCAGCTGATTCTGCCCTAGCGTGCACGGCCACCAGCGCTGCGCTGTTCTCACCGCCTTCGGTTGAGTTCATCGATCGCGAGTGACCTTGCTGTTAGTGGATGGTGATACCAGTGCTACTCAATATGGCGACGTGGTTGGTGTGTTCATGATGGCGGCGTCTACTTATCAGAGTGGAATATCAACCTCTCAACAGTTGCAGCCTCCTCATTGGTGGTTGCAGCCGTACCGGTAACACTGCACGCTGCAACAAGGTGTCCTGGGTGCCCAACTGGCGTCTCATGTCCAGCTCCATCGCCGCCTGGGACAGCTCCGATCCCCCATTGCATGGTAAAAACCAGCGGTCAACCGGCAGAAGCCGACAAGCATCGATAACCAACTACAAACGTGGTATCAATATTTCAACATCAATGAATAATCAAATATTGATTGGTTCAGTGAGGTTACAATTTGGATGATCCCCCACGGACGCACCGCATGGTCCAACGAGAACCTGAACCTGGATCAGAGGCAAACATGAGACGATTCGGTATTTCTTGGTGGAACGATCGGCACTCCTTGAACAACTACGTCAACCCGGTTAACATCAGAAAAACAAGGCATACCGCCCAGCGGCTCATGTTTGGAAACTTATCGCATCCCAAACCGATCCGGGGGATCCATATTGATACACCACCACTTTAAGGAACAATCACTTGCGATTGGCCTCAAAACGGCTGGCTTACGAAGAGCTGAATCTACCCGGGCAGAACCAACAAGAATTGCGCTTCTTATTTGGCATATCTGGCACTTATTAGCATGTGTTATCAGCCCATTCAAAGGGGACATCGTTGAATCGAATCAGGACTATTGGGCCATGGTGAAGCCCCTGAATGCTGTGTCCAGGACATCCAGGCCCAACATGAAACCATAAGTGAGCAGCTTGGCAAAGCAAAGTGCGCACAACTAGCAAGCAAAATGCCGGAACATTTAACATGTCAAGATTTGGGAAGATATTGTCACCCATGATATTATTCTTGAATTGGTTCTTGGTTTCCCCTTTGACCAACATATTTGTCCGGCTTAAAACCATCAACTAGAGGAACGCTCATCCGAAGAGACTGGAATGGGGCTGCGTCACGCGTAATTATGATGTGTACACCGTGATATACCGTACGCATGCATATGTATGCTATGTGCAGGTTAATGTATTGAAAATATACAAACATATTCTTTATCTACACATCACGTATGTTTGATCTTGATAAACAAATGCGGCAATGACAACTAGTGTATCAAAAATGACTGATTGCCAAGAAAAAAACGTTTTCTCGTTTTGACGCTGCGCCTCTCTCGCTGCCACCTGCCAGCAGCCAGGAGGATCAGAAGCGATGCGCAAGTACATAGTTCATGTTGGCTTACGAAGAAAAATGATAGCAAAGACTAGAGTGGAAAACAACAATAGTTGGTCATGTTCTGTGATGATGATTGATCTAAGGTTAGTGATAGGGTGATATATTATGTGGATAATGGAACCTGGGTAATAAATAACCCCAAAAATATGCATCAATCATATGGTCACTCATGAATCACAATACCATTCATGTAAAATACAAACCGCAATCACGGTACGGCTAACGATGGTCAATGGTACGGATATCATGATGATTCATGATGTTGATATCGCTGAAGCCACCCATATTTGGAGGAACAAAACGAGGTATCCACGGGAAAAAGCCGGATGGTTGATGCTACTTGGTGGTCGAACCAGCCCTCTGAAACACATGCGCGGGTCAACCAACCAACCATTCCCAATAGGGGGGAGACAAAAAATGTCTTAAATTAACAGGCAGGATGGTAGTGTTGGCGCTGGTGAGTGATGAACCCATCAGGCCATGAGCGGGAAACCAGGTGACCGTCAGCAGCGAAGAACCGCTGTAGTACAACACGATCATCTTTTTCGGCTGGGATAGCTCACAAGGCCGACAAAAAACCAGCAACGCAACTCCATCGGCTGCTGAGATCGGACCACAGCTGCACCCCGCCTCTCGTCGGAACTCTGCGTGCTCCTGTGGCGGGATCGGTGGGCGCCCAACATCTGGCGCTGCCCCAAAACTTTAAAACAGTGTCCAGCGGCGCACCGCATGATTGCAAATGAACATGAAATAAAACCAAGTATGATAAGATAAGTCAACTAATCAAAATGCGTCTATACATAGAAACTGAATGAATCAAAAAACATGATAAATAAACACAATCAATATTTATAAGTATTGGCAAATTTGTACATACACAATATCTGCTTCGCGCCACAACGGCGTGCACTTTTTGGACATCTCAACTTCCAAAAGTGGTCCAAGAATGGTGTGTTTTGTACATTTTCACTTCGAAATGTGCTTCGCGCCACAACGGCGTGCACTTTTTGGACATCTCAACTTCCAAAAGTGGTCCGAGAATGGTGTGCTTTGTACATTTTCACTTCGAAATGTGCTTTGCGCCACAACGGCGTGCACTTTTTGGACATCTCAACTTCCAAAAGTGGTCCGAAGGTGGTGTGCTTTGTACATTTTCACTTCGAAATGTGCTTCGCGCCACAACGGCGTGCACTTTTTCGACATCTCAACTTCCAAAAGTGGTCCGGAGCTGGTGTGTTTTGTACATTTTGACTTGGAAATGTGCTTCGCGCCACAACGGCGTGCACTTTTTCGACATCTCAACTTCCAAAAGTGGTCCGAGAGTGGCGTGTTTTGTACATTTTTACTTCGAAATGTGCTTCGCGCCACAACGGCGTGCACTTTTTGGACATCTCAACTTCCAAAAGTGGTCCGAGAATGGTGTGCTTTGTACATTTTCACTTCGAAATGTGCTTCGCGCCACAACGGCGTGCACTTTTTGGACATCTCAACTTCCAAAAGTGGTCCGAGGGTGGTGTGTTTTGTACATTTTCACTTCGACATGTGCTTCGCGCCACAACGGCGTGCACTTTTCCGACATCTCAACTGCCAAAAGTGGTCCGCACCTGGTGTGATTTGTACATTTTGACTTGGAAATGTGCTTCACGCCACAACGGCGTGCAATTTTTCATCTCTCATCTAGCGAGCGTACTTTTCGACCCTCCGGAGCCCCAAATCATTGGAAAATCACAGTGTTTGGCGACTTTCCTACCTTTTCGCGCATCTGCATCTTCTTTCTTCTTACTCTTCTTTCTTCTAATCTTTCTCTTCTCTCTGCCTCTTCCCTGCTCTGCTTTTCATCTGTCCATATTGTCGGAAGTTTGACTTCTAAACTTCCTTCGACTAAACACCTTCTAGAAACCATGGTTGCCTGGTTTAGTTTAGAAGGGGATTTATGGATTTATACTTATGACTAGGACTATTTATGGGGTGTTTAATCTTCGGGGATTGGATTTTTGTCACTTGCAATTCCCAATGAGTTTCACCACACATCGATGTGAAGTTTGCTCATGGGCCAAATCAACATAACTGGTTGGTGGTTTGAAGCCTCTGAAACATATGAGTTCGTCACTTGGAACTATGACATTCCCTATGGAAAGTCATAAAATTCATGATCCAAACCACCAACCAGATAATACCCTCCAGTTATTTACCATATGGTAAATGGCCGATTTACAAATGATGTGTGATGATTAAAAATGACTTAAATTCTCCACAGCTGTGAAAAATCATCAGAGGGATCCAGTAGGGACTGATTTCTTCATGCTGGACTCGCTGGCAAGACACGCTTCGCATCGAAGACGGTATTCTCCTTGGATTTGCCACAGTTCTTTATTTTTTGGGGCCCTGGGGAGCGCTAAAAACTCATCTTTCCCTAGGAACTCACCTTGCAGAAAAATCCTCAGCTTCAGAATGCTGATAGTTTCCTGGATCAAGTCTATCATCTCATGGAACTATACTGATTCAGCCAGACAGTGTTGTCTCCCATTCCATCTGTCAAATACGTCCCATGTCATTGTCCTTCTACCCCAAGGGTCAATTTCTGTTGGGCATACCAGAGATGGCACCGTCCAACAACCGAAAAAAAAAGTGAATTTTCACCCAAAAATTGCTATCTGAACCATCTCAAACCCCAAAGATCCTCCAAAAACCCTCGATTTTCACCCGATCAACCCATCAACTTCCCATCATTTCCAAATTTCTTGGCTTTTCCATCCCCTTTTTTTCTCTCCGACCATCCCCCATGGTGCCATGGCCGCCGCGGCACGGGATTGCGGGCCACCTGGTTCTTGGCCGCGTCGCCGATGAGGCGCTCCGTGTCCGTAAAGGCCACGTAGGACGGCGTGGTGCGATTGCCCTGGTCGTTGGCGATGATCTCCACTCCGTCGTTCCTGAAAATCTTGGAAAAAAACTCGGGGGCCCCCGTGGCGTTCGAGCGCGTTCAGTTGGTGCCAATAACCATAGGAAACCATAGGAAAATGTGGGATTAATGGGATTTATAGCTGATTTATGATAGCTAAGTTGGAGCTACTGGTTGGTGGTGCAATTTCACCATCTTGAAAAATAGAATATTCGTCAATGGGGTTGGGATGACATCCCATATATGAAATGGGCAATAATTTTCATGTTTGAAACCACCAGCCAGGCGAAGTTGGTGCCTACATAAGTCCAATTTCACTATGGTTTATCTGGTTGGTGGTATACCTACGCCTCTGAAAAATGATGGAGTTCGTCAGTTGGGATTTTGACATTCCCAATATATGGAAAGCCATAAAATTCCATTGTTCCAGTCACCACCAACCAGCTATGGTTTTTGTTGGTGATATATATATAATATAAATATATATATATATAGCTGATTCATGATAGCTAAGTTGGTGCCTACATAAGTCCAATTTCACGTGTTGGCTTTTGTTGGTGATATATCGATGTTGTTACCCTCTGGTAAACTAACATAACTATAGAAAATCACCATTTTCAATGGGAAAACTCACTATAAATGGCCATTTTCAATAGCTATGTGAAATTACCAGATGGTAATGGGGATTATAAACCAATTTATAACTACTGGCGGCACCTTTTCAGGATCTCTGAGTGGATTTGGGTGGGGAAATTTGAGGGAACCGTTTGGTGTTTTTGCCATCAAAATAGCATCAAATTGCTTGGGAACTATAGGTTTTTACCATCCAAAATACCATCCAAATATAGGGGCTTAGATGGTTTTGACCATCAAATTGCTGTGTCCTGTCTATTTGCCCTGAAAAAACAATCTTTCAATGAGAGTTGTTGGATTGTGGGCGATAATTGAGTTCAAACATGTTCAAACTATGGTTTCTGTCCGGTGAAATGTTGCGTCATCCAACTCTGTGACAATGTTGTCCCAAGTTTTGAAGCAATGGCTGGCTTGTTAAGCCCATTGTTTATAATGGTTTAATAGTGGTTGACTGGTGAAGAGTGGTTGGTCTGCAAAGGTTCTCTTCAACCAATTCTTCTGACCTGGAGGTCTTGACATTTTTGACCGTCTGAACCAAGCGCATCATTTCAGGATTGATGTTGGTTGAGTGGTTGATGTTGGTTGGTTATAATCAATGGTACCCGCAGTTATAGCCATTGAAAACCATGGTATTATAATAGGGAACATGATGATAATCCATTGGAATTGGTTGGTTGGTTATCAATAATATAACTCACATAATTGATGGTTGGGGTGGTTGACGTTGGTTGGGTGTGTTGAGCTGCAAATCTACAGGAAGGCCGCCCCCAGTTATGAATTCAAATAGTGTATAAACCTATCCAACCTGACTCCTAGTTAGCCTGCTTAGGATGCGATGGGATTGGGAGGGCGGTTAGAGTTTTGAGAGCAAGAAACTCATGTTCACCTACGGTTTTTAAACTCACCCTAAATACAGCTAACCAAACTCCCAAACTAAATAGTAAATTACCCCTAAATAAAGCTAATTTTTGTTTGGCCCTAAACCCAGATTTGCCCAGATGGGGCTGAAAAAATTGTCCATGTTTTATTTGAGGTGGCTTTCATGTACTAATTCATACTGCCAGCTCATTAGATCTTACCTTGATAGCTTCAAATTTTCAAAAATAACGGATGCTCTTTCTATTCAAATCCTTTATATAAAACCTATCCAAAATCAATCCCAAATCAACTCGTCAAGGGTATCCCCCATGAGGTGCCTTAGCACTAATTAAAGTTTGACACTGAATAAAGCTACTGAGCTTCCCCCTCCCGAAATGTATACTAAATCAATACTACATCCATGAAATGTATACTAAATCAATACTGAATACATGACATGAATACTAAATCAATACTAAATCCATGACATGAATACTAAATTAATACTAAATCCATGACATGAATACGACATCAATACTAAATCCATGAAATGAATACTAAATCAATACTAACACAATTGTTGGATTCCTTATTTTTTTTTTGAAATTGCATTTTATATTATCATTTTAAATTGTAGTAATTGAAAACCAATACATACAAACAAGTTTGATGGTGGCTTTAAGTTTATTTAGGGGCAAAGAGGGGGGGCCCCACGTTTATAAATCAGAGGTCAACATTAAGCATGCAAAGTGGTGACATCCCAATTCCAAGTGCGGAAGTCGTTCCTGATTGTTTTCCTCAATAAAACAAATTATGTTTTAACTAAGAAAACATGGTGGTTCAACCAACAACATTGATTGGGTGACCATCAATTTCTATGTGGCGAAAGCAACCATAATCTCCACTCCGTCGTTCATGGGGTGAGATTGGCGTGATGGTAACTTACCAATTGAACAAATGGCATAAAAATGATAAAATGTTGGCTGGGTATTCTGGGTGATTTGCTTAAGATTGTTTAACAAAAACAAGAGAACATGTTCACTCTAGATTCCCTCTGGAAAATGCACAAAATCGCCAGATCTCGAGCAGTTCCAAGGGAAATCCAAGTTGCGAAGCATCTCAGCTAGGTGGGGAATAACCTGGTTATAACCCACATATTCATTCATAAAAATATGTATTGGATGTATATATATATACACATATATATATATATATATTACATATAATGGAATCTCCCTTAAATTAGATCATTGGTTTGATAGGGTGTGGAAGTTCTTACTTTGTTGGATGCCCACTCTTCATGGTTTGTTGGTCTGATCTCACACACCCGACCAGAGCTTGGAGCAAAGCAACTTCCACACACCGACGCAGCTGTAGGTGGTACCTTGGTGGCGGGCCGGGCTTGAACAAGAAGCGCTGGGGGAAAGAAAAACATATGTAACATGTATATCAACAGGGTTTAATATATAACATTATACCATTTAGATACCTATGGTTTATATACCATTTATATACCTATGGTTTAATATAGCCGGGTTAGGTTAAAAAAAAACTCCGGCATTCATTGCCGTGACGTGCTGGAACATCCCCGAATCAAACCTAGAACTGGAAAATTGTCCGGCAGCCCAATGGTTTCCTACGGTTTCCTATTAGCATATGTGATTATAGGATTGATTATAGGATTGATTATTTTCCATCATTATCCAACAATGGATGACTATATATAGTGATTGGGTTGATAGGTCCAACGATATGGTCCTGAAACTTTTTCTTCAGACGTCCCCCAAAAATTTCCCAGGCGACCCAGGTCCAACAGGTTGATTCCATCGCCGCCAAAATGCCCAGGTCGATTCCGATGGCGGTCTTCTTGGCCATGCTTTGGAACAATTTCCGGGACGAAGTCGCAAAATCAAAAAGCACAGACTTGAGCAATATACGTACTGCCGGGCACGGTTAAACGGTTAAAAAAAAAACCGAGTCAAAACAAAGATGTAGATGAACTATACTGAACTAGCAGTTAAATGTGACCGAGTGGACTTAGTTTCGGAGCTCAAGCATGATTTCAATGGAGTAAAATACAAGTTGGACCTAACTGGTTGTAGCCTCCAAATTCATCCAACATGGCTAGCAAGGCTAGAAATCCCCAATGGCTTGATAGGAACTACAATCCGGACCAAGAAGTCGTGGGAGAATCGCTATAGTCGATATCGCAAAGATTACTGGTTGGTGGTTGACCTACCCCATTGAAAAATATGAGTTCGTCAGATTGGATCATCATCCCAACTCTTGGGGAAAATAGAAAATGTTCCAAATCACCAACCAGTCAATTAATTTTTACCCCTCTGAAAAATATGAGTTCGTCAGTTGGGATGATGACATTCCCGATATATGGAAAAATAAAACTCATGTTCCAAACCACCAACCAGTTCATGACTGTCAAGCCTCAGGTCAGCATGTGGCAAATCCATGCAAGTGTTGCAAATATTTTATCCCGTCTCCCTTAGATTAAATACGACCAAACGAAGCCCTGGTGGAATGCTTTGTATTTATTCATTCTGGGTCCCGTTTGGGTATCGCAAAGATGGTATCAGTAAAACACTCCCTGTTGTTTTTAGTAAAAATGCATTACAAAACACTGTTTCAATGTGTTTGATCTTATAAAAGATCAAACAAGGGAGGTTGTTTGCATGATATCCAAAAAAATATCTGAACTTGAAGTTGATCATTAAAGTCATGCAAGGAATCAGGCTTTGACAACCAAGGTTGAGGTTTGACCGCCAAAGAACGCAGATTTGATCAAGAGGACATAGAACCAGCAAGAGTTGGGTTACCTGCAAATTGCCCGAGGTTTTTAGATCCAAAACAAGCAACTTGGGGGTGCGTCGCATCTAGGAAGTGGCTTATAATCCGTTAGTCTAGCTGGGTGTAACCCTACGTAACCCTACTAATCCAACTAAGATTAACAGGGTTATTATGCGGTCATGAACCACTTACTGCCAGGTGGTGCACCCCCAGTTACACGTTGGTTTATAAACCATAGTAAGTATAGATATATCTACCATAAACCATAATTATTGGAGTTATAAACCAGCTTAGCTAACTATGGGGCACCACCTTGTGGGATGCACATCCAAGAATGCAATTTCTCCAGATCCATTGGTAGCCCTTTTCCAATCCATGCACATGTAACATTTGAATAATCTTCGGTACCCTGCAAAAATTAAAAATCTTATCGGGGATATCAAACATTGCACCCTATTTATATCCATCCACATCATCTAGTCTGGTCAAATTGTAGTAATTCACCTAAATATAAGATGACTAAGGTGTTTCAGAAAATCTTTTAAAAGGGGTACTTATGGGATATTTATGGAGTATTTACCTTCTGGTTATTTAACATAGCCATGGAAAATGGCCCATAGAAATAGATGTGTTTTGATGGCTCACCTATTAAACATGGTGATTCTCCATAGCTATGTTAAACAACCAGAGGGTACTCATAATTTACCTTACCATATCCCAGAAATTTACCAGATTCTTGGATATTTATGGGATATTTACCTACAGGATGGTGCCCCCAAGTTATAAGTGGGTTTATAAACCCCATTAACTATAGTTATATCTGCCATAAACCATAGTTATGGGACTTATAAACCAACTTAGCTAACTATGGGGAACCACATTGTATGTAAAGCCAACATTTACCAGCATTTCAGGTGAGCTTTCCAAGAGGACATCAACCCCGACTCGACCTCGTCATTCCAACGGCTCACGGCTCGTTCCCGCCGTGGACCCTAAGAACCAAAAAAAAGGCGCTGTTAATTAGGAAACGTGATGTAAAACGAATGATGGGTTTATCATGGGTTTATATATCTTTATATATATCTTATAATGATAATTAATGGCCCAAAAAAACACTTTAAAATGGCCCAAGTAACAGTTTTAAATGGGCTTATAATGATGTCCACATATATATATATATGTATATGCATAGATAAACTTAGTTTGAGTTTTTTTAAGAAAAATATATATAACTGTTAAGGGCCATAACTGTACCCAGTGGGTCCAACAGTTGATTTTGGGATACACATGGATACACGATTTTCAGACTAACCAGTAGTTTCGTATACAACCTACTCTGGGGCCATGCCTGGTGTCATCAAACATGGCTGGCAATTGAAAATCCCTCAGCGAACTGGGGGTTCGAACTGTGATGGGAAATCATGTAGGGATTTTCCAGTCGCCATGTTTGAAAAAAGCGGGTAGTATGGTTGATCATCATTTGCCGTCATGAAGACTGAGGTTGCCCCTCCGTAAAAGTCCGATCAGTGGGAAAATCACATCTATCATCCCAAGATTGGATATTAAATCTAACACCCAAGATACATGGTATAAACATGCATATCATTTAAATATTCCACCTGACATCCAAGATATATGACATAGCCAAGATATACCATAAATCTGGGCAAATTTTAATAATTCACTCACCTGAATCTTAAGGCCATTTGGGGATGATTCCCCTTATTAACCATGATTTCAGTGAGGGAGAAGAGTGAGATCGTGATGAAATTTACCCAGATAAATTGTCATATAGGACATCACCTTCACCCACGCCAGTGACCACCAGAACTAGGCTTTCTCTTCAGTCCAGACATCCGCAACGTCTTGCCAGCGATGGGTTATAACCAAAAAGCCTTTTACATCATCATATACCAATTATATACCCTTTGTATCCCAATTTTATATCATCATATACCCAGTATACCCCATTATAACCATATCCTAATTTTATATCCCTAGAAAATCCAAGTTTTTTTTGTTGTTTTTTCTTTTTACCTCCATTCAAAATCCCTCAAAGGTCGTCTAAACCACGCTCTTCCGCACCTTCCGCACGCTCTTCCGACTCGCCATGTTGGAACCAAAGGTGGAACTGCCATCCTGGGCGAAACGTCGAAACTCGGACCTGGTTGGATCATCTCCGGAGAAAATCGAGGATTTACCCTCTGGTAAACTAACATAGCTATGGAAAATGGCCCATTTATAGATGGTTTACCTATTAAAAATAGTGATTTATATAGCTATGTTAAATTACTATAGGGTACCCGTAAGGATCTTTACCAACATCTTGAGATTCTACACCAAATTGGTAGGGAATAAATTACACGAAGAATCCATTTCGAAGGATCTTCACCAACATTCCCATTTAGAATGGAATAGAATGGACTTACCAACCACACCGGAGATTGAATTCTTGAATTCATTGTTCAGATTTCTTCGACTCATTAGGAGACTCCTGCAAAACCCTGTGCCACTGCATGCCAACGGCTATGTAGGTCAGAATTTCACACACCCAAGCCCACACATGTTGGTCTGAAAATCAATATTACCCTCTGGTAAACTAACATAACTATGGAAAATCACAATGTTCAATGGGTAAATCCACTATAAATGGCCATTTTCAATAGCAAACTGTTAAATTACCAGAGGGTATGCTTACTCATTATGGCCATTTCATAGGAACCTTTGCAAAAATCATGATAAACCAAGGGATGGTCCATGGGTTTTCCCCTACGTCAGTCCAACTAAGATCATTAAGAACCGTCCTTTCGGCTTAGGCGACGATGCACCATTTCATATCCACAAGCCATGAAAATATCCATGTGGATAAAGAAATTTCATATCAACGGGGAAAATTCATGTGGATAGACAAAGCCAAAAATCATATCCACAAGCTGAAAATATTGGAGATCCAACATCCATTCAATATTTGGATGACGTGGAATGTCTGGGAAACCTAGGAAACCATGCTGACGTTAGCAGAGGCAATGATAAACCATCCATATTTTGATGGGGATGGTTGACTATTGCTTTTCAAACATTACATGATTTTGAAAAGGCGCTAACACGTTTACAAATTGAATCCTGTTCGTTGCCATATACCATCTGGTTATGACTAACAGTTCGCCATGGAAAGATCCACCCATGCAATTAACTTCGGTAAACCATCTAGCTATCTATGGGCCATCATTTTCCATGGCAAACGGTTAGTCATAACCGTATCTATATCTATGGTCAATAACTATCTATTAGTATTAATGGTTAATACCCTCTGGTAATTTAACATAGCTATTGAAAATCACCATTTTTAATGGGAAAATCCACTATAAATGGTCATTTTCAATAGCTTTTTGTATGTTTACCAGAGGGTAACTAATGGTTAATAACTAATGGTTACTAATGGTTAAATAACCAGAGGCTTGCCGGGTTTGGGGGAGCCCGAGCAGAAACCATGGCCTACTTACGGTGAAAAAACATATTTCACTGGGACCAAAAAAAATCATGTGGGCTATGTTTAATATGTGAAGGGATTAAACACCATTAAACAGCATTAATGTGGGTAAAACAAGAATAAACCATCCCCCAAATCAAAATAAATAGGTGGTATGGTTACCATTCCCAGTCATGGGAAGTCATGGGCTTATGACCTTGTTTTACCCACATTAGACATTATCAAACACCATGTGTTTGACATTGCCATGAGATTATTGTTCGCTCATGCCAGTGAGATGGCACCCGCAAGGGATGTTTTATCAAATGCCCGCAGTTCCAATGTTTATACAGGCCCGAATTCGAGCTGTTTTCACTAGCTGGTGACAAAATGGGGATTTGATTATGGTGATCTTGCGGATGGTTTATTAATGTCAACCCTGGATTAATAAACCCCAAACGGCTGTTGAATTGGGGGGATACCATAAAAAAGTATCATATTGTGACTATTTGGAGGGTACCCCCATAATTAATAAACCATGGTTTAGCAAAATCCGGGCTTAACATTATTGGGGTTACCTCTTTTCATTGGCTTTCGGTTGATTAGAAACCATTGGAAACCACTACAGATTATACATCATAAATCCTAGTTATATATTTAAAACAGTTGCAAGCCAGGCTCACAAACATGATGCAACAAACCTGTTTTTTTGGCCATCCCCAGACATAACCCCCGAAAGTGATGCAAAACCAGGGGGGTTAGTTGGATAAGAATTCAGACATATTTCATCATATGTCATCATATTTTCCGACTTTTCGGCATCTGTGACTTGGGGTTGCTGGAAACAAGTTGGGTAAACTATACAATTTGTGTGAATTATAAGGATTCCCTCATCCTACGCAGGATTCCAGGGTTCGGTCAGTCACTATAATTTACCCAGAATACCATCTGGTAAACTCACAGTTTGCTATTGAAAAATGGCACCTTTATAGTTGATTTACCTATTAAAAATGGTGGTTTTCCAGTTCGCAAACTGTTAGTTTACCAGAGGGTACCCAGAATACCCAAGCGATATCTTCGTCAAGCGTCGCTTCGAAGGTGAAGGTCCGATCTCCGCGGTGCTGGTAGTGGTTCCTTGGTACGGAGAAGCTGCCAAGCCTTCAATGAATCAGAATTTACAATGGGTATTAGTGGGATTATATTGTAAATAATAGTGGGATTAATGGGATTTTATTATTCACTATAAAACCATTTAAACCATTAATAATACCATTTAAAACCACTAAAATCCCCATTAATAACTTAGAATTTACCTTTATCATATTGCTGGGATTTTAGTGGTAAATGGTATTATTAATGGGATGGTAATGGGGAATGGTAGAAACATTGGGAGTGCAATGATATTAGAAGGTATTGGACAAGTTATAGATTTGTACAATTTGATTTTGATGAATAATAGTTTATAATGGAAATAATAGTTAAAATCATCTAAAATCCCCCAGGTCTTCAAGGTATAGACCCATTCCTACTTCCTGCCATGCCATACCCAGCTCCACCACGCTCCGAGCATCTCCAAGAAAGCTACTCAGCTCCTCCGTCACCGGTGATGCCGGCAGCTCCGGCATGGGAACCGTGGGCACAACTGGCGCAGCCTGGCCAGGCAGCTGCTCCCATCATGTTGGGATATGGGGCCAGAACGATGTATAACTCCAAACTTATGGATATACAAGTTGGATATAACATGATATAACTATGCTATAATTTGAAAGTTGGATATAACTGATATAACTATGGTTATATATCCACTTGAAAGGATTCAAGGGGTTGCGAAACGTCCATTTTTCAAACGTTGCCCAACTCTTGGAAACTCTCCATGTTCCGAGAACCCTAAAAAGGATGTGTACCAACGGCGAGTTTGGTTAGCCTTCTCGTATTTTGACATGGTGAAGAATCCTTGTATTGGTTACACCACCATGAATATCACCATGTAATGGAACTTCAGTTGCTTCTTATTGCCAACCTTGGTCAGATACATTCCCAATTGGTTGGTGTGTTCAACCCTCCTAAAAAAACTTTGAGCCATATTAATCCCATCAAGGATAACCATCTCAAATCATGGAAAGTAAAGAATAACCAGAACTATCCCATTACATCATCGTAAATTCACTACGTAAAATGGTTATAATAATCCCAGCATGTCCTTTTTTATGATCATACAAACATCCCATTTTTATGTCGCACCCATTCGCACCCTAGTTGTTCATGTCAAAAAAAAACGTGTTAAACAAGAAAATAGAACACCCTAAATGTCCCATAGTTTCCCATGCGATCTCCTTTAAACAAACTGAGTCGCTTTCCCAAGTTGAAAACGTCCAGCCCTCAACGCACACCTCGGGTCGCTTTACCGGCGGTGTTCCACCGGTGGCAGCAACGCCGGGTCTGGTGACCGGTCTCCGCTTGGTTCGCGCGCTCTCGGAGTCTTTGAGAAGCTTGGAGAAGTACCTTGGGTGGAAAATGGTGAAAATAGTTGTTCTAATAATGATACAATGGTACAATAGTTGTTCTAATGATTGTTTCTATAATTGTTCTAATGAGTGTTCTAATGATCATGATGTTTTTTTCACACCATCAAAATGGTTATCAACAAGCGAATGAGCACGTCTCGGGGGTTCCTAAGTCATGGTACCCTCAAGTGAATGATTTCATGTACAATCCTATGTTAAAAATGGATGATTTTACAGTTTGGGAAAACTCCATATTGATACTAATGATGATTTTTATATCGTGTTTGGAGAGCTACCCGGCTGGCGATATAATTCTGATCTCAGTAAGAGTTCGGTGGTTATCATGATAATTCCTTAGCTATCAATAACTAAGATCAGAAATCAATAGTTGATTTGTGTTCAAATGTGCATGATCGTGATGGTGGCAGAAACAAGTGGCTTCTATGATAGAATATCTCATTCATATGAGGTAATAATGGGACAGCATGATTCTTGATGCAAAACGATTGGATTTAAAAGACTGATGATGGTAGTTTGTTGGAAATAAAATGAAATAACTGGCTAGAACCAATAAGAGAAAAAACATTGTAATACTCAGTAGGAATAATCAATGGCAATACCAATCACCTTGGTCGAAAGAGTTTGGCAGAAACAAGTGCTTTAGTGGGTTTTCTTGATGATGGGGGAGTTATTTTCAAAATACCTATATAAGTTTGGAAAAATTGAAAAAGAAACTAATGACAAGGATGTAATGTGATGTAGTCTGGGTGGTAAATGATGATTGCTGAATTGATGGTGATAACTTGCTAGGACCCATGTGAGTAATAGTGTTTCTGAGGTTCAATAACGCGAATAATTTATGTTCTTGACAAGATGCTTCTGATTGTCAACCACTCATTATTGTTGTTGTCAATCTATGTAACCTGGTAATAGACACATACATAGAACAATGATACATACAAATGAAATGCATATGAGATCAATCACGGGAACTTGGAATTATCGATACCAATACAACAAACATTTCTTGTTACAAAATATTTGACCAACAATGGGAAGATGGTTAATGGCGACTAACGGGGATTAGTGGATATATTTAGGCATCTGGATCTATCTGGGCAGTTTACTTGGTTGTCAAATGGGGTATATACCCCAATTCCACGCCTAATCATCAGATTCCCTGTGCAAAATTGTCATAACATGACTGTATGTCCCATATTGGGGATGGCTATTGGATTTACCACATTCTATCCCCCAATAATTGGTGCTAAACCCATGAATGAACCCATGAAAGGTCCTCAAAGATTATCCAATATTGCCATCATTACATCCCAAATACTTTGGGACTATATATATATTATATCAATAAAATATGGAATAAAACATATCCCTTTATGTGAATCCCATATATCCCGAAAAAAAATAACCTCAATATTTAATCTCCCCAGTGTCCAATGTCTTCGAAAAAAATGGTCCATTATTATCCCATGATCCCGATGTGTTCGTTCGTTGACCATGGCGATCCCAGGGTACCGCATGGTTCTACCGTTGGCGAAGCCAAGGTAAACATAAAACAACTAGGCTCAGTGCTGGATTTATGGGGGAGATATCATGAAATATCTATATATGATACTCTCTGGTAAGCTAACACAGCTCTAGAAAATCACCATGTTTAATGGGTAAATCATCTATAAATCGGTCATTTTCCATTGCTATGTTAAATAACCAGAGGGTAACAATGGTTTTAATCCCATAGAATCCTGGGGGAACAATGATCAATGGGTTTTAGAATCAGTTGGTACCTAGTTATTCCATGTTATTCCCCCAAATACGGCAACAATAGGTTTTGGCACAGCTTCAAACTCTAACTGAAATATTTCATCATTTTTTAACCTAGAGGACCTAGATTGATTTTTTACTATGTCCCATCATCCCATCCCCACGTATTTTACAATAGTTCAATAGGTAATATGTCCCATCCAAATATGATGAATATATTCGTACATTAGGGATACTAAAAAGGTATAGTTCCTATATTTCCCATATATATATATACGGCGTACGGTAACTACATTTAAATATACGGATTATTAAATATACGAACAGGTATTTTAGACTACCTTCGGGAAGGTTTTCCTTGGCCCGCCCAGCCATTTAAACATACGGAATCCAATTCATTTAAACTTACTGCAACTACATTTAAATATACGAACTGGTATTTGATACTACCTCTGGAGCCTCGCGGTCTGGCCCGCCCTCCACATATGTAAATGTCGTTACCATATATATATATACATATTCGGTATATGTCCTTGAACAGTGATAGAACAATATGTCCCATTCAAAGATGATAAATATTGAGGTATATGTTTGGTATATTTCAAGTTATTCCCTCAATTATAGGTATCCATAACCCCATGATTAAAATCATCAATGTCCTATTAAACCATGAAAAATCATATCTATTATCACCATAATGTCTATTATCATTAAATCATTTAAACCTTAAAATATCCTTATAACTAGTAAATATCCATATGAATATAATATCTATTAAATCCCTATTATCTACGTCATTATCTATTTAAATCCCTATTAAATCCCTATAATATCTATTTAATGGGAAGTGCTTGATAATTAATCATAGTTTTCCCTCAATATTCCCAATATATAGAAAAATAAAACTCATGTTCCAAACCACCAACCAGTCATGATATTTTCCTTAAAGTATCCCATTAGTGAATCATTACTGATATCCCATAATTCCATCAAATATCCCGAATTCATATCACAATAGCCTCTGGTAAACGTTCCAACCAGGGTATCATGGTGTATATACTATTATTCCATGTATACCCTCTGGTAAACCAACATAACTATGGAAAGATCCACCATGCTATTAATAGGTAAATCAACTATAAATGGACCATTCTCAATAGCTATGTAACAAATTACCATAGTTAAATAGGTAAATCACCATTATTTTCTATACCATGGTGATATTTCCTCCACTTCTACTTCGACCATCTTCGGCATCCAAGGCGCTGCAGCCTTTGACACCAGGCCTCTGCATCGGTGGCACTGGGCATCTCCTTGGAATCCTCGCGGAAACCCGAACGGAGAACGTAGGAAAAAAACCGAGGCTTGGACCACGAAAAATGAGAAAAGCCTGGGAAAATGAGGAGAAAACACCAGAAAAGTCGATGATTTTAGTGTGATTTGAGAGATTTGATTAGATATTAGGAAAAATGAGGAGTTTTTTCCAATGATAATGTGGGGTCTTAGAAGGTTCCCGAGGTTCCATCGACTGTGTACAAAACCAGAGGCTTAATCAGTTGGAGAAGACCCAATTGAACATCTAAACAGTGTTTTTGCGATTCCAAAAATCTGTCATTTCTTTAGCCAACAGAAACAGTGAACAAAGTGAACAAAGTGAACAAATGATGCACAACCACGAATCTGGGTAAATTATAATATTTCACTAACCTGAATCTTACGGCCATTTGGGGATGATTCCCCTTATCAACCATGATTCCCAAGGCTCGGGAGAACAGTGAGGTCGTGATGAAATTTACCCAGACGAATCAACTGGTGGTCTTTGAACCTGATGGGATTGGACCATCAACTGTCTGGGAGTATCACCTGTTTTTTTCACCCCCAATGTCTGGAAGTCAAGCATGGCAATTGAAAATCCTAGATATAAATAGGACCATGGGTCTTAACATAAAATAAATTCTGGCTGGTTTGGGGGTAGCGAAATTTCAAGAAATCCCCAAATAGGGTTTGGAGGGAAAATCATCTGTAAGCCGTTGAAAAGCATCAAAAAGGATTATATAATATTCATGGAATATAATATATCTATATATATATATCATGGAAACCAACACAATGAAATATGGTTCTGGGTCAAAACCTGGCACCCCTAACATCAAAATTGCTGGTATATTAATGCATCCCCCTGATTTAATATGGTTTTTTTTTAAAATAGGTGTTGACATGTTTTGACCCAAAGCCATATGAATCATATGATGAACGATTAGTCTCCACAAATATAATCTCCAAGTTGGTCGGATGACATTTCCATTTTCCGTACTCCATGACCCCCCGGGGCCCCCATCCTTCGCCACGGCCAAGAGCTCACGTTGATTGCCACCCTCTCCTGATAGTGTTAGAAGCACGTCTTGAAGCACGCAGAAAACAAGAAGAACTGAGACTAACTTGGAAAAATAATGGGAAATTCAAGGGAAACAAGCAACAATCATGGATGAATGGATGATATAGCTATGGAAAGTCACGATGTTTAATAGGTAAATCATGGCAATCTATACCATAGCTAAACATTACCAGAGGAAGAAATCAATGACAATAATGACCATTGCGATACATGCAAACGGTTGCCTCAAACTTAGGTATACACCTAAATCCATATGTTAATCATCATTGCCCCTATGAAAATTGCAATAGAAACTGGTGTAAATCCGCCACCGGGTCGAGGCCTTCCCTTTAGAGCATCACCCAAAAATGATGTCCCCTTCTTCACGAACCATCTACAGCTCCTTAAGAATAGGAAACAGAAACTCAACATGACTATACCATACTATTACGTTTCTATACTTTTTGCGGGATCATGTGGTTGTAGGTCAAAACCCTGGTATCCTTTTGTTCACCACAAAATAGCTGGGATGCTGTTCATTTCCCACCAAACCACCAGATGGTACCATAGGTTTTACCCTCTGGTAATTTAACATAGCTTTTGAAAATGGGCCATTTATAGATTATTTACCAAATTTAACGTGGTGATTTTCCAGTTCGCGACCAGAGGTCATTCTTACCTCATCCAGCAGCGCCCAATCAGCGCCAGGTCACGATATGTGATCTGGATTCCCGCCTCCGCACTTTCCGACACCTGAAAGGCTGCAAGGACATCATCTTTGGAGGCTCCACCAAGGGGCCATGACTTAGGAACCGAGAACCATTGGAGCTATCTACCATATATGTTTGGCCTATTTTTTTGGCCTATTTTTTAGGGAATATCCTCACAATTCATATGGCCTGAAATATGGTACGCTTACGTACCTCCATTTTTGGATCCTGAAATTCCCACTGACCAATTCTTTGGGGCTTCCTGGACAACATATTAGACCAATACTGGGAATGAACTCATAGGCAAATATAGGGGACTTTTGCGCCATAGATCTCATGTCAGCCCAAGTTAGATGGAGGTTCCCAAAAATGGGGGGACCTTCAAGTCATCCATTTAAGTCGAAATTTCCATTATAAACCATCCATTTTAGGGTACCCCTGTTTTAGGAAACCTCCAGATGATTTGTTCACATCAATCAGGATGAATTACACATGAAGCGTGTCCGGACCACGGCAAAATTCAATCATCCTCTCGTACGAAAGCACAGCACGCGGCGCAAACTTTAAGTCATCCCAAATGGAGGTACACCCAATAATAGTAACAATAATCGATGGGAAACTTGAGCCATGAACAAAATGCCATGGTTAATAATCATTATTAATAGTGGTTAATAGTGGTTAATAATGGTTATAATAATGGTTAATGATGGTTAATAATGGTTATCAATGGGAGATCTTCAGGATCCTAAAATGGAGGTACGTAAACGTACCATATGTCTGGCCATATTATGTGGGGGAATTCCCTAAAAAATAGGCCTGAAAAATAGGCCTTATATATGCTAGGTACCTCCAATTTAGGATTCTGAAATGGCCATTGAAATAATAACAATAATAGTAATACTAGTAATAATGTTATAAGTACCATAAACCATAGTATTATTACTAGTATTGTTCATGATGATTAACATACTATATATTACCATTACTATTGGTACTTATTACTATAGTAGTAATAGTACTGATAATGATGATAACAATAAACCCCAAGTGAGGATGGTGACTATGGCATTGGATTTACCGGTTTACCACGTGCCTTCCCTTGGCATCGTAGTGCACATGAAACCAGGAAAAATCACAACCCACACCGCCCACACCATGATTCTGGAGGGTACCTGTAGATGTTCCCTTAAACCAATCCATTGATTGTCATACTACATTTGCGGATTATAGCATGTTCCCATTAAATAATCCCATGAAAGCGCCACAAATGATGTAGATATATACCCGTTCATCCCATTAATCCGCATTAATCCTCCTTAATCACTGTTAAAGTCTTAATCTATATCCATATCTGTAGATTTTCTCTTATAGCAACCCCCCAAAAAGATGCCAAGAAGTATTTCCAGGATGGTAGTTCGATGATATTTCCCCTATTCATTTCCAAGTGTGGCATCTTTTTGGGTTACTAAACAGCCCTAAGAGGGCCAAGTCATATGTGATTTCATCCCCTACATCCATGGTTTCTGGGAGATGTTTATACTACGGGGAAGGGATTATTCTTGATTACCGGATCAATAGGAACAACAGGGGTTTATGATAGAGGCAATCATTATTACATTAGGAATATTTATAATAAAGATATGGCAATCATTACAGGGATAATATAATATGATTATGATATCCTTAGGCAACAATGATTATATTTGTGAAATTTATGGATTATCCATGATTCTCCCATATTATCCCATATTATCCTTGTCAAATCCCTATCCCTTGGATAATGTCCAGATAATCATCGAGAGAAACGGTGGAAATGAGACAAGGTGTAAAAAAAAACAGCCACCAAGCTGTTTTTTAACCATCACGTGGCCCTCATACATACCCTTGCACCAAGCAGTGCAATGAAGGCAAATGATATCAACTGATACCCTTCGGTAAAAATTAACATAGACCCTGCCATTCATCGGGCTTGGAAGATCAGAACAACATTTGGTGTATTTGAGTGTATTTGATAGTTATGGATGATACCCAATGTACGCAGTATGTAGCTTCTAAAGAAGGTATCCTTAATTACTGTTAGAGGAACTCCCTAAATTATGTAAATCAAATATCATAAATGATGTAAATCAGTTCCAGGTACTATTTTCTAACTGTTCTCCAGGAAAAACAAAAAACTATGGAAATGAGTGCTTTCTATGATGATTAGATGGAAATTAACACCAATCAGACTAATTATCATTGGCCCAGCAAAAATTCCCATGATGTAGTTTTCAAAATAATGATATTGTTAATGACCACTAATTACCATTAACCAACTGATTATGGTATGTAATGTTTAATTAAGTATATAGTTAGTTAGTTAATTAATTAATTCATTAATTCATTAATTATCTATTAATTAATTCATTAATTAATTAATTGGTAGTTGTTGCCCTGAGTTCTTGTCATTAACAATTATCATTAACAATTATCATTAACCAATCATTATCCAATTGATCATCCCATGACAATGTTATGTTCCAAAACATCATCATGAAAACTAATTCATTTTCATGGCAACTACTTTCCTAATTTCATGATATGTTATTTTATTACCGCATTATTATCATTATCCAATTAATATAATAGTTATCATGAAAACCAATTGACCCACTAGCATTTGTTTCAATAATGATCACTATTATATAATTATCAACAATCATTATTATCATTATAATTATCATGAAAACCTATTGACCCACTATTTGTTTATCCAATCAACCAATGATTATTACCCAAATAGTATCATTAACCAATGATTATGTAATAATGATTATTGATAATAATGATTATTGACAATAACATATAGTGATGATACATATCATTAATAATCACTAATTAATCATTATGAAACTAGGCATGGTGTTTCAATTAATAATTATAACTATAGCTAATTAATAATCATCCATGTTTCAATATCATTCATCGTCCCTGGTTTTTTGTTCGAACAAAAAACACATGGCATGAAACCAGGCTCCAATCCGCCTGAGAGATGGAAATGACCTCAGACATCTCGACCGTGTTCTTGGGCTCTTGACCTATGGCCATGGCCATGGCCGAAAAAAAAATGATGGTGAAACCATGGGGAAACCATGGTGAAATATGGTGAAATGATGGTGAAACCGTTGGTGAAACTATACCATATGCTCCCATGATTTTGTGGCAAATCTGGGTTTTTCTATTCCAGCACAATGGTGAGCATATGGTGAAACCGTTGGTGAAACTATGGTGGAAACTAGGGAAAGATAAAAAATCATCGGGGAAAAAAAAGGTGAAAATCTGGTGAAAAACATGGAAAAAAACTGAGCGAAACACGTTGTGGAAAATCATGGGAAACCAATGCTTGGCTAAGTATGGCTAAGTTGCTACTATAACCAAAAAGATGGCTTGTGGTAGAGGTCTCCAACTAGCTATGTAGTGGGGTGAAACACCAGATTGTACACATTTTTGATAAACAAATGATGGGTTTCTCAGAAGAGCATCATAACATATCCATTGTTCCTATTTGAACTCCCTATTTCTTAATGGTCAAAGCATCTTGAGCTGCCCATAAAGTCTCGGGCAAAATCCACCAGTTCGCCTGACAAAAACTGGGCCCGTGATCAACCCTAAACCTAAGATCTAAATCTTTACCTGTCTATTCATTTCAAGTATTCCCAAGGGATTCCCAGATATTTCCAAACATATTTCCTGGGACAAATGGCTACCCTCTGGTAAACATACAAAAAACTATGGAACATCACCATTTTTCAATGGGTAAATCCACTATAAATGGCCATTTTCAATAGCTATGTTAACGTTTACCAGAGGGTAGATCACGAGGTAAAATTACCTAAGTTGACCCCCAAAACACCACCATCATTTACCCGGCTCGAGCCAACCAGGGACCCTGGTTCGTCACCAACAGAAACGGACATCCATATCCCATGAAAAAAATCCAAGTGTTCATTGTTCATCTGGTTGGTGGTATACCTACCTCTCTGAAAAATATGAGTTCGTCAGTTGGGATTACGACCTTCCCAATATATGGAAAAATAAAAAAGGTTCCAAACCACCTGCCAGTCATGATATGTTCCTTAAAGTATTCCATTAGTGAATCATTAGTGATATCCCATAATTCCATCAAATATCCCGAATTCATATCACAATAGCCTCTGGTAAACGTTTACAGAACTATAAAAACTATTGAAAAGCACCACTTGTAAAAAAAACTGAGTCAACTAACACAAACTGGGCCATTCATTTTCCAGAGTATCTGCCTTTGATCCCCAACAACGATCCGAGCCCCCAGTCGAGCTCGCGTTCAGTTGCCGTTGCCAGAAAAGTGGCTGAATTCGTGGCTGAGTTTCTGGTAGATAGAACGAACTAATTCGTATTCATGGGGAAGTAAACCAACAAACATACCCTCTGGTAAACTAACATAGCTATGGAAAATCACCATCTCTAAGTTCGGTAAATCAACTATTTTCATGGGCCATTTTCAATAGCTATTTTGACATAACCAGAGGGTAATTTTGGGTAATTCCAAATGTTCCAAACCACCAACCAGTAGTATTCTTGGGGTTTATAAACCAACAAAAGTATATAACTGGGGAGACACCATCCTGCGACAAAGATCCCCCTCACTGCACCTGGATCTCTGAAGGCTTCCTCCGACTCCCAGTAGCCCAGCTCCCAGCACAGGCCGCTTGAAAACGTCCCGGGCGTTGCGAGGCGCCCGGGAGCCTTCGCCTAGCGGGAAAAATGGGACGTTGACCTAGCGGGAAAAGTGAGAAAAATGAGAAAGAGAAGATTTGAGATTTAGAAATACCATCAATTGTGATTGGGATGAATCAATTCCTATGGTCATTCTATTGAGATGTTGAGATTTAAAATGATTTAAGCCGGAGAAAAATGCTAAAGATTTCAACTGAAAGTGAGAATTAGGTTGATTCAAAGCCATAAAAGATTGAGAATGTCAAGGAAAATGGAGATCTTGAAGCCAGAAGATGTGTTGAAACTGAGATTTCAGCGGCAAAAAATGAGATTGGGAATTGACGATATAGCTAGAATAACTAAGAAACCTTAGTAAAACGATGATTTTTTGCGCCAGAAAATGTGGTTTGAAGATTTCAGCTGGTTTACTTGGATGTGACCCGGTTGGAACGAACCCCAGTTCTGATTAGTTACGATTCGTGGGTCCCGCAAATCGAAGTTATCTTTCCTTTTTGGCATAGCTAATCTGAGATACTCTGCAAAAGAAGAAAAAGAAGTTGGGTATTCTGAATACCCCGTCCCATCATCATAACGAAAGATACTCAAGTGGGAAACTACTGTACCCTCTGGTAAACATACAAAAAAACTATGGAAAATCACCATTTTTAATGGGTAAATCCACTATATATTTCTATGGCCGTTTTCAATAGCTATTAGCTATGTTACTTTACCAGAGGGTACCCTTTATGGATCTTTACGGCAGGTTTACTCAGTGAATTCTCCCACAATATCCCGCGAGGCTAAGTTGGAGGATCATCCCGCTGAGCGCCTACGGAAAAACAACTCCTCCGGAAAAAAAAAGCAACGTAGCTAATTACTAAAAAAACACCATGTTTTATAGATGAATCATCTCTAAACGGGCCATTGTTCATAGCTATGTCAATTTTGAAGCTACATTAATATAGTGGGATGATCCGCCACGTAGATCCACAGTATAACCCAGCAGCTTTGCGGTAGCAGCGTAGTGCAAAGTAGCGCTTCTGCGTCTTCCGCCAGAAGCTATGCCCTGCGGATTTTTCGATCGAGAAGCCACAAATGGTTGTCACTTGTATATGGGAACACCCAAATATACCCTCTGGTTATTTAACATAGCTATGGAAAATGGTCCATTTATGGATGATATTACCTCTATTTTCCTATCAAGAATGGTGGTTTTCCATAGCTGTTAAATAACCAGATGGTATAATATGATATAGGGGAGATGGGGATATTGTATACCCGTGTGAATCTGATTTCAATCAGGGATTCAACCACAATCACCAAGAATAAGACACAAAAACACCAACAAAAATGGTGATTTACCCATAACAAATGGCCATCTTAATGGGATATTAATAATAATAATTTCAATGGGAATTCCAGGATCCAAAAATGGAGGTACGTAAACGTACCATATTTCTGGCCATATTTTGTGGGGATATTCCCTTACATAGGCCTGAAAAATAGGCCTTATATATGGTAAGTACCTCCAATCTAGGATCCTGAAATGGCCATTGATAATTAGGGGGTACACTATTTTCAGGCAAGCCATTTGATATTGTGATATTGATATTCTCTTCAAACTGCTTTTTAATGTTCATATTCTATCTTTATACAAGGGACCCATTGTAGTACGTATTACTTTCTTATTTCACCCCAAAGATATAGCAAATAAGTTATTTCACCCCAGTTACACCCGAAACCCATTGAAACCCATGGGTAAAATAACTGCCACAAAAAAACGTTAAAGGTCGCTGTTTTACCGGCACTCCTTGGGTTGACTCCCAGATGGAGGTGTTTTTCCAGGACGATTTGGATTATGGAGGATCAAAAGTCGGGAATGTAGCGTAATGTACCCATTGTGTCACCAAAACATACGATTCAATAAAATAGATTCATAAAACATATGGTAACATAATATATATATATATACATGTGTGTTGATTATATATATTGTATAGTATATGTTGTTTCACTTCTCCATACGGAAAAGCCATGTGGAGACGCTACTGGTTGATGATCAGTCCTCAGTGAACGCAATCGGCTGCCTGAGGTGGGATATTTGTGCAGATATCCTTGACATCTTTCAGCCGCTTCCTTCAGCGTTGCCTCCTCGGCGAAGATCTGCGAAGATCTCTCGGCGGAAGTTGAACATGTTTGGGGTTTTTAAGGGATGGGATTTTTAAAAATGACTGTGGGAATATAACAAAATCCCCATTCAATTATAGTATAATCCCATGAATGTAGAATGGGATACTGAGTGATTTTCACTATAATAATTCAATGGGATAACACAATCCAAAGGTGACTCCTCCAAATGGAACACGTCAACAAATATGGCTATGAATCAATACCTATAAATAACACATTTTTAGGGGGATGAACATCGATTTTGACCCAGCTATTTTGATGTGAACTACAGGGGTACAAGGTTTTGACCCATCCCTATATTTTTATGGCCCTAAAACAATCAAACATTGGACATTGCTGTTTCATTTCTTACTCACCCGATTCCGGGCATAATCAAAAAACACCCTGCCCCTCTTGTCCGGCCTGACAATCACCATGTTTAAAAGGAAAATTAATCACTATATATCAAGCTGATTATATAATATTATATATCCCATTATTGTCACTATTGTCCCAACTACAGTATATCCCAATAAGTCACCATTTTGATGAGTTATCACCTTTCACTGGGTGTTACATCACTGCCATTAGTAAACTTCTTAATCAAATCAATGGCCATGACTCAGGAACCGATGTATTGGAGGTACCTACCATTTAAAAGGCCTATTTATAGTGGATTTTCCCATGATAGCTATGGTGATTTTCCATAGTTTTTCGTAACGTTTACCAGAGGGTATATGGTTTATATTATAATTCAGGCCTATTTTTTTGTGAATATCCCCACAATTCATATGGCCTGAAATATGGTACGTTTACGTAGCTCCATTTCAGGATTCTTTTTAATTCCCATTGAAACTAGATGGGCCATCTACATCACGGCTACGGTGGATGGTTGCAACATCCGAGACACCAAGTGATAGATGGTCTATCCCATTATTTCTACCCTCTGGTAAACATACAAAAAACTATGGAAAATCACCATTTTTCATGGGAAAACATCACTATAAATGGTGATTTTCCATAGTTATGTTAAATTACCAGAGGGTAGGTTTTCAATCATCCAAGGTGCAGGATTTTGCAACCATCCACAGCTAACAAATTACCAGGTACCCCATCCATGATACTTCGAAACAACTTTTTTTTGACCTGGTCTTGGCACATTTCTATGCGTCAAAAGCCATAAACCTAAACATCCAAATAGCGAAATGGATGATCCCAAAATGTTTTGAGTTCGGTCGCGTTTTGATTGGGATGAACTGAAAATGTTGTTTCGGTAAATATCTCATGTTTCCAAAAATCCCCAAAATAACACAATTCTTCATTACTGCTTGGTGGTTTTTACCATCTTGAAAAATATGAGTTCGTCAATGGGAAGGATGACATCCCATATATTATGGAATTTATGGAAAATAAAAAATGCTTGAAACCACCAACCAGTGATTATTAACCATGATTAACAATCATTGCCCCATACTAAACCATCATTACCCCAACCAGTGATTATAAAATCTTCCATATATTGATATCAACCCTTTGGTAATCCCCCAATTTCTGTCTGATTTTCCCATGAAAACTGAAAAAGGTATCGAAGATCGATCTCCCGCCATGTTTGATGCGGAGGGTACCCTCTGATAAACGTTTACAGTTTGCTATTGAAAATGGCCATTTATAGTTGATTTACCCACTAAAACAATGTGTTTCTTTTTCCATAGATATGTAAACGTTTACCAGAGGGTAAGTCTTCGAAATCTCTAATCTGAAGGCTCCTCCTCCACTTCTGCATCGATTTTCTCGTCGTTGCCCAATTGAATGAAGCTGCTCACAGGCATTGGGCTGTCCAGCTGTGGTTCCTGGAGATGACTGGTGCCATGATGCCATGGGGGATGGCTATTTGCACCCTATTTCTGGCAGAAATTTCGGGTTGTCGATGAAATGTTATTAATTATTGGGCTTACTGAAGTTTACTACATTAAACATGGTTAAGTAAACGCTTAAACTACTATGACTAGGGTTAACTTGGATCATTATGAATATGTTACACGTACCGCAACACACAGTAACCCAGTTCTAGCCGTCAGGGGGGGCATCCCTGATTGAATCCTCCACGGTCAATGGGGCTGTCCCAAATTTAGATACATAATCATGCATTCATTGGATGCTTTGTCTACTGCATTGTCGCTTCTTTCTCATAAATGTCTGGTTGGAGAATATCTTAATGTGGAATTTTGTCCCGACCATTGACGAGGAGGACTGAAGCGACACAACCCACGAGCATCCTTTCGCAGCAGCCAACCGGCCACCACTGACACCCTGCAGCGCACCAGTCAAAGTTTTCGCGCCTCCGGAAGGTCGATGCCCCAAGCAAATAGAAGTGTCGCGGCAACTAAAAACCTCCAATTCATCTTAATCTTCCTCAGCCACCGCCAAACCCAAAGATGCACGAGCACGCTTTCAATCGAATCACTATTATCTATTATCTATAATAATTAACAAATATATATATATCACTATATATCACTATATATCACTATATATCTCTAATATAAACTATATTCATATAGATAATAACTATACAAATACGACTATATATATATCACATATATACTACATATATATATATATAATCACTTTATCTATAATCACTATAATAACTATCTTAACAAAAAAAAACTATTGATAGATAAATACAACTAGTAACTCTACTAATAACGAGATCGTTCCAATGGGCAGGAGGAAATATATATATATATATGTATATTTATGTTACAACTATATAATTATGTGGTTATAACTATAGTTAGTGGTTATAACAATTAACTCTAATAACTATCATACTAGTTAGTGGTGCTATACTTTAGTATGCCACTATTATACTCACTATTCATATATACCACTAACTATATAACCACTGACCATACACCACTAAGCATAAACCACTATTATGTATAATAACTATACTAACTATAATAACTTTATACATATATATATATATCAAATATATATTATTTATCATGTATATATAGTATAACTATACAAAAAAAAAAAACTATTGAGCTATTGATAGATATGTACCACTATTGTCTATAATTACTATAAGAACTATAAATCACATCTACATTAAATACCACTATTATATCAAAGAGACACTATTTTACCGCTATCATATAGCCACTATTATACCACTATTATACACCACTAATGATTAGCTATTAGTTAGATCTATTGACTACTATAAAAAGATATACCAATATTATTATAATTATTATTATAGTTATAAGTATAATAAGTATAATAACTATAATAACTATAATAACTATAATAACTCTAATAACTACAATAACTTTAATAACTATAATAGCTATAAAAACTATAATAACTCTAATAACTATAATAAATATAATAACTATACTAACTATACTAACTATAATAACTATAAAAAGTATAAAAAAAAAAAACTATACTAACTATAAAAACTATACTAACTATAATAACTATAATAACTATACTAACTATACTAACTATAATAACTATAATAACTATACTAACTATACTAACTATACTAACTATACTAACTATACTAACTATACTAACTATACTAACTATACTAACTATACTAACTACAATAACTATAATAACTATACTAACTATACTAACTATAATAACTATACTAACTATACTAACTATACTAACTATAGAAACTATACTAACTATAATAACTATAATAAAGATAGTAACTATACTAACTATACTAACTATACCAACTATACTAACTAGAATATATATATATAATTATATCAAATATATATATATATATCAAATATATATATATATATATCAAACATATATATATATATAATTAAACCACATGAACCACCCCTGAACCCCTCCTCCGCATAGCCATCGATCAGCAGCGCCAGGTCGTGGCGCCCGCGCTGCGTGGCCCGCTGCGCGGCAGTGAGGCCGTCGCTGTCGCGGCGTTCCACGGGGCAGCCCAGGGACAGCAGGAGCTCCAGGAGCCTGGCGGAAACCATGGGAATCACCGGCAAAAATGGCGCTTTTCATGGGAAAAACATTGGAAAAACAAGAAAAACCTGGGAAAAACCTAGAAAAATGATGAAAAATGCTGGAAAAAGCTGGAAAAAGCTGGGAAAACAGTTGCTTCACCAGGTCGTTTTAATGCAAAAATGATGGGAAAACATGGTTTAACCCATACAGAAGATGAAAAAATGCTGGGTTCCACCAGAACAAAATGTGGTTTTCATGGGAAAAATGATGGTTTAACTAGCAAGAATTGTGATTTGATTAGAATAAACGATGGTTTAACTAGAAAAAAATGTGGTTAAACTAGCAAAAATTGTGATTTAGACTAGAAAAAGATGGTGGGTTAACTAGTAAAAATTGCGGTTTTAATGGAAAATTGATCAGAATCCCAAATTCATAAGTGTTATAATGTTGATGTTTGGGGATATCATGGGTGTTTGATAGGATTTGTTTTACTTAACTATATCAATGTGGATCATAGTTAGGGATTGAAGCAATGATAATGCAGCCCGCCTTTCGTCCTCCATGTACATGGCAAAGTAGTGCCTTACGACAACCCGAGCGGCCCTATGTGGGGTTCACCAAAGCTGACAAATTGATACAAAGACTGCTAGAGTCCTGGAGCACTATTGGTTTGTTCATGTTTATTCCTCCTGAATCAACACTATTGGTATACTTATGAAAGAAACAATCATATGCAAAATAGTCATAAATGGACATGAATCCCAGTGTTTACCCATGTTGACCCCACTAACCGTAGATTCAGAAGGCGTGCGATCACGGACTTTCTATGCCTGGTATCCAATGATCAACCAAGGTATCTATAGCAGGTCTACATCACCAATCTATAGTAAATCCCGCAAAAATAGAAAAATCATTTGCCACCGGTAGGATTTTGTGTGTACCTTTTCTATCTTTTGGGTGCCAAAAAACGATTTGGGGCCGCAGTTCCACCATAGTTTGTAGGGGCCCCATATCCCATCTTTTGGAAGTGGCACTAATAATCCCAGCTGCACCCCCAAATAATATTTTTGGTACTTATCTTTATAATTCTCTATCTATATAATTATATAGTTATATATATTACAGTATAATCCTTGCAACCCCATCCAGACCCCAGTCTTCAATAATATGATACCCAATCAATTAGCCATTCGTCATCCCGAGTGAAGGTCACCGTCCTTTGATTGCGCGAGTGACAAAGGAGTTTGCCCCTTGGGCCATAGCGGCATCGCGTCAAAGCCTTTCCGCAGCATGTCCTACCGCAGGACATTTCCCAGCTGTGTAACTGGGAGAAACTACTCCCATCCACCATGGTTAATGGTCCCAAATATGTGATTTCATTCCATGCCACACCATGGGTTACCTGGTTTCTGGGTTTTTTTTTACTATGAACGGGGGATGGAATGAGTAGTTATCATTGCCAAGTACAATGAATAGACCAACAAGAACGCATTGTTGATGTCCACTCAGGATAAACCAAATGTTTATTGTCGCATGGTGAGATTGGATATATATCATAGGTTCTCTCGCTATATTGGCACTATTCGAATTTTCGCTAACTGGGGGATGTATTTATTTAGAGCCAGGACCACTTGTAGCTACTTGAGGCCACTTCTTTGGAAAATCGCCAGAGATTTGGGCCACAGATTTAGGGTCTCTGATGGCTGAGGTTATCCTACAATACGTGGTGCAGTTGATAATCCCCGTAGATATAATTCCCATGAACCGCAGTTATAAACCTGGCAAACCAACTGAAAAAAACCACCCTCTGGGTGGTTGATATATCGAATTACCCTCTGGTAAACTAACATAGCTACAGAAAATCACCATTTCTAACAGGTAAACCATCTATAAATAGGCCATTTTCCATAGCTATGTTAGTTTACCAGAGGGTAGTTTTGGAATGGGAACGAACGAACATCACCGGAATCCCCTACAGCAGGTACCAACTTTTCGGCATCTTGGCAAGGGAGTTGCCCCAGTGAAATGGCCATTGGTTATACTCTTGTTGCAGATACACCCACAAAAATATCCAAAAATCATAAATATGTATGCATATATAAATATTATTAAATTATATTATATTATATCATATTATATTATATTATATTCAATTATATTATATTATATCATACTATATTATATATGGTATTATATTATATTATACTATATTAAATTATCTTATATTATATGATATTGTATTATGTTATGTTATATTGTATTGTATTATATCATATTATATTGTATTTAAAAAAACATGATGTTATATTATATTGAATAATATTATATCATATTGTATTAAATGATATTCTATTATATTGTATTATATTATATTATAACAAAATATATCATTCTATATTATATTATATTATATCATATTATATTATATTGTATTATATTATATTATTTTATCTTATATTACGTATATTATACGATATTATATTACATTATATTGTATCATATTAAATTATATTACAGTGTATTACATTATATTGTATTTTGTATTGTATTATATTATAATATAGTGTATTGTGTTATATTAAATTGCATTATATTGTATTATATTTCATTATATCATATTATATTATTTTATATTACATTATATTATTTTTATATTATATTCTATTGTATCATATTATATTCTATTGTATCATATTATATTATATTGTATTATATTCTATTTTGTTATTTTGGTTTATATAATATTATATATTATATCATATCATATCATTATCATATTATATTATATTATAATATATTATAAGATATATATATATATATGTGATATATAATGATATCACATATATATATATATAGCCCTATCAATGTCCCACAATCTCCCTATTCTTCCACCACTCTATGGAGGTTTCCTCTATGGGGGGTACACGAATCGCTCGCTGGGTGTTGTTCAAAAACTGGGTTTTGGCCATCCCCCGAATCCCGTGGGATCCCCTGAAATAACTAGGGTTAGAACCTGTGGGATAAGCCACCTATTTTCACAATTCTTAACCATCATTGTCTATTATTCACCATCATTAACCACTGTTAACCGTAGATGATTAACCATATATATATATATATATGTTTGTCAATGGGATGATCACAATCCTACTGAGGATCCCGTTCTGAACCAAGCAGTTATCGAATGACATGCGAAAAACTGGGTATAGCGGGTCCATCATTGAGGGTCGAATTTTGAAGGCGGAAGGCCTCACATAACATGGGTGCTAAAAACAAGAATCATGGGCCTATGAAAAGCCATTAAACTGGGAAGGATGATCTATCCCATATATGAAATGGAAAATAAAAATTGTGTGGAACCACCAACCAGCCATATACATCCCCAAAACTATCCATGTTCATGGATTGATCTGGGTAAATTTCATCACGACCGAGCCCTGTTCTCCCGAGCCCTGGAAATCATGGTTTATTTCGGGGGAATCATCCCCAAATGGCCGAACTATTCAGGTTAGTGAAATATTGTAATTTACCCATATACATATATGGGATTATCATGGTTAGTTGTGGGAATCCCGTTCTAAAAACCAATCAGCAATCGTTTTTCTGACCATCTCCTGTTACCCTCTGGTGAACTAACATAGCTATGGAAAATCACCGTCTTTAGTAGGTAAATCAACTATAAATGGGCCATGTTCAATAGCAAACTGTAAACGTTTACCAGAGGGGTAGGTATACCACCAACCAGATAATGATTCACCATTATTAACCACAATAAAAACCACTATTAACCACTATAAAAACACCATAAATCAGCTATAAATCTCATTAAACCCACATTTTCCTATGATTTCCTATGGTTTCCGTCTCCAGTCTTCGGCGTCTCTCCTGTAGCCATTGTTCCATCTGCGGATGGTCACTGACCTCCACGAACTCCAACATCTTGGTCATGGCCTCACGGTTTCTCCAACACGAGAAAAGTCACAGGATGGCTACAGCTGGATGGGGTTTCCCCGGGAAACAAACCTTAACAATAACTATGGTTTATAAGTGATATATCTATATATTGGGAATATCTATAACATAAATCATCGTTATTCCCAGTTACACATGAAAATAGCTGGGAATAATGATGATTTATAGGTGATATATCTAGAAAAATAACTATGGTTTATAGGTGATATATCTATATACTGGAATTCTATTAATGGGATTCCCCATAAATTAATATGTTTTTAAATGATGGTTTATGATTTATGAATAATGATGATTTATGAAACACATGAAAATTGCTGCTGGTTGGTGGTATACCTACCCCTCTGAAAAATATGAATGTCAAATGGGATCATTATTCCCAATATATGGGAAAATAGAAAATGATCCAAACCACCAACCAGGCTGGGAATAATGATGATCTATGAATCTTCATCGAAAAAAATTGGTGATTGATTCGTGACTTATCGGAAGAAAATAAAACGTCATATGTTTTTTTCTGTGCACTAAAGATATGCAGAATAAACACATCACAGTTCACATATCCACTTTCTTGAAAATACGTTGCTTTTGGTGGGAAAATGACATCGTTTGTAGATCAAACCCACAATTTTTGGCGGGTAACAAAAAAAACATGTTGCAGGTACGAGCACCATCACTACACAGAGAGATCTGAAGGATGAAGATTTGCCTGATGCTTAACCACTAAAGGAAGAGGTTCTACCACACGTGGTGTTTTGCCTACAACATCCTGGTTGATTCCTATCACAGGTCTGCTTTCTGGAACAAGCTGAAAACTCATTGGACTTTTGATCCAGTCTTGGCCGTGAAGTTTTGGCCCATGAAATCCAGTCTTCTCTCGGTAAGGCCACCCAACAGTTCAACTTACCCTCTGGTAAACATACAAAAAGCTATTGAAAATGGCAATTTATAGTGGATTTTCCCATTAAAAATGGTGGATCGTTCCATAGTTTTTTGTTAACGTTTACCAGAGGGTAGCGATTTCGTAAGGCCGGGGGCCTCAGGTTCCATTTCCTCCGGGGATAAATAGCATTGCCATGCTTGATGACAGAGGCTAAATTCCATTAACTTTTCGTTATATCCCTATGATGGTTGATACATCCCCATGATATTCCATTAAACAATCCTATAGACTATCTCCATTTTTGCAGGTCAATATGAATACCCTCTGGTAAACATACAAAAAGCGACATAGAAAATGGCCCAGTCGAAATAGTGATGTTTTCCCATCTATAAAATGGTGGATCTTTCCATAGTTTTTTGTTAACGTTTACCAGGCCGGGTATCCACATTGTCCTCATATTATGTTAATCCCATGATGTCCCTCTGGTAATTTCACACTTTGCTATTGAAAATGGTTTATTCAAAGTTGATGTTCCCATTAAACATGGTGATTTTCCTTAGTTATTTGTTAACGTTTACCAGAGGGTGATCACCATTTTCCATATGTTACATCAATACTAATCACTACTAATCACAATGTTCCACCATTAATCACCATTAATCACTATAAATCACTATTAATTTTCCTTAGTTTTCAGTATAAATCACTATAAATCATATAAATCACTATAAATCACTATAAATCACTATAGATCACTATAGATCACTATAAACATTAACAATAATATCGCCATTTTCCTTAGTTTTTTCTACGTTTACGTCGGTTATCTTCAGGGGATCTCCGTCGTCGATCTCCAGGACTTCCCCGTCACGTCGTCCCCGGGGGCCCCGGCCACGTCGCAGCGGCGGATCTTCTCCTCCAAGCGACGAATCGTGAGGTCCTGCAGCTCCAGGATGACTATATATAGATAATGGGTAATTATATGGTTAATAGGTATTTAAATCATATATATATATATGATGTATATATATATATATGTATATCCATGCATGTATGCATGTTTATGTATGGTTATGTATGGCTATGTATGGTAATGTATGGTGATGTATGGTAATTTATGGTAATGTATGTGATGTATGTGATGTATGTAATGTTTGTAATGTTTGTAATGTATGTAATGTATGTAATGTATGTAATGTGTGTAATGTGTGTAATGTGTGTACTGTGTGTAATGTGTGTAATGTGTGTAATGTGTGTATAGATAATGGGTAATTATATGGTTAATAGGCATTTATATATATATATATTTATATCATATACAATATATATATATATATCATATATAAGATATGTACATATTATATGGCTATAGGTATCTATTTATGTATATATATATGTTTATAAATATGTATATATGTATTTTTATATCTATATATGGTTATATATATCATATATAAGATATATATGTATATATCATATATATAAGATATGTACATATTATATGGCTATCTGTATTTACTTATGTATATATATATATATCATAATATATATATATATGTCATATATATCTATATGTTATGTATATATGACATATTTATATATATATATATGTGTGTGTGGTGTATATATATATATATGACATATATACAACACATATATATATATATGTATATGATGTATATATATATATGTATGTATATCCATACATGCATGCATGCATGCATGCATGCATGTATGCATGTATGCATGTTAATGTATGCATGTTTATGTATGGGTATGTATGGTTATGTATGGTTATGTATGTATGGTTATGTATGTATGGCAATGTATGTATGGTAATGTATGAATGGTAGTGTATCTATGGTAATGTATGAATGGTAATGTATGCATGGTAATGTATGTATGGATATGTATGTATGGTAATCTATGTATGGTAATGTATGTATGGTAATGTACGTATGGTAATGTATGCATGGTAATGAATGTATGGCAATGTATGTTGGTTATGTATGTATGGTTATGTATGTATGTATTCATGTATGGTTATGTATGTATGGTTATGTATGTATGGCAATGTATGTATGGTAATGTATGCATGGTAATGTATGCATGGTAATGTATGAATGGTAATGTATGTATGGTAATGTATCTATGGTAATGTATCTATGGTAATGTATGTATAATTATGTATGTATGGTAATGTATGTATGGTAATGTATTTATGGTAATGTATGTATGGCTATGTATGTATGGTTATGTATGTATGATTATGTATGTATAGTAATGTATGTATTGTAATGCATCGTAATGTATTGTAATGTATGGTAATGTATTGTAATGTATGGTAATGTATGGTAATGTATGGTAATGTACGTATGGTTATGTATGGTAATGTATGGTTATGTATGGTAATGTATGGTAATGTCTGGTAATTTATGGTAATGTATGGTAATGTATGTGATGTATGTAATGCGTGTAATGTGTGTGTAATGTTTGTAATGTATGTAATGTATGTAATGTATGTAATGTGTGTGATGTATGTAATGTGTCTAATGTGTGTAATGTTTGTAATGTGTGCAATGCATGCAATGCATGCAATGTATGCAATGTGTGCAATGTATGCAATGTATGCAATGTATGCAATGTATGCAATGTATGCAATGTATGCTATGTATGTATGTATGTATGTATGTATGTATGTATGTATGTACGTACGTACGTACGTATGTATGTATGTATGACTGTATGTATGTATGTATGTATGTATGTATGCATGCATGTATGTATGTATGTGTCTGTATGTGTCTGTATGTGTCTGTATGTGTCTGTATGTGTCTGTATGTATGTATGAATGTATGTATGTATGTATGCATGTATGCATGTATGCATGTATGCATGTATGCATGTATGCATGTATGCATGTATGCATGTATGCATGTATGCATGTATGCATGTATGCTATGTATGCTATGTCTGCTATGTATGCTATGTATGTATGTATGTATGCATGTATGCATGTATGCATGTATGCATGTATGCATGTATTCATGTATGCATGTATGCTATGTATGCATGTATGCATGTATGCATGTATGCATGTATGCATGTATGCATGTATGCATGTATGCATGTATGCATGTATGCATGTATGCTATGTATGCTATGTATGCTATGTATGCTATTTATGTATGTATGTACGTACGTACGTACGTATGTATGTATGTATGTATGTATGCATGTGTGTATGTATGTATGTTTGTATGTATGCATGCATGCATGCATGCATGCATGTAATTGATGTTTCGTAATTAATGCTATGTAATGAATGTAATGTAATTAATGTTATGTAATTAATGTTATGTAATTAATGATTTCTAATTAATGTTTTGTAATTAATGTTTTGTAATTAATGGTTTGCAATTAATGTTATGTAATTAATGTTATGTAATTCATGTTTTGTAATTAATGTTATGTAACTAATGTTATGTAATTAATTTTGTGCTTAATGTTATGTAATTAATGCTGTGTATGTAATGTAATGTAATGTAATGTAATGTATTGTAATGTAATGTAATGTAATGTATTGTAATGTAATGTAAGGTTAGGTAGGTAGGTAGGTATGATATATACAGTACATATATATATATATACATATACATATATATATTATGTGATACACATATATGTATATATACACATATGATGTATATATAATTTTATGACATCTTCATATGTATGTATATATATATATACATATATATGATGTACATCATACTGTATATGTTTTCAAGATCCAAATAACTGAAAATGACTATACAAATGGCTTTACAATGGTTGTATAAAAAGGATCATTATTGGATAACATGGAAGAATGATGGGAGATTCTGGGACAATTTGGGAGAATAATGAATGTATAAATCTTACAAATGGGATATTGGCTATATAGTGGCTTATATGCATGGATAGATGAGAATAGGCTGGCTATAATATATATATATATATGGGACAGACGGGACGAAAAGTAGGAAATCACAAAAAACAACCAACTGTTTGATATGGGATACAGGACCAATCTGGGTAAATTATGATATTTCACCAACCTGAATTAATACCATTTGGGGATGAAATCCCTTATTAATCATGATTCCCAGGGCTCGGTCGCAGTGAGGTCGTGATGAAATTTACCAAGAACCACTATACCAAACAAGTGGGAGGTTCATAGCTTGATCATGATTAATGGCTACATAGTGGATATAAAGGCTAGGCTATGTAATTAATCAGGATCATTGTAGTATATTATAATATATTATAATTCATCCAGATAAAACGAACCAGAGAACTTTGATTTGTCGGAAAACGACCCAAGGATCCAAGGTATACCAACATTTCGGGACTCCAACTCGGGAAACTCAAGGAACCAATCTGGTTCCCAGCTCCGAAACTCATACCCGAAACATATTGTTGATAGATGCTTTATCCCACTATTTATAGCTGCTTGGTGGTTGAGCCCTACCCCTTTGAAAAATCATGGAGTTCGTCAGTTAGGATGATGACATTTCCCAATCTATGGAAAAATAATCCAAATGTTCCAAACCACCAACCAGTTATAGGGTTTCAACCATCCGTTTGGTGGTTTATCGGATTTCGCTGGCCCATCCACGGGATGAAAAGATCTGGTCCTGTTGTGTCTCTTGCAACACTTTCGAGCGCAAACCTTCCGCTTTGGAGCGCAAACCTTGGCCGGGTGGACTCACCCCGTTCATATTAAACATCCAACGAAACCATGGTGGATGTAGGGAATTTCCACATTCCATTGGGACCATAGAAAGGGGGCGGTTTTTTTTTAAGGCTGATGGGGTTATACGGAAAGGGCATTTCAAGTTATGTTTGTTTACCAACAGAAACCCATCGTTTGGGGGCCGTTTCCTGGATGCCCGCTCCACCCTAAGAATGTGATACTTAAATGGTACCCCCAATTAAAAACTGCCGTTTGGGGTTCAGTCATCCAGGATTGAAATATATTGAATATATTGAAATTATGGGACACAAAGCACTTAAAGATCCAAATGTCCGAAAAAAATGCAGGTGATGTCCCATGATATGCCATTTCTAGGTGGTGACATGTATACCCATGATCTGTGGCCCATGACTCACTCTGTGATCCGTGTTGACATATGTTGACTTGTTGAAAGCTTTACTCGAAAAGAGGAAGATGTAAACACACACTATTCAATTATTCATTACCCTCCGGTAGTCAAACATGGCAATGGGAAATCCGCTATGAATAGAGGTTTATAGCTGGGAACATAATCTATTAATTAGGGATTGTCCATTGTCACGTTCGATTACTGGAGGGTAAAGGTAAATCTTACTATGTGGGGAATTCCAACATATCCCATGACATCCCATTAATATCCCATGTGTTTGTCTCTCAACTACTCCAAAGTTGTGAGAAAAGTTATCCATATGGGACATTGTGCTCTATTTATATATTATATATGATATTCATGGGATATTTATAGGATATTCATGAGATATCTAGGAAATTGCTGCCACAATCCCTCCAGATTATTGGTTCTTACAACAACTCCCCAATTTCATGTCCGAAAAATCTGGGCTAAGAAATCTGGGCTAAGAAATCCTCAATTTATTGGTCCAACATGTCCTTACGAATCTGGGCGAACACTTCGATATTTTCCCAAATCAAAAGGTGCCATCGTTCACATGGCTGAGAAATCACCCAAACTAGCCATGGAGGGATCATCGTTCGCTGGGAAGATCATCGAACTGGCGGATAGGGGGGTTAGAATATGGAACGGCTCCCCAAAGCCTAAGGGCGTCATTTATGGCGACGTACTTCCAAGGTTGTGAAAGAATGTTCACAGATATATCATATCACAAATATATATATATATTCACAGAGATATATATATATATTATATTCACAGATATATCATATGTCTGGGTAAAGTATGTTATTTCACTAAAATGAATCTTGCAGCCATTTGGGGATGATTCCCCGAATCCTAACCATGATTCCCAGGGCTTGGTCGTGATGAAATTTACCCAGATCTATCCACTACTAGGGGGATATTCCCTATGTCATCCTCCCGATCAACATAGACCCAATCGGGGATGCTTCACCATGTTTGAAAAACCTTCAGGTGTTGATCCATCCCCACCACATTTCCCACAACATCCCAGTAATAATATGAATATTCCACTCATATTCCGCATGAGGAATTTTCCGCTATTTCTCTGGTAAACGTTAACAAAAAACTATGGAAAATCACCACTTTAAGAGCTAAATCAACTATTTCTATGGGCCATTTTTTCAATAGCAAACTCTTAGTTTACCAGAGGCTACTTCTGATTTATAGCTGATTTACCTATTAGAAATGGTGATGTTCCATAGTTATGTAAACCTTTACCATCTGGTTATTTAACATAGCCATGGAAAATCACCATTTTTAATAGGTAAACCCAGGTAAACCATCTATTTCTATGGGCCATCTATACCATGGCTATGTTAGTCATAACCAGAGGGTACCATTAAAAAAACAACTCTTTCCACATCTTCCACATGCCCAGATCTTGGCCCGAAACTTCGATTCTGCTCCGCAAAGGAGTCGCGTTGAAGCTGGCAGCAGGCGGCATGCAGGGAGCTTGACAACACCTCCTGCCGATTCGCTCGAAGAAAGGAGCGGGTTTCAAATGGGGGTACCCCAAGCGAGCTCGCTGGATGGTTTATTTCATGGAAAATCCGAGTAAAATGGATGATTGAGGGTACCCTCACTTTAGGAACCTCCATATGGATTTAATGGATTTAACATGGTCTAACCATCAGAAATGGTGGTTTAGTTGAATTGGTAGAATGACCCAGCTAACTGAAAATGAACTGGCTTAACCATCCAAAATGAAAGTTTAATGGGATTCTAATGAACATGGCTAAACTTAGATACCCTGCAAAAAATGACAAATTCTTAGCTGGTTAGTTAGTAGATAGTCCGATACCAAAAGACTAGTTAGGACTAGTTTCTACCCATCCAGTCGATTGACCTAGTAAATGGGAAAATCATCAAACGAAAGGAGTATTCTCCAGTATGCCATGTTTGATCACCAGAGGGAAGACTTGGTAATATTCTGGGAATCTATGCTGCTCAATGTGGATTCATGGTGAACGGGAACTAATGGTATATGTCACTTTACCAAGATAAAATGGAAATATGTTTATTATATATGGAAGTGTTGAATTGGAAAAAATAGACGATATCGATTGATATCACAAAACAACTGGTTGAATGGGGTTCCCCATTTATGGGGTTAGTCATGCGATGTTTTACTGGACATGGCTTAAAACCGGGATATTCTAATTTGGATACAATTGAGAATACAACGAGGATATAGCGGGGATAACAATCTCAATGCATGTTGGCCCAATTCATAGTTCTGGGTAAATAATATTTCACTAACCTGAATCAAGGCCATTTGGGATGATTCCCCGAATCCTACCCATGATTCCAGTGAGGGAGAACAGTGAGGTCGCTATAATTTACCCAGATAGTTGCAGTATTTGAATGTTTTTTTTTGCAAAAAAGAAACTGATGGGATATACAATGGGATACATCGCCAACAATATCTGTTGGATTTACATAAATCTGAAAATCATCAATTGAAAACCACAAATCCATCGCTGTAGAACATACTCTTCCCTATTGAATCATCGTGTTGGGATATGTTGGGGGGGTTATACCTCATGTTCAGACACAGAAAAAAATCAAATGGGTGAAGCGTTTAAGCTTTCAAAGTTCTCTTTTGCATCATCTCAATAAACATATAGCAGAACTCTCTTCTACAAGTTAGTAGCAAATATACAACAATTACCCTCTGGTAAATTCACATAGACCCTGAAAATAACCATTTTCAGTTTCCAAGCCCGATGACCGTGTTTTGATTCATCCCTAGGGCCCCGAAACCCGAATGACGTGTTCAAACGTCACTTGTTTCGGGGGGTACCCTCTGGTTATGTCAAAATAGCTAGTGAAAATGGCCATTGAAATAGTGAGTTTTCTCATTAAAAATGGTGGATCTTTCCAGAGTTTTTTTTTTGTAAACGTTTACCGGAGGCCGGAGGGTATAAACCAAGAAATGCATAGAAATGCGATATCCTCTGGTAATCCAAGGTGGCTGGCTAGGAAATCCAATCATCTATGAATGAGGAGTTGTCCATTGCTACGTTCGATTGCCGGAGGGTGCATCAAACAACAATTAAAATGTTTAGGAAGTGACTCACAACGCAGCAAAGGTTGCGCAACACTTCCAACAGAGAGGACTGATTCATACCCTGCTGGAAAGTCTATAGTGGCCCTTTCCAAAATTTGCAACATAGTCATGCATTTTCTTCACGGGCTTAGACATACATCTACTAATCATAACACTTTGCTAGTTCAACCCGACACTGGTAACTCCACAATTGCAAAATGTAAGTCACCTGCTTTCATGCTGAAGAATCCGTTGCCACATATGTGTACCATCTGCAATCCGTACAAGTAGAACTTGTGTCTCTAAAAACCAATTGAGGCTGCAGTCTGATATCCCCATTCTTGATAAGGGAAGTCTTGATCGGTTGGCTGGTTGGGGGTTGCATCCTCTCTAGAGAAATGTATGTTGGTCATTGGGAATCAGCATCACAAATAGGAACGTGAATAAACATGGTTGGGATTGCCCAAAAATTGGTTACCCTCTGGTGAACTAACATAGCAATGGAAAATCACCATTCTTAATGGGAAAATCCACTATAAATAGCCATTTTCCATTGCTATGTTAGTTCACCAGAGGGTACTCCCAAAATTTTAGATACAGAAACATTGCACATTTGGGGGTCCCGTTTTTTTTCACGCAAAACTACTAAACCTCCAGCCAGCTTGCTGGCTATGGATCCTCGCACGAAAATAGACCAACAGTTAGGTTTGTCCGAAAATACGAAAATATGGTACCCCATTGGATCCATAAGTTACCCTCTGGTAAACTAACATAGCTATTGAAAATGGCCCATTTATAGTTGATTTACCTATTATAAATGGCCATTTTCAATAGCTATGTTAAATTACCAGAGGGTAATCACCCTTATTATTCCTTATACCTAATCATCACCATTAACATGTTTTTTTTGCTGGGAGTATACGGCCAAAAAAAACATCATTTTCGCACACAGAAACAGTTGAGACTCGCATCATGTGAGCAGTGTTCAAAATCCCTCCATCATTACATTTAATCCTGGTTGGTTAAGAAAGGGATTCCCCGTTCTTGGATTATGATAATTCCCGATATATAAAGGGTATTATAATCCCCCAATTAATCATCAACCAACAGGGGTTTGTTTCACACTGCTCATGTGGACGCCGCTGCTTGGCTTCCCAATCATTGTCCCAGTCTGACTGTGGAGCTGGTGCCACGTGGGAATCGACGTGCACACAAAAGGTATCCTGAAATCTGAAAATGTCGATGGTGAAATATCAATGAAAACAAAGCAGCCGTGTGCATTATACCAATGAAATACTAATGTGTTCCGGAATCTTAAGTTTACACATGATGTGCTCATTGTGCTATCAGATATGCAAAGATTTCTCGACAATCAACGTGAACACTGCTTCGCAGGGTCCAGGTTAAATTTTTGTCACTGGGTGGAAAGTTTGACCCCCTGACCCAGCGTCAAGCTTCGCAGGTGGGGGAAGCTCGCGCCTTCAAGGCTGTGGTTGAAATCCGCACCTTAGGAGATTCCCAGAGATACTCTGTGGGTGGAGTGGTGGATTGACCAAATCATCGAAAATCCATGGCATTTTTCATTAAAAAAAAACATCACTGGTTGATGGTTGAGCTCGCCCTAGCCCTCTGAAAAATGATGATTGGTGAGTAACAGTTGGGATGATTATCCATGATTATCCCATATATGAAATGGAAAATTAATCCAAATGTTCCAAACCACCAAAAAAAAATCAACTCAGCATATTTTTTAAGGGCATCCAGGGCACCGAAAGCCAAGCTTTGCAGATTCTTTGGCAAGTTCACTCGGTCAAGGCTCTGATTAAAGTCATGTCCGAAGGTTAAGCTCTGCAAGCCACGTGGCAAGGTCGTGTGTTCCAGGCTCTGGTTAAACATCACGCCGAACTTCAAGCTTTGCAAACGGCTCGGCAAGGTGGCCCTGTCAAGGTTCTGGTTGAACCAGAAGCCGAAGGTCAAGCTTTCCAGGCTGTGTGGCAAGCTTACACGGTCAAGGCTTTGATTAAACTTGTCACCGAAGTTCAAGCTTCGTAGGTTCCTAGGCAAGGTCACACCTTCAAGGCTCTGGTTCAAGCCAGAACCGAGAGTCAAATTCTGCAAGTTGCCTGGTAGGTTGATCCGCGCGAGGTTCTGCCGAAACCTTCCACCAAATTTCAAGCTTTGCAAAGAGTTTGGCAGGGCTACCCCTTCAAGGTTCTGGTTGAACATCTCACCAAATTCCAAGCTTTGCAGACTGCTTGGCAAGCTTACTTGCTCAAGACTCTGGTTGAACATCTGACCAAATTTTAAGCTTTGCAAAGTGCTCGGCAGAGTCACACCTTCAAGGCTCTGGTTAAATTCATAACCAAAAGTCAAGGAGAGCCTTGGCTTGAGAGGGCCATGAAAACTTCCTGATTTATCATATGTTGGTGGAAATGCTGGGGAAAAATGCCAAGGACAAAAAGAAAAAACGTCGACCAAAGTCCAGGCAGCAGAGTCCTTGGCAAGGCTATTCGTTCAAAACTCTGGAGGCACTTGCTACATAGAGTGAAGCTTTGCAGGCTGCTTGGGAACGAAACTCCTTCAAAGCTCTGGTTGAACTTCTCCCCACATTTCAGTCTTTGCAGATTCCTTAGTGAGCTGACTCCTTCGATGCTCTGGTTGAACATGAAACCTAAGGTCAGGCTTTGCAGTGTGCTTGGCAGCGTCACAGTGTCAAGACTTTGGTTGAAGTGCCAACCAAATTTTAAGTTTTGCAGGCTGCTTGGAAATGTCACTCCTTCAAGGCTTTGGTTGAAGTGCCAACCAAAGGTCAAGCTTTCCAGACTGCTTGGGAATGTCACCCCTGCCAGACTCTGGTTAAAGTTCTTCCCGAGAGTAAGGCATTGCAAACTGCTGGGCAAGGCAACTCCTCCCAGGCTCTGGTTAAACCAGTCACCAAATGTCAGGCATTGCAGACTACTTGGCCACTTCACGTCCTCAAGGGACTGGTCGAAACAAATGCCAAAGGTCAAATCTTGCAAACTGCTTGGGAAGGTGACGTGCTCAAGATTCCTTGGATGTGCAACGCAGGGCACCGAAAAACATGTATATACATACATACATACATCATATATATATACACACACATATGTGTATATATATATATTGTGATTTGCAAACATATCAGCTCTTTGAGAAGAACCATGACACTAGGTCCTTGCAATCCAGGTCCCATCAAGACCAATCCAACCGATGTGCCTTTCAGGAAACCATCTTTTGCCGAGACACTTGGCTCAGGGTACGCCAGAGGTGGGAAGTGGATGTGGACCGTGTCTTGCTAGCCATACTGGTTCGTGGAACGTGGCCGTTCCCTTTTAAGCACAGGGTGCTTGCTGGTGGAAGCTTGGAGACGCCGTTGCATCTGCGATCGCTGGTGGAAAAAGGAACTCATTGCAGGGCATTGAGTTTGCGGTTGTCACAGTGGTGCTACCCCACTCATATTGGTAGCGGAGCCCCCCGCAAAGGGGGGTATCCAAGGGCCTTTCAAACAACTCCATGCCGGAGCCAACGGGAAGTGGGTCTGAAGCTGGCTCATCGACATCACAGGTCACGAGCCAATTAGCCTACCTAGTTCCTCACTTTGACCCGGCCAAGGATGACATGCTGATTTACCAGCAGAAAGTCGAATTGGTGACAGCAGCCTGGCCAAAGGATAAGTACGTGGAACTGGTGACGCGTTTAATCCTCAACTGCCAAGGCTCTGCATTTCAGAAACTGCAATTACATCAGTCAGAACTGCTATCCAATGATGAATCTTCGATACAGAAGTTGATATCTCTCTTGGGCGGAAGCTGGGGGAGAATTCCACTGGAGAAACAGTTTGATGAAGCCGAACAAGCACTGTACCACTGCCAACAGAAAGGCGATGAATCCAATGATTCATACTTAGCCCGTTCAGAGATTCTTTGGAGTCGCTTGTTAGCTAGGAAACTGACACTGGAAGATCTTCAGGCATTTATCGTGCTCAGAGGAAGTTCTCTGACACCGGAGGACAAAAAGCGCGTGATCTTGGAGTCTGACCGAGACAGTGCAGGGAAGTTGACAAGCCAAAAGGTCTCTGAGGCCATTCGGATGTTGGGAGCAAATTTCTTCATGGACATGACAGGTCAACGCCGTGGCAAGACCAAGGTCTATGATCAACATGCTCTGACGGTGGAAGATGTGCCTGAATCAGCCGATGGGCTGATAGCAGCCGATGAAATGACCGAGGAAGACTTTGTGGACACGCTGATCACAGAGGGCGAAGATGAGGATGCAGCCATGATTGCTGACTTCGAGGCAGCCGCCTCGGATGTAATCCAAGAGGACCTGGAAATGGCTCAAGCTTTTACAGCCTACATGGAAGCCCGCCGACGGTTGTCAGAGAAATACCGCAACCGGGGTTTCTGGCCGACTAGCAAGGGTTCCAACCAGTTCAACAAGGGTAAGTTCTCAGGAAGTGGTGGCAAGTCTTTTGGAAAGGGTTCCAAGTTTGGCAAGGGTCGCAAGACTTTACAAGACCGGATTTTACAGAGCAATTGCAGGACGTGTGGACGCCGGGGTCACTGGAAAGCTGAATGCCCCTACAAAGGGGGAACAACATCTCAGTCTGGTATGAGTGGCAACGGTAGTCGCACTGCTCCAACAACGACGCTGGTGACCGATCTTGCAAGCTCAGGTGCAGATGAAGCTTTGCCTCTGGAGTTCTTAGGACTGCCGACCATCGACGATCATGACTTGCCCTCGCACTGCCCTGTAGATGAATCATGGCCACATGTAGTATCCGTTTTTGGGTTAATTACTGAGAATCGTAGCATAGGTAAGCGGTTGTCTCGACCTTATGATGGGAACATTCATAATGAATATTTGGGAAATAAGGGGGAGAAGCCTGAAATGTCGGCCAAAGACCGCCTCCGTGCACGACTAAGGAGTGACCCAGCTGTGAAGCCAAGTAGCAGGTTCATTTTGAACCGCCGTTTTTTTGAACAACCGTCCAAGTCTGCTGTTGCATCCCGGTTCCAGGTAACCACCAAGGTTGTAGCAGATCCGAAAGCCAACAGTTGTCAGATTGATTCACCTGATGCCCACATCTGTTTTGCTACCCATGGAGCAAGTGGGATCCTGGATCTTGGAGCATCAAAGACAGTGATAGGAAGCGAGCAAGTCGCAAGCCTCATAGATCACTTAGACTCTGCCACCAGGGGCCAACTTCGACGCTGCCCATGCAACATAACCTTCAGGTTTGGAAATCAAGGGACTTTGACAAGTAGCCAAGCAATTGTGATTCCAATTGGAAATCTCATGCTTAAGGTAGCCATTGTTCCTGGAGCAACCCCGTTTTTGTTGAGCAATACTCTGATGAGAGCGTTGCATGCCAGCATCGATTGCCGCCGCCAGGAATTGCAGAGTCCGATGTTTGGGCAACCAGTGAGAAACTTAATCTTTCCAATAAAGGTTTATTTCTGATCAATCTGAATGACATTACCAAAGCATGTCAGCCTTGCCCAGCCTTTTCTCCAATGCAGCCGACAGCACCTGCCGAGACATTTGTGTCCGAAGATGCCGAAAAGTTGCAGTCCCAAAAGCCGAACTGGGTAGGATCAGCCATGCGTACCAACCCCAAAGATGAGAATCTCGAAGAATATTCAGGTGAACAGGTACAGGCAATGAAGAAAGATCCCCATTCAGCCATCATGCAGAATGAACAAACAGCCAAGTTGCCCGATGTACAGTCCGTGGTTCAGACTCGTCCCAGTGTTTTGCCTGAGCTTGACCGTTCAACTGTCGAAGATGGCCAGTCTGTCGCAGCGCCTGTCTCAGATGCAGACTCAGGTTGCCGTGCAAGTGGAGGATCTCAGCCACTTGACACTGGAAGAGCTGGGTCCGGAGCTTGTGGACTTTGGTCAGAAACACCGTGGCCAGAGCTTCCACGAGACGTGGAAGGATCAAGAGTGGGTGTCATGGATGACAAAGCACTATGGAGCAAGCACCAAAACAGCCCACCGTCGGTTCCTACGATATGTGGAGTTGAAGCTGGATTACCACGAAGCTCACCAGATGCCAATTCCAGTCGTTCCACAAGGCAGCCTACCCATGACAACCTCAGGTGTCCAAAGCTCAGCCAAAGCGGGTGGCCCAAGCCCAGGGATGATTGCGGCAAAAGCCAAGACTCGACCTTTGTCCCAAAGTTCAATTCATTTGCCGGACATGGAGGACGCCGGATGGGCGTTGGAACCCGGGACATACACCCAGGGGACTATGAGCTCGGATCCCAATGTGGAGGCAATGCAGCAACGGATGTTGCACCTGGAAAATGCTCTCTCAAGAGTCATTCACCACCTCGAGATGACTGCGGGCCAGACTCACTCAGCTCAGCAGATCCCCATCGAGGAGACGTCCGATGTGGAGAGCCCTCATCTAGGATGAAAGAGGACTGGGACACCGACATAATAACATTCATGCAACATGAACACTTTCACCTCAAACAACTCATCCAGCAGTTCGAACGTGAACTTGAAACTCAGTCAAAACACATCCAACCGATGGGTTCACCAAGCCAGTTGTTAGAAGTGTTCTGCAGTCCAAAGTCTCCCTTGACACACCAGATGAATCAGCTAGGACGCAATGCCCATCGCTTTGGGAGAGCCGAGGGAGATCTAGAAACAGTGAGTGGCCGTGCCAAGTTGTTTAGCCTGATCGCCAGACACCGGCCCAGACATATATGGGTAAGCCCAGACTGTGGTCCCTGGTCCTCCTGGTCAAACCTGAATGCTTCTAGATCCCTAGAAGCCCATGATGCATACCAACAGACCCGAAAGCAGTTGTTGTACCAAATTGCCTTATGCATTGTGTTGTTCCGACACCAGATTATGCAGGGACAGCAGTTCCACTGGGAACAGCCAGCCCGATCACTGATGCTGTCTCATCCCGGCCTTGCAGAGGTTCATGCCTATACACGCGCATGCCAGTTTGACATGTGTAGGGTAGGCGACCTTAAATGCCCCCTCAACGGGAAATCAATGAAAAAGGGTATGGTAATCTTAACTACGGATGATAAGATGTATGCCCTGCTTCATGGGAGGGTCTGTGATCACTCACACGAACACCAACCGATCGAAGGAACAACAATCGTCCAGGGAAGATCAATGCTTAGAACTGAGTTTACGGCAGTGTATCCCCGGAAGTTTGCTAGAACTGTAGCAAAGATCATGGGCCAGAAGTCACAAAGCATATGCTGCACAGCCATGAACCCAGTGTATGCTGCCGACAGCCGACGACCACGGCCAAAGCTGACTTTTGCCAGATCTGAACTGATCATGCCAGAATCTCGGGATGAAAACTTGTCCAAACGCCGTCGACTCGAAGGTAAACAGAAGGTAACACCAGACAAAGATGTTCTTCAAGGAATCATCAATGCGATTGGACAAACACTTCCCAGGGTAGGGCGACAGGAGATTCAAGACCATGTCATCTTGAATCAACTCCAAGAGCTCTTTGATGACAAGCAGATCATGAGGGTCATTGCATGTAGAGGCACCGATAGAACTCTGGGTCCCCCTGAAAGAATGAGTCCCCAAGAAGCACCTTTTCGTCGTAGCCTGGTTTTGATGAGAACCACGGGGGAAATCAAGTACGAACGGTATTGGGAACAATGGGATAGATTATCCAAACGGCAGCTCATCCGACCGGCGCACCCATGCCGCATCAATGTCACGATGTTTGCCAAGAACCATGAATCCACTGAAAATCCCGAAAACCGAGAGTCTGGTTCAGCAGCAAGTGCCGACCGTCCTTATGGTTCCCAACAGAGCATGCAGACATCGCTGGATACGACAGCTGATGACAGTTCCCGGAATGCCAGTGACATCACGATGGAGCGAAGCACTCCAAATTTGCCTGAAGTCAGCCCTGAAGTGCCAAGCACGATTCCTGAAAATCTAGGTAAACAACAAGATCAAAGATTCAGATCACTCCCAAAGTGGGAACAACAGGAGATCATGAACATGCACAAGAATTTGGGCCACCCTTCCAATGATCGTTTGTCAAAAGCACTCCAGGTCGCAGGATACCGAGCAGAAGTTGTGCAGGCAGCTTTAGAGCTGAAGTGCCACATCTGTGCCGCATGCAGTCCCCCTAAACACCAACGTCCAGGAACCCTTAAGCCCCTATTAGACTTTAACCATAAAGTTTATATAGATGGGATTAATTGGAAAAATGCAAAGGGGAAAAGCTTCCATTTGTATCACTTCTTGGATGCGGGGTCAAACTATCATGTGGCAGTGTGCGCACCTTCCCGAGACACTCATGATTTCATCCGCCTGATCGACCACCACTGGATCTCATGGGCCGGACCACCAAATATGATCCAAGTCGATTCAGCAACCGAAATGAACTCACATGACCTCACAACATTCACTCAGAGATATGGTATCAAACAACTGACAATTCCACCTGAAGCACACTGGCAGCAGGGAAAGATAGAGCGACATGGAGGGTTTCTACAAAACATGTTGACAAAGATAGACATGGAGCATGCGATAGATGACTATCCCCAACTGCAGACGGCTTCGAACCAATGCACTCATGCCAAGAATTCTATGAGCATTCGTCATGGATACGCCCCAGAAGTCATTGTTTTTGGTAAACACTCCAGACTTGCCGGTTCCATATTAAGCGACGAATCTAGGCCTTCTCATGAACTAGCCCTGCGGGAGGATCATGAAATAGGTGTTCAAGAGTTCAAGAACCTGCTTGAAATTCGAGAGAGTGCACGACGTGCTTTCCACAGCGCAGACAACAGCGACACGCTTCGCCGAGCAGTTTTGAGGCGACCATGTCCCAACAGAGGAACATATGAGCCCAATCAGTGGATAATGATCTGGAGAGCGGAACAACAGGGAAACCCCAAATGGATAGGACCCCAGAAAACCATTATCCAAGATGGGAATCATGCCGTATGGAGCACTCAAGGGGGAAGACTTTTCCGCAGCGCACCAGAGCATGTTCGACTGGCCCTTCCCGAAGAAGGCACAGATGAAAGCAGTGAACTTCCGGAAGACCTCACCACCATTCACCGTCAAATTGACAGAATAAATCAAAAGAACCATAACCAACTACCTCCCATTCCTGAAATGCATGAAATAGACTTCCCACCAAGTAATCCTCCAGAAGATGATAACCCTCATAACCAACCCGAAAGTGAGACTTCAGAGGTTTCCCGAACTAACAGCAATTCAGAGACGATCCCACAACCGGATCATGAACCTGAGAGCTCACGCCAAGCTACTCCGATGATCAATGGTGCACCACCTGATGAACAACTTCAGGAAAGTGATCTTCTGGTTTGTGAAGATTTAGACTGGGTCTTTCAGACCACTGCATCGGATGTAAATGCTGCCTGGCGATGTGAGTTTGATGTCAGCCTTAATTCCAACCATGAAATGCCACAGAATCAGGGTGAGGCCTGGACACTCTTAGCCACCAATGCTAAGAAACAAAGGACTGAGATCAGACTGTCAGAGCTTACGGCATCTGAAAAGGCCGAATTCGACAAAGCCAAGGAAGCAGAAGTACAGAACTGGATTCAGACGGGAACGCTAAGTAAGGTCTTCCGGAACCAAATCCCGGAGGACCAGATCTTACGATGCCGATGGATTTTAACCTGGAAACCATTAGACCCCGTAGGAGAATCCCCAAATCCAAATAATCCTAAGAGCTCTCAAAAGATATCAACACCAAGTCAGCGCACCCACAAAGCAAAAGCACGACTGGTTGTATTAGGATACTTGGACCCAAAAATTGAGGAGATCCCTCGAGATAGTCCTACGCTTCACCGTACGTCCCGAATGATGCTGCTTCAAGCCATCGCCAGCAATGGCTGGTCACTTGAAAGTTTTGACATCCGTGCCGCCTTTCTCCAGGGAACTCCCCAATCCGATCGGGTTATTGGGATAGAACCTGTCAGTGAGATCAGGAAAGCCATGAACATGTCACCATGGGAAGTTGGTAAGCTTAATAAAGGGGCCTATGGTTTGATCGACGCACCCTACCTGTGGTATTGTGCTCTTGTCACCGAGCTGAATAAACTGGGTTTTGTGGCCACTCCTTTTGATCCATGTCTGTTTGTACTCAGAATACCCCCAAATGAACCCAATGCAGGGGCTCTGGCTGGGGTCTTAGGCATTCACGTGGATGATGGAATTGGAGGGGGCAACGAGTTTTATCAAGAAAAGATTAAACTCCTGGAGAAGAAGTTCCCGTTTGGCTCTCACAAAACACAGGCCTTCACCTTTACGGGGATAGAGGTAACTCAACGAGGTGATAACAGTATCCACTTGAGTCAGTCCGCGTATGTGAGAAAGATCAAACCAATCACTATTGATGTCAATCGAAAAACACAAACTACCAGTCCAGTCACCGACGATGAAAAACTTGCACTCAGAGGACTCATTGGAAGTCTCCAATACGCATCAACAAACACCAGACCTGACCTTGCCAGCAAACTTTCATTTTTACAATCAGCCATCAACAGTGCAACCGTGGACACATTGCTTGAGGGTAACCGTTTGTTACATGAAGCAAAGCATCACCATGATGTTGCCATAATCATTAAGCCTATTCCCACAAGGGACTTCAGATTCATGGCATTCAGTGACGCTTCTTTTTCATCAAGCAAGAAACCAGACTCACACTCGGGTGTAATCATAGTTGGAACCCACAAAGATATCAGTGAGAATAAACAGTGCCCGATCAGTCCAATTTCATGGGGTTGCAAGAAGATACAGAGAGTGGTCACAAGTACCCTTGCTGCTGAGTCCACCTCGCTTGCATCCGCGTTGGATCAACTCGCTTGGCTGAGAATCTTTTGGTCCTGGCTCCACAACCCAGACACAGAATGGAGAAAACCTGAACAAACCCTTAAACTGCTGTCACCAGCCATTTCCGCACCAACATTCAAACAAACCGCTGATTTAGCCATAACAGATTGCAAAAGCCTTTACGATCTCACAACCAGAACTGCACCTCCATCATGTGCTGAGTTTCGAGTTCAACTTGTTTCTCGCGCCATAAAGGAAGCTCTCCAAGAAAACATATCCTTGCGTTGGGTGCATTCAGGGGCACAGCTTGCCGATGCCCTCACAAAGGCTATGGAAAGTCACTTTCTTCGAGAGACCTTGCGCGTAGGAGCATACCGACTGGTGGACGAAGCCTCGACCTTGAAAGAACGTGCCAAAACGAAAGATCGGGTTCGCTGGCTCAAAGAGCAGAATGAAACCAATAAAAAAGAAATTTTGGGAATGTGATTTGCAAACATATCAGCTCTTTGAGAAGAACCATGACACTAGGTCCTTGCAATCCAGGTCCCATCAAGACCAATCCAACCGATGTGCCTTTCAGGAAACCATCTTTTGCCGAGACACTTGGCTCAGGGTACGCCAGAGGTGGGAAGTGGATGTGGACCGTGTCTTGCTAGCCATACTGGTTCGTGGAACGTGGCCGTTCCCTTTTAAGCACAGGGTGCTTGCTGGTGGAAGCTTGGAGACGCCGTTGCATCTGCGATCGCTGGTGGAAAAAGGAACTCATTGCAGGGCATTGAGTTTGCGGTTGTCACAGTGGTGCTACCCCACTCATAATATATATATATATACATATGTATATATATAATAATAATATATGCATATATATATATATATATGCATATATTATTATATATATATAGAGAGAGAGAGGTAGATGTTCCAGTTCTGGTGGATTAGTCAATGGGAAAATGCAAAGAATAATTTTCAGCAAATCCAGGGCAGTTTTGAACTGTTAGTGGGCGGGGGCAGACCTCAATATATATATATATCACCAATATAATGATCAACATGTATGTTATATATCATTTAAATTATTTATCTCAAATAGATTTATCATTATATCACCAGTGTTATCCAAGATTCTGGTTGAACTTGCACCCAAATTTCAAGCTTCGCAAATTGTTTGGCAACGACACCTCTGCGAGACTCTGAACGAAGCCATCACCGAAAGTCAGGCTTTGCAAAGTGCTTGGCAAGGCCACTCCTTTTAGGCTCTGGTTAAACCAGTCGCCTCGTTCTTGGATCCAGCTGCTAAAAGTTCAAGGAACAGTTATCCAATTTGATGTCCTAAAATGGTAAAAATAGAGGGGCCGGGAGCTGGTTAATCCCATCTATCATCACTATATATCACTAAAAAATCATGTACCTGTTGTTATTTCGGGCTTTCTGAAGAAACCCCTCTATGAAAATCAACCAACCAATGGGAGTTTGGGACATCTATGATTTCATCCATCCCCAGTCATACATTATCGTCACGACGTGAGGTCACGATTTTTAGGAAAACCTAGAGTTACGTTTAATAGTTACCATTAAAAAAATATGAACATCTAAGACCAAGGGAATGGCTAAGAATTGCCATGTCACCAAACGTCAATGTTTGCAGATTTCTTGGCAAGTTCACACGCTCGAGACTTTGGTCGAACCTGGCACCAAAGGTCAAGTTTTGCAGAGTGTTTGGCAGGCTCACTCCTTGAAGGGTCACATCGAACTTGTCGCCAAGAATCAAACTTTCGAGGCTTTTTGGAAGATGGTACAAATAACCACCTGAGTCTGTACCTTCAATCCTCGTCAGCCCTTCCAACGCAAAACCTTCCTCAGCCACAGGGAGTCCTTGGAGGTAACACCATGCAGCATGTAGATCTGTGGGAAGAAAAGTGCACGACAATATCGCACTTTTACCTTGGTTTGTTCATGCCCTGTTAAATGTTTAAACTTCAGTGCTTTATATTATAAAACCATACTGTACAGGCAAACCCATGAAAAGAAAAAAAGCAAACATGATTAGACATCAAAGAGTATGACTAAGTTACCCACAATGCCTTGCTCCCGCAACGTCTTGTGGAGCAACAATTCTGAAGCGTTCCAGTGGAGCACAGGCTTTGCACCTCTCTTTGGAAGTTGTTCCAAGACCATCTTACGTACCTGTGTGGATTGGCTAAAGAGAAAACCAAAATCTACACCACGGGGAAACCGTGCTTGTTACCTTTCGAGTTTTCCTAGGTCCTAGCACTCATAGATTCGCAACCCAAAAGTTTTAAAAGCGCCCAAAAGAAACCCATGGCCCTCCTGCAATGAAACCAACACTGTCCAGCCATGGTTGATTCGCAGGGAGTACACCTCCTAAACCCAACGCCATTTTTTATCATCCCCAAGATTGAAAATAAACAATAAAACATAATAAAACCAACAGCCAGCCACTTCATCATTCATTGGTTAGTATTCCGATTTGATGCTGCTTGAATCCATCATGATTCCGAACGCAAACACACAATTATACTAGTTCTATCACCTTCCATCCCCCTGTCTTTAATTTGTTGCTGGTTAAAATCATCCAAATCAGCGTCTTCAGTCTCCTCTCATCAAAAAAAATTGAAGCGTCCAAACTCTGCCAAGACATATGAATCTTAAAACACAAGATGACACACCAAAAATAGTTCACGTTTTCCAAAAACGACACTTGTTTTTTCCCCCAATAATATTCCCAACGATTTTCACACCAAAAACCGACACTTTGTAAGTTGTTTTTTCCCCGACCACAATTTTCATATCATAAATCCAATATAAATCCCAAGGTACCCTCCGGCCCAGAGTGGAAGGGCTGACGCTTAGCGTACATCCTTCACCGTTCAAACAGATCAGCTGCAGCTCTATTAGATCGCCATCAGCACTGGAGAGCATGGTGAACAGCTAGATTTTCCCTGGAAAAATGGGTGAAAAATGGGTGAAACAAATCATGATAGCTGGTATCAAATCATGATAGATGCCAAATAATGATATAATATGATATAATCATTCCCACATAATGATGGTACACGTTTCTAACTACACACGTTTTTAAATACGTTGTCTGCTGTATAAGTCCTGATTCGACCTTTTTTGTTGCTTTCCCCAGTGACAGACCCAATTTTCAGACTGCAAAACCAGGGCTAATCTTTGATCACCAACAAAAAAACACTGTTTTTAGCTGCTGCGGTTCCAGAGTTGTTCACCAGTCGTGGAGTGAAAAACTTTCGCTTTCGGCTTTCGCCAGGGTTTCCCAACACCCAGAGGTGCCACTGAACCACACAATACCACAGAATCACTGGCGCGGCGCGGCGTTTGTTTTTTGCAGTGGCTTTTGCTTCCTGCTTTTCACCATGGGATGATTTTCCCGTAAACTCACCATGGGATGTGGCAAATCTTCCGATTCTTTGTAGCTAAAAAAATGCTATAAATGGCCTAAATGGGCTCATGGCTTCCACACGTCACTTTACCCCATCTGTAGGGGCTTCCTGTTTTATTTCTTCCGATTCTGGGACCTGTCGCTGCTCTATCCATGACGAATTTCATGGAGATTTACTGGAGATTCATAGGACATTATTGGAAGACTAGAGGATTCTTGGATTCTTGGCCAAGAAGAATAATGGTAAAATCGTTTTTTTTTGGCTGCTCTATAATGAAGAAAACTCTGGGATAAAACCGCGATAATTTAGGATGATTAGTGACCGTTTACTTGGAGGATCATCGAAAAATATGAAAGCCAACAGGAAATCCTCCCCCCAAATAGCCAATTGTTTCCTGTTGGCATCTACAGAGACAGAGACAGAGACAGAGACAAATATGCATGCATAGATGAATATCATGTTCAAAGACATAGAATTCCCCTTGCCATGTGTGGTTCCCAGGAGTTACCTATAACGAAAGATTTCTTATACATCCAAAACCTGTGATGTCAAAGTTAGACTTGCGAAAAAAAAAAAAGTTCCGATGAAGATAGAGATAAATACATCCATAAACAATATATAAGGATATAATATATATATATATGTTCGTAGTTTTTGTGTTCCCTCGCCGTCAAAGTAAGAAATGTCTGAAATACCTAAAATATCTCGTCCCGGAGATTCAATGGAGTTTGTCTTTAACGTGAACTGTCTGATCTGGCAGAATTTTGTACCAGAGATTCACGAACTTATCGTTGAAGGCTACCAACATGATTTTTTATATATCGAATATAAGAATGATAGCTACTGTAAGATAAGAATGAATATCATGCAGAATATTCTGATAATATATATATATATAAGAATTATTACCAACATGACAGCTACTGCAGATATATCATGATATATCGAACCAATGAGATCGCTTACTCACCAACAAACTTGAAAAAAATATGACTGAATTATACTGAATTGTATCACCTGGCTTTCTGAATCGTGGCTTGACATGAAGAACAAGTGCCTGATCTGAAAGTATTGTCTTCAACCAACTGGATACCCTGCAAACACACCTCATGTTTTCTCTTTAGCTGATTCGGTGTGTACATACAGTATATGGTATATATATATATAAATCATACGTGTATATATATATGTCTACATATTACCACATATACATGTATATATATACCACACTGTGTGTTTTTTGCTAAGGGAAATCACAAAAGACGAACAGAAGAACGCTCTCTAAACCGATTGGCATTTTATCAGAACTTGAGGGATTTCTCCAAAACTGGGTGCTCTTAATATATCTCTATACTGGTTGGTGGTTGAGCCCTACACCTCTGAAAAATATGAGTTCGTCAGTTGGGATGATGACATTCGCAACTGAATGGAACAATAAAAAATGTTCCTGGTCCCCTACATTTTGACCAACACTTGGATATTTCTGCATCCCAGTTGGGTTAGGTGGCTCAAAAAAAAACATCCCAGTTACGATTCGTGGGATCCTCGTAAGGGAATGGCTCAAAAAGCTATTGCTGATATGGTTTAAACCCTATAAAAGCACTAGAATTGATGGTTTAAACCCCATAAAACCACTAGAATTGGTGGTTTGAGTCCCATAAAAGCACTAGAATTGATGGTTTGAGTCCCATAGAATCCACTAGAAGTGATTGTTTAAACCCCATAGAAACCACTAGAATTGATGGTTTGAGTCCAATAAAAGCACTAGAATTGATGGTTTAAACCCCATAAAACCACTAGAATTGATGGTTTAAACCCCATAAAACCACTAGAATTGATGGTTTAAACCCCATAAAACCACTAGAATTGGTGGTTTGAGCCCCATAAAAGCACTAGAATTGATGGTTTAAACCACATAAAAGCACTAGAATTGGTGGTTTGAGTCCCATAGAAACCACTAGAAGTGATGGTTTAAACCCCATAAAAGCACTAGAATTGATGGTTTGAATCCCATAGAAACCACTAGAAGTGATGGTTTAAACCCCATAGAAACCACTAGAATTGATGGTTTGAGTCCCATAAAACCACTAGAATTGGTGGTTAGTCCCATAGAAACCACTAGAAGTGATGGTTTGAGTCCCATAAAAGCACTAGAATTGATGGTTTGAGCCCCATAGAAACCACTAGAAGTGATGGTTTAAACCCCATAGAAACCACTAGAATTGATGGTTTGAGTCCCATAAAAGCACTAGAATTGATGGTTTAAACCCCATAAAACCACTAGAATTGATGGTTTAAACCCCATAAAACCACTAGAATTGGTGGTTTAAACCCCATAAAACCACTAGAATTGGTGGTTTGAGCCCCATAGAAACCACTAGAAGTGATGGTTTAAACCCCATAAAAGCACTAGAATTGGTGGTTTTGTGTCCCATAAAACCACTAGAATTGATTGTTTAAACCCCATAAAACCACTAGAATTGATGGTTTGAGTCCCATAAAAGCACTAGAATTGATGGTTTGAGTCCCATAGAAACCACTAGAAGTGATTGTTTAAATCCCATAAAACCACTAGAATTGGTGGTTTGAGTCCCATAAAACCACTAGAATTGATGGTTTAAACCCCATAAAACCACTAGAATTGGTGGTTTGAGTCCCATAGAAACCACTAGAATTGATGGTTTAAACCCTATAAAACCACTAGAATTGGTGGTTTGAGTCCCATAAAACCACTAGAATTGATGTTTAAACCCCATAAAAGGTTTGAGTCCCATAAAACTAGAATTGATGGTTTGAGTCCCATAGAAACCACTAGAAGTGATTGTTTAAACCCATAAAACCACTAGAATTGGTGGTTTGAGTCCCATACCCTAGAATTGATGGTTTAAACCCCATAAAACCACTAGAATTGGTGGTTTGAGTCCCATAGAATAGAAGTGATGGTTTAAACCCCATAAAAGCACTAGAATTGATGGTTTGAATCCCATAGAAACCACTAGAAGTGATGGTTTAAACCCCATAGAAACCACTAGAATTGATGGTTTGAGTCCCATAAAACCACTAGAATTGGTGGTTAGTCCCATAGAAACCACTAGAAGTGATGGTTTGAGTCCCATAAAAGCACTAGAATTGATGGTTTGAGCCCCATAGAAACCACTAGAAGTGATGGTTTAAACCCCATAGAAACCACTAGAATTGATGGTTTGAGTCCCATAAAAGCACTAGAATTGATGGTTTAAACCCCATAAAACCACTAGAATTGATGGTTTAAACCCCATAAAACCACTAGAATTGATGGTTTAAACCCCATAAAACCACTAGAATTGGTGGTTTGAGCCCCATAGAAACCACTAGAAGTGATGGTTTAAACCCCATAAAAGCACTAGAATTGGTGGTTTTGTGTCCCATAAAACCACTAGAATTGATTGTTTAAACCCCATAAAACCACTAGAATTGATGGTTTGAGTCCCATAAAAGCACTAGAATTGATGGTTTGAGTCCCATAGAAACCACTAGAAGTGATTGTTTAAACCCCATAGAAACCACTAGAATTGATGGTTTGAGTCCAATAAAAGCACTAGAATTGATGGTTTAAACCCCATAAAACCACTAGAATTGATGGTTTAAACCCCATAAAACCACTAGAATTGATGGTTTAAACCCCATAAAACCACTAGAATTGGTGGTTTGAGCCCCATAGAAACCACTAGAAGTGATGGTTTAAACCCCATAAAAGCACTAGAATTGGTGGTTTTGTGTCCCATAAAACCACTAGAATTGATTGTTTAAACCCCATAAAACCACTAGAATTGATGGTTTGAGTCCCATAAAAGCACTAGAATTGATGGTTTGAGTCCCATAGAAACCACTAGAAGTGATTGTTTAAATCCCATAAAACCACTAGAATTGGTGGTTTGAGTCCCATAAAACCACTAGAATTGATGGTTTAAACCCCATAAAACCACTAGAATTGGTGGTTTGAGTCCCATAGAAACCACTAGAATTGATGGTTTAAACCCTATAAAACCACTAGAATTGGTGGTTTGAGTCCCATAAAACCACTAGAATTGATGGTTTAAACCCCATAAAATCACTAGAATTGATGGTTTAAACCCCATAAAACCACTAGAATTGATGGTTTAAACCCCATAAAACCACTAGAATTGATGGTTTGAGTCCCATAGAAACACCTTAAAAAGCCTGCGTCGCCCCCCCTCCTCTACCAGGTACGGCTGCAGCATCTGGGGCGTCAATTTCTCTTGCAAGGTACGGGCCTGCACTGTGGAGGAGTTAACCCATATACTGCAACAATATAATGTAATATAATATAATGTAATGTAATATAATGTAATGTAATATAATGTAATATAATGTAATGTAATATAATGTAATGTAATATAATGTAATATAATGTAATGTAATATAATATATAATATATATATAATGTATATAATGTATAATATATATACATATATATGCATAATTAATAGTGAGTAATGGTAATTATTTTAATTAACAGTGATATTATTGTGATCTTATGGTGATATACCCTCTGGCAATTAATAGGCAATATTGTGGAGATAGAACAATATTCGATCGAACTGGTGATTAATTCCATATAATTATATATGGTATATATATATATATTATATATATATATTGTGGAGATATACCCTCTGGCAATTTAACATAGCTGAAATGGTTCATTTACAGTTGATAAACGTATTCCAAATGGTGATTTTGTGATTTTCCATAGCTATGTTAGATTACCAGAGGGTAACAATATTCGATCGAACTGGTGATTAATTCCATATAATTCCATATGATCACCACGGTAAACCCTATAATATCTAACACACCATTAGTTACAGGTGATTAATTCCATATATATAATTCTATATGATCACCACGGTAAACCCTATATTTATCCCTGTTTTTTGAACACTACGTATTGGTTACAATACTAGGTTGATTCCTGAACTACGTATTGGTGGTTTGTCCTATAACTGACCCAGGATGAGGATGATCAAAAGACAACCCAGCTAGATATAGGGGGCGGTTTTTTTAAACTCCAAAAGGCAACGTACACTGCAAAATAATTACTGAGGTATCTCATGTTTTTTAAATCTGTCTGGGGATTATCTAGTATTGATATGTTTTTTTGTTGCACCTGCGATCGACGAGCCGAGTGAGGGTCTGTTGTTGAAGCCTCGTCCCCCAGCAATTCATATGGTCCTTCTCCTGTTTCCGCTGACTGCCCTTTTTCATTTTTTGGCGCGTTTTAGCACCATGGCTGCTCGGCATGTTTTCAACTTCATATTCTTGATCTATGCTTATGCAACTGCTTTTCTTACTTGGGGATGGGTCAAAACCTTTTTTTGAACATCCCAGCATCATCCAACTATGATGTGAGAAGGGTGACAATGGATTGGTTTAAGGGAAAAATTACAGGAAAGCCCCATATTTAATGGGAAAATAACTCTGGCTTCCGGTTAAAAATTTCCCTTAAACCAATCCATTGACACAGAAATCCAACTTTTTTGTTTTCCCATAGATGGGATATCTCATCCCTTAACATCCCCATAACCATAGTTAACTATATATATATATTGACCGAAACCTCAACCAGCTTCTGGGCTATGGGTTTTCCATGGTTTTCCTACGCCCTGCTGTGTGGTTATCCCACCGATTCGCTGGATCCTCCATCCCAACCTGTCGGGGGTTCTGACGAGGTGAGGCTTCGATGATTTTTGGAGATATGAATTAAGGATGAATCGATTCATCAGGAGTAAACATGGCATTCATATGGCATTAATATGGCATTAATATATGAATCAATGGCATTCATGGATCTATGATCATTCAATCCCAACATCCATAGTCCGGGAATTTTTGAATCCCTACGGATGACTATCCCTGGGACAATCCAACCAACTTGACCCTGGCACAGATCTTCTAAGGGCCCCCACATGGGCTTATCGGCTTATTCGACTATTGCGTGCCCCCAAAAAAGTTGCTTTGTAACCCCAATGACTATGGTTTATGAGGCTTATAACATCTTATAACTATAGTTATTGGGCTTTATAGTCACATAACTGGGGGGGCCCACATTCTACAAATATCTACGGTTACTGGGGGCACGCAATAGTCTGAAGTGGTGTATTTGCCTCACCATCTAACAGAAAAAAAAGAAAATAATAAGCAAATTTAGATCATTTTAGATGGTAACCAAAGAATAGCCACAAAGCTTAACCAAAGGATAGCCACTGGATTAAGCTGCAAAAAGCGATGTTATTTGCTTACTAATAGTATACCCTCCAGTAAACTAACAGTTCGCGAACTGGAAAATCACCATTTTTTTTGGTAAATCAACTATAAATCAGCCATTTTCCATATAAATCAGCCATTTTCCATAGCTATGTTACCAAAGGCTCCCCACATGTCACTCCAGCGATGTTTCGGCGCCTGCTCGTCTCCAAAAAAAAAGAAAGAGATCTCAAGGTCCTGCGGTGACAGGTAGTGACCAATGGTACAATGCGGGCCCCCCCTAAATTATATGTATATATATATATTATGTATATATATATGTATATATATAGAGGGATTTATATGCCCAATCAATTTTCATAGGGTTTATAAACTCCAGTAACCAGTTATGTGACTATAAAGCCCAATAACTATAGTTATAAGCCTCATAAACCATAGTCATTGGAGTTACAAAGCAACGTTGCCATTTCGGGGGGCTACATTGTACATATAACTGATCCCTATCCAATCTATCCAATCACAAGTTGGATCAGCTCATTTCGGTGTTTTTTTGTGCTGCTGGCATCTTGCCAAACCAGACCATTCACCAGCTTGAAAACGAACATTTTTTCTGTATCAACATGGCAGAGAATTTGTACATGAAATTGTGTTGTCTGAAGATTTACAAACCAAACAAACTTGCTAAATCCCAGAATTCATCATGATTTTCGGCATGAGCAAATGCAATAAAGATTGTGTGGTTCTCCATTTTGAGGGAAAGACCCACATCCGCTTTTTCAGAAACTCGCCATGGTTGGTGAAATCCAATCCGTCGCGGCAAGCTACACCAAGTCCTCGTCTTTTCGTGCCAGCTTGAGTTCCTCCACTGCATCCTGGATCACCTGTGGCAAAAAAAAAGGAAGATGACCGCTCTATGGAACAGATTTGAGAAGTATTAGTGGAATATATCGAATATCATATTATATTATATATACGTATAAATATATATATATAACTATATAATTATACAATTATATATATGTAAATTATATAAATATATCGAATATATCGAATATATCGAATATCATATCATATCATATCATATCATACTAATATATATTATATTATATTATGTTATATTATATTATATTATATTATTTTATTTTATATATTATATTGTATTATATTAAATTATATTATTTTATTTTATATATTATATTGTATTATATTATATGTATAGACAAGTAAAAATAATATATATATATATAATTATAAATATATCTCATATAATAAACTTTATATATATATCAGATATTTTCATATTAATGGAATAGGACATTACAATATATTACATCAGTGCTGAGTCGAAATAACAAGTTTTTCAAAACGTCAGCTGACCCAGCTAGTTGGCCACATTTCAGGTGGAATTCGGAATGATCCCCAACAGCTACGTCCGATTGCTCACCTTTAGTCATAGTCATTCAGCCAAGTCCAAGGGAAAATTTGGGTATGTTTTCTTCGAAAATAAAATCATTTCGAAAGCTGATCCAACATGATTCAGAATGATCTAGAATTATTTATCATCCAACATTATCCAACAGTATTTATATAATCATCCAACATTCCAACAAGATCATTCCATTTGGGATGTTTCCAAATACAAAAAAACATCACTTGATATCATTTGCAAGGTTTGGTCGGCCAAACCTTCACATCCACATGTGCCAAACATGCCTTTATTCCCGGAATGATTTTTTAATCCTCGACGCCGGAAGCAGAATTCTCCACCCCCAGCTATCCAATCAATACATATCAAACATCAACCATCCAGTGAATCATCAATTCCGGATACCCTCTGGTAAACGAACAGTTTGCTATTGAAAATGACCTATTTATAGTTGATATTTACTCATTAAAAATGGAGATTTTCCATAGTTTACCAGAGGATAATCATCCCGCGGGTTGACGCCCGACAATTTGTTTCGGCGAAATTTGCAGGAAGTCACTAGCTGAGAATAGTGGTTAAGAACAGGATTCCCCATTCATGAATTTTGATCATCCCCAATATATTAGTCCCTACAAAAATCAACCAACAATTTGCTATTATTTTCCCTATTTCCCATTTTTTCATTTTTTAGATTGTTTTTTTCTCACCCCGGTTGGGTTTCACCCCCGTTCAATGTTGCAGTGAGCGGTTGGGTTTTCAACACTTTTTTGTCAACCGTGGATTCATAAACCCTAAAAGGCTGTTGGATTGGGAGGGTACCATTCAGGTATCAGATTAATACTATTGGGGGAATAGCCCCTAATTAATAAACCATGGTTTATTAATCCAGGTTTTTGAACAGTATTCAAATGAATTTTGACACACCGCAATATGCCGCAATATGTTGTTCCGGACCGGCACCTTCAGCAGCATCAACGCACAGTTCTCCTGGATATCACCACTTACGGTACCAACTGGTCATCATGTTACTTAGTAAGAGTGCCAGGAAATGTATTATCAGAACCCAGACATCTTCTTGGTTCTTAGCCATGTGCGAATTGAATGAAAACTCATTGGTCTGATAGCGGTTTTTTTTGCATCCGTAGATTACTGGGATGTAGTGACCTGGGACGTATTCGCACTATTGCGCTATATGTTACTTACTGCTTTGGCCTCTTTCTGTGTTAGGGGCCATAGCTACCCAGGATCTATTTGTAGAATCCTAGGAACTATATACAGAATCCCAGAAACTATTTATAGAATCCCAGAAGCTATTTACTGCATTATACTGATACTGGCGTTTTTTTGTTTCCAAACTCCTGGGCCTATTAAAAAAAAACATAGTGAGGCCAAAGCAGTCACCAAACCATCTGTCTACAATAATAGTACGCTTATGGGTTTTGGGCCAGTGTTTTAAGCTACCCCGACTTTTGGTGGTTTATTATTGAAAATATGATTCCAATACTCTAAGTTTAAGACCACCAGAAACAATGGTTAGTTCATTTTAGTTTTGCACATATTTTAAAGATATAGTTGAAAATGTAGCTATGGCTAATGACCAAGTAGCTTCTGGAAGTTCAGAAGTAGAACATACATACTTGATAACTATATGGATCAGGATGGTTTGGAACGGTTCCAATCTATCTCTAAAATTGGTAAATGTATCAGAACGTCTTGGAACGGTTGTGATTTATTTATCCATCCAAGTTTATAAATAGATCAAAACGGTTGGGAACGGTTCCGATCTATCTATAAATTCTTTATGTAGACAGTCTTGCAGATAGATCAGAACGGTTGGGAACGGTTCCGATCTATTTATACATCCGTTTTTAAAAATAGATCGGAACGGTTCGGAACGGTTCCAAACTATGTATAACCGTTTCTGTTTATAAATAGATCAGAACGGTTCGGAACGGTTCCGAACTATTTATACATTCGTTTTTATAAATAGATCAGAACGGTTCGGAACGGTTCCGAACTATTTATACATTCGTTTTTATAAATAGATCAGAACGGTTCGGAACGGTTCCGAACTATTTATAAACCCTGTACGTAGAAATAGATCAGAACGGTTCGGAACGGTTCCGAACTATTTATAAACTCGGAACTATTTGGAACTATTTGGAACTAATTGGATCAATTTTGCTTTTTTCGTATAAATAGATCAGAACGGTTCGGAACGGTTCCGAACTATTCATAAAATGCGACGTATAAATAGATCAGAACGGTTCGGAACGGTTCCGAACTATTTATAAACCCTAGTACGTATAAATAGATCAGAACGGTTCGGAACGGTTCCGAACTATTTATAAACCCTGTACGTAGAAATAGATCAGAACGGTTCGGAACGGTTCCGATCTATTTATAAAACCCGTAAACTACACAGAGTTATAAATAGATCAGAACGGTTCGGAACGGTTCCGATCTATTTATTAACCCTGTAAAGTACAAAAAGAATAACCAGCTCAGAACGGTTTGGAACGGTGTCGATCTATTGTTAATCTTTGCTGCCTTCCCAACTGTTTCTAAAATCCAAAATCAGAAATCAAAACCAAGAACTAACCCAGCTTAGCCCAGAAAAAGCGAGATCCAGGATATGATATGCGGACCTATTACTCATTTACAATTTTTGCTGAACCTGCGTGTGAGCTCAACACAAATCAAAAAAATGATCTTCAAACCCAATCGGCCTTCTGTCAGGTTTGTCTGTTGGTCAGTGGTCAGTCTACCTTTTTTTGGTATTTTTAGTAGATTATGCAATCAATATCTGCTGAGAAACGAAAAAGGAAACAAATTGAATGCCCAAAATCCCTCAGTCTGCAAAAGGTCCATGATTTCCGGTTCGGTGTCCGAAAGTTGGGTTTTCTAGTCAAACGGTCGACCCGAACTTGTCCCGGCAGTACTTGACAAAGTGCTTGCTCTAGCAGCGACGGTGGAATGTTTGCAGATATCCTTTCTTGGGCTGGCCTGGGGTCCGCTAAGATGATCTACAAATAGTTCCTGAGATTTTACAAATAGTTCCTGGAATTTTATAAATAGCTCCTGGAATTTTATAAATAGTTCCTGGAATTTTGCCATTCATAGCGAATAGAAACTCCAAAAAACCTGTCGCCGAAAGGGCGACGACACCCTTCTCGGCAATCCGAAACCCCAAAGCCCGGAAAACCTGTCACCGAGAAAGTTCTGGCGGCCATGGTCCGACGAGGTACCAGATACCGAAGTCTTAGGTTGCAAAAACGAGATTTTCGATTTCAGGGGCTGCCTCGAACTTACAGCATCTTACAGCCAGAATCGGGTGATTGTTGTGGCCTCTCTACCTGGAATCTCACAAGCTACAAGATATGGTGTCCTTAGGAAAGGCCTGCGAAAAAAAAAAAAAACCTCGTCCAACGGTGATGACGCGTAGTCACAGTCAGGTCCTTGCAAACTATCAGCAGGTATGCCGCG